ATCTTGCTCATATTTCTTTTTGTGTAACCCTCCAATAGATAGCAGTTAAGCCAGCACAGTTGATCATGCCGAGGGTTGAGTGTCCACCAGATCTCCCAGATTTGCCACCAGGTTGGGCAGGACGCTAGCTTGATGCACGCTTTCCACTGGGCAATAACGTCGACACCAGTGATGCTGCTTGCTTAATCAATCGGCACTACTCGGGCGGAATCTCAATTCCCTTCCCCCGTTTGCCGCCTATCACTCAATAGGTTCATTCTCTGTTCCTCGAATGGAGACCGAAAAAAAAGTACGGTGTACCAATAGTTCTAAGACTGGGTGACATTTGCGATCTCTATCGGTTTGGGTTTAGCCGAAAACCCCCCACCAACTCGATCGGTCGGAAATAGCTTCCGAGGAGAATTGATACAGATCTCACATCACCCTAAAAAGGAGACGATTTCTGATTCTGCTACTGTCTAGCTTCATCTATCTGTGACAGGGAGTGTCTATATCCCTTTCTCATTATTCCTCCGAGCTGAAGCATCCTGCGCGGCATACCTGGCTTCTGTGCCCGCAGGAGTAATATATAAGGTGGCAATGTGTGCCGCGGTCCTCGAAGTGCATACATACTATGTCTTCTTGCGACAGCTGAAACTACTACCCCTATGTACGTCCGTTAGTATTGTACATGGGTATATCCCACAGTCCGGTCTAGAATACGCGATAACCTCAATCCCTTTCAACTAAACGGGCCTCAATATACCTACGCCATGACAACAGACAAACACAACCCTCCCCACACAGACCACCGCTAATATAGTGCGAGAGTACCTTGTTGCAAGAAATACTACCTGCCCAAAGGGGTAATAGGACGAAATCCACGAGAGGGCAAGCCGTATGCTACTTTAATCCACACCGATCGTTCCAGCCACAATCTGCGACGAACCAAGCGTACCAAACTTCCGCGCAAAAGAGCGCTAAAATCGAGCCCATAATCACAGGGCAGGCAGTGGCATTCCGACCGGAAAAGCCAAAACCATGACACAACCAAACCAGTGGGCCTTGAGCCAGAAAAGCGAACACGCTAACTAAACATCTTAGTCTGTGGCTCAGCCTGACTAGAAGTGGATAGATCAGGATCCAGTAACCCGATCCGGAAATACATGTGGCACAGTCCATCTACACGGGAAAATCGGGCCGCGGAAAAACCATGTCAGTGACGACATTAGTCAGTTTTCCTCAGGGACCCGATGACGGCATGGAACCTTTTTGTTGTCCTTTCTCGTTCTTGTCCGAGATCTGATTTCCCCACCGAGAGATTCGGCTTGGGGCTTTTTTTTTTTTTTTTTTTCTTTTTTTTTTTGGCACTAACACTAACAACCCCCCTGGTTTCGCACATGGAGGGCAGTGTCATCCATCTTGTCAGAACGATAGTTTCGGCTTCCCCGATTTTAGGGGCATTGTTTTTTGATCTTTAATTATTCTTCTCATTTATTTGTTTGGAAAATATGGATATGAGGTCATTCGAGTTAGCTTGCAATCGGCTTTACCGTCAGTTGATATGACAGGGGTCATATGACGGATTCTAAATGACCGTGTAGAAATTAAAAATAAAATGAAGAGGGATAAAGTTAAAAAAAAAAAAAGAAAAAGTACACACAGTAACTCGCATATTCCCCATGCACAGAGGACCGAGTGGGAAAAATTCTTTCCGTTGCACATAAGCATCGCGGGTCCAGACGTTCTGACGAAACGCAGCGCAGGTTGCCAAGCCAAGCCTTCAACGAATTTTCACTGTAGCTTACGTGAAGCCTGCAATATGTTAGTCAGTTTGTATCTACAATGCCGACCGATAAAGAGAATCGTCCCTATCGTGAAGTTTTGTCTGCGTTGGAGTGGTTGGAGACTCCCAGATCTGATTTGCAGGGCAGAAGGATCAGTACCCTTGTGAGTAGCCAACAGGAGGACAAGATTGAGGTTCGTGGATTTGCAAGTCCGGGGAGGAAGTTTTGAGTCGCGGGTTCGTTCCGCCATTATGGATCCCCCCGAGAATCCTTTGTGTTTATGTTTTACTCTTTGAGTCTGCCGCCTTTTTTTTTATATATATTTTTTTATCTGTAGGTTTTTTCTTGTTGTTGTCTGCTGTACGGAGTATACTGCGTAGATTGAGAGGACATGGCCTCTCGGTAGATATGATATGATCTGTAGAAAGAACTTGAACCCAATCATCAAGGGACAGTCAAGAGAACTCCTCCTAGAGGAAAGTATATTTCGTCGGAACCTCCAATGGATTTCCGTTTCACCGTCGCGGATCGGGACAAGAGGCGTGCAGCTGTCAAAACCATGAGGCGCAGTTTGAGTTCCTCCTGCGTGTGCATATCACCGAACTCAGCGACCAGGTCAGTGAGCATTACCTGTCAGACTGTATGTTTACCGTTGATCGCTGTCCGCAACTCTCTTCGCACCGCATGCCACTGCATGACTATCGCGTGTCGGCGTTTGAAGATACGAGGCTTGAGACAGGAGCGACGGTAGATTTGATTGGATAGACATGGTCGCCGAACAGTTATCCAATGCCCGAAGCTATATTCGAGGCCAACAGATTAGTTCCATTGTAGTTAATGACTAGCTAGCTAGTTGTTTAGTTAGTGAGTCTGATGGACATTTGTCATCCAGTACTACTAGTAGTAGGTTAAACCACTGGCATTGCCTAATTGGGTGTCCAACCATGGATGCCAGCAATCAATCAACATTCCCCTCCCCCCCATATACTTAGTACTACTGACTGACTACTGACTAGTCCCCCGGGAATCAATGAACCTCATACGCCCAGATGCTGCTGCGACGGCGTACTTCCCATTCAGACGCGTGGCGAAATGCGCTGCACAATGCGATTACCCCTCATCGACATTATCTTTTGGGGAGAAGAAGAAGAAGAAGAAGAAAAAGCAAAGAAAAAAAGAAGAAAAAAAAAAACAAAAAAAACCACCCAACGAAGACTCTCGTATCCAGTGGCGAAAAACAAAAAAGGAAAGACCAAAAAAAGAAAAAAAAAGAAAAAAAAAGAAAAGAAAAGAAAAGAAACAAAAAGGGTAAAGCAACCAGTTCGTCAACAGTACTATTTGGCCGGAAGATTGCTGCAGTGTAACATGACCCCGAGCACATCGACATCATTTTTTTCTACTCGTGGATCTGACAATTAAATCGATCGAGGAATCAAAATCAATCCGCAAGTAACCTTACCCAAGATGTCCTGATTCCCCGAGCAAGGGTGATCCAAAAACACAAGTTCAGAACCACTAGTAAAACCAATAAGATAAAATAGAATCGACAATTAAATTCATACCCAACCGCACGACCCGCCAAACCAACAAGGAACATAATCCTACCCCATAAAGCTCAGGGACCGAAAATGTAGAACTTTCATGCGAACCTACGCCAATCATGGCCGCAATCCCTCATCTGCACGTCAAGAACAATCCTGACAGTCCCTCCTCTGAATCTTTCGCTCCCCCTCCACCCCCCCTAATCCTAGGTTTAAACTACTCCCCCACTATCTTTAGTACTACTAGTACTAGTAGTAGTCCACAACAGATCCCAACCCAACGCCAACCCGACCCCCTCCACTCCGTAACGAACATCAACATGGCGAGCTGAGCTTCACTTCACCGCTCCAATGTGTCCCCCTCCTCTCAACGTTGTTTGACTTACGTATGTGTATTTCCGGGACGGGCGAGTTGCACTAACTGAGCCATTTATGTTCGTCACCTCTTGGTGCGGAACGCCCGGGAAGTGCGAAGAAGGCCATTGTGAGGTTGTGGTGGAGGTGCGTAGGTGTGGGTACCTGTTACTAGTAGCTACTGTGATTTTCGCTGCTGGCGATCTGGTGCGGACTGGTTGAGCACTACTACTAGTAGTAAGTGTGCAGTGGTTGGTTGGGCGGGTGAGGGGGGAAGGTGTCGAGGGCCAATTGGGTGGGTGGTTGGAGGGGCCTTTTTGGGGTTGGTCAGTTCTGGTCTATTGTTCGATTGGGGATTGTGATGTTGTAGTTTGTATGGTGTAGGACCTTGGTGGTTGGCACCTTGAGGGTGCTATGGATAGGGTTCTTATCAGGAGTCGTGTTGATGGAGACGGGGTGCTCTCAACCTTGGTGTCCCTTGTCGTCGTTAAGGGAACGGGGATGGAGCTTGTTATTATTATATGCCGGGGTGTAGAGACATGGACTAGTGTGTATGCTTCAGTACCTAGAAGCAATAGATAGATATCTACTGTCCATCTCGACGACTTGATGTCTAGGGGAAGATCAAAGATGGCCCGAGTCTTCCAACCATTATCCGTATCAGATGCAGATGGTTGTGGGTTTGCTGTGCATATTGAATGCCATCACACCGTAACGATCCATTGGGTCTACATGAAGCCATGGGAAATTGAACTTGATTAGAGGTTGATGACACGATTCTTGGGGTGAATGGAGATCGTGGGTGTGGCTGATGTGGATTGTGATGTTGTTGTGGGAAGAGCGTGTCAAGTAGGTTACGTATCTTGCGTTAATCGACAATGTCGTTCGCCATGGTACATTGTGCTTCCTTGTGTAGGCTATGGGGGTATCCCAATTGAGCTGAAGGTGGCTACGTGGATGTACCCTGGCACGTATCATTGCTAGAGGTGACGGTTGTTTCTCCTGGATAGCCTATATGATATGGTAGCAGAGTTTGCTGTGTAGGATATCAAGTCTGGATCACTGTATTGCACTGCTGCCGATGTATTATCGACGCCTCTACGAGAAGTGTTTTAAGTTTTTCAAGACATACGCGAGGAATAACGGTTCAGTATAATCTCTCGATTTAAGACACACCAGCTGCTCGATCTCACGGGGCTGGTAAGAAGCTAATCAAAATTAGATAAGTAACACTGAAAACCTGACAAAAGGGTGGTGTATCCAAATTGTTGGTATGTACATCCCATGCTATGCTTAGCCACCCAATGAACCAAAGCACACGAGTAAGCAAGTGAGCAAACTACGTTGACTGAATCGCAGTTTGGTCTCGGTAGAGATCGCAAGCGTGAGGATGTTGCAGGCAATACTTCGGAACTAGTGCTTGAGCCTGAACACCATTCGCAACTAGGTATTCGCGGAAGTTGAGAATACGCTGCGTCAGCTCCGTAGTGCGTTTCTTGCCATCAGCGTCGCGGTTTCCGGACCAGACCAGCTCGGCTAGGGCTGCAGCACGGGGCCAGAACATGCTGGAGACGTTGATATCGTCAACTTGCTCGCCCCAGAGAGGAGCCGTCGCGCCAATGACATGCTTGGCCTGCGCCTCCGTGAGGTTGAAAGTGAAGTCGTAATCGTAGATACGTTGCCAGGTTTTGTAAGGGGCGCACCACGATCCTCCATTGCCTCCATAGTTGAAGTTAGGGGTGTTTGCATCCGGGTTGGACATCACATTGTACCGCGCGTCATTGGTGACGAAGCCTCCATGGCCACAGTCCAGATACATGAAGTCCGAGGATGACACGATGACGTCGTAGCCTCGAGCTGTCAAGTTCGAGATGTACTCTAGGCCATTGTTCCAGCTCTGCATGACAATGTCCTTGGGCACATCATGTGCATTTTCCGCGGACAGCACGATGTCCTCCCACATAACCAGACGGCGTTCTTTGCTGTAGTTCTGGAAAATAGGCACGGCATGATCAATCCAGTATTGAGCCAGGTCGTGGTACGTGCGCGAGGGATCCTCGGCAAACCACTTAGTGACGTGGGTGCTAAAGTTGAAGCAGTTGGGTTGGATTTCGTCTCCTCCGACGTGGAACCAATGGTCAGGGAAGATGTCCGACAGTTCCTTGTAGACATTGCCAACGACCTCGTAGGTTTTGTTGTAGATGATGTCAAGCTGGCCCGGGTTTGGCTCAACAGCGGTATGGAGAGGCCAGTCATCATTGGACCACCAGGAGTCCGTGCAAGTAACCATTTCGGGGTCAACTTGCTTCCAGCCGGACGAGGAGTGACTTGGCATGTCAATTTCGGGGATCACACGGATACCACGAGCTCGAGCATAATTGACAATGTTGCGGACATCATTGCGCGAGTAAATCTCATGGGGCGAGTAAGCGTCTTTGACCATCTCGGGATAAGCGTCCACCCAGATAGGCCAAGATTGCGCGTCGTCAATGTGCCAGTGTAATACATTGAGCTTCGAAAGGGCCATACCCTCCAACTGTTCGAAAATTTTCGGCAGAGTGATGAAATTACGACCTGTATCAAGCATAATTCCACGGTAGGGATAAAGCGGAGAATCTTTAATGCTGACTGGCTCTTCAATAATCAAACCGCCGTGGCCATCGGATATGACCAGCTGTTGGAGAGTGGTGAATGCATGCAGAGCACCCCAGACGGTCTGGGCGTTAATCGTAATGCTATCCGAATCCTCCTTGACATCGATCGTGTAAGACTCATCAACGCCGTGCTGAAGATCGGCCTCAGTGTCGTTGACGTGAACGTTCACATATTGCAGCGAATTTGAGGCGCGCTTCGCTTTTCTGGAAGCGCCCGCTGTGGGGGTTGGGAAAGGTTCGAAGGAGGAGATGGGAGCTTCTGTGGCAGCGGGGACCCATCGCAAAGCGACTATGGTTTCCCATGCACGATCCCATGCATCGGCCACAATACCATGCTGCGTGTCAGTTTCAATGCGCAGCTGCAGCTCCCCAGCGACGGATTTGGGACCGGAGGAACCCCAGGAGATCTCGCGCGGTGCCGGCAAAGGATTTACACCGACGGCGACGGCTGAGGTTGCCGTGAAGAGCACGGTGCAGATCCGGGTGATCCGCATTATTGAATGATATTGCTTGAGTCAACCCTGCGGAAAGAGTCGATTATCGCATAGGGGAATAAAAAAAGAAAGAAGAAGGGAAGGAATTGCAACGCAGAAGTGCAGTCGTGCAGTAGATAAGGCTTTGTTGAGGGAAGGGGCAAAATAATCGATAGTGGATTCAGTCAAGGGCTGGCAATGTCGATCCCTTTCTCCGTTGGCATTCCATTCACCATACCGGTCACCATCCTTCTCATTTTAACAAGAATCTGCAGCGGCACAGAGGGATCGAGGCGACGTTCGAGAATGAGTCCCAGGATTCCGAAGGAGCGCCTGAAAGAGGCTTAGACCTGCACATCATTGTCGATTTCCCTTATACCGTACCATTACCGCCCCCAAGAGGGGATGTTGGGTACAGTCACCGTATCAGTAGGCTGTCGCACTGCGGCAACAAAGTAAGAAACGGTTACATCTGGTTACAGTGTAACATCTCCTATGACCCTTCATTTTATTCCGGTATTATAGCTTGGCTAGTTAGTACCTAGCAACTTGAAGCTATGGAGTATGAATGAAGTCTTTTAATTGAATGATACCTCCCCCTCTCTCCCCTCTTTATTCTTTCTTTCATTACCCTCTCGCTTGAACTGCTACAGTGACATCGCTTGGAGACAAGACAGTCTTCATATTTCCTTGAATTGACAGATCACTTGATTGTTCCCCAGACATCCAATTGAAATGTGGAGACGTTCCTGACCCTTTCCACTTCCACAACCCCCACCCGCCAGCACAACCATGGATCCAATAATCGTATGACTCGTTTTATATTCTTCTTTGCATTGCCACTCTACCAACGAGCCAGGGCAACACCCAACGGTTCCATTATCAGTTGTTGCAACTTTACATTCCCCCCCTGGCAACTTTAACTGGCTGTCAACCCACAAGTACATATTTATTAATTCATCCAAGCGGGGAAGTTTTCTAGCTACTAATAATAAACCAAAAACCCTACGCTCATGCAATCTGCGAGTCAGGAATCAATTCAAGGCCCGATTGCAAATACATCTACCCAACAGATACCCACGGCGGTTGCCAATGTCAGATACATGTCCGGACTGACGTTTTGAACAAATGAAGGCACGCCTATATAAGTATGGTAGGCTTTGGACAGGATTCTATCAATGTTTCTTCATTTACTGTGGTAGATGAAGTGGTTGTTCGCTTGCCCCAACGGAGGTCTCCACAGTCCTTGAAGTTGTCGTGGAGAACGTACCCAGGAGCTGGAATGTTAGCCGGTCTTCAATTCCGTGCACGGTTCACTTGCATGCCTGTCTTTGTTAAAGACCCACACCTGAGACTTGGAGATACAATTCGGTACATGCTATTATAAGAAAATGTGCTTCTATTGGACCACAATCAATGACTGCTGAGCTACGGTGAATGTAGGACCGGTGCCCAAGGGCACCTTTTCACTGTACGGGAAAGAAGCTCGAAAGATCTACATTGGTAATCGGGCATTCCTGTACGATGCTTGACGAACGACTTTCTGTGGAGACCGGCTTCACATCCACAACTACAGATTGTTCCACTCTCGGCATTTGAACCGATGGATTGACTTTATGGAAACATTGTTCCATCGAAAAGAACACAATTACGGACTTTTACGCAAAGCTCGTAGTATAGTATTGACGAAAGTCTGATATTATATTCGCTCTACCCTTTATCCCACTTGACTGACTACAGTTATTTACAATCTTCCGCTTGCAACTCTGTGAGAAAGATATTTACCCCTTCTGCTTTTGTTCAAAGAAGCTTTAAATCACATACAGACTGTTCATTAGGAGCGGAGCCAATCATCATACATCTATCTATTATAGTCCAAGGGCCCTATTCATACATTCCAACCACCACACCCCTCTCACCCCGAAACCTTAAGTAATCTACATAGTCACAATCAACTAATGACAAGCCTGCTTCCAAGCCCTTAACCTCAAGTAACTCCACGGCAACGGAACCAAGAGCCCATCCCCCATAGCTGCCACCCCCAGGAAAATGGTAATTGACGATATTCTGGACGAACTCCGTAGCCAGCATGGAGATGAAACTCATCCCGCAGGCGGTCTTGAAGGCGTGCTTCCAGGGGAGCCTATCCTTTCCGCGGGCGAGGAGAACGGTTTCGACAGTTAGGGAGGAGATGAGGCACAAGGCCACTTTGTTCATCTTAGTTGTTTATTCATATCTGGTATGCATGTATAGTGGTTGAAAGGGATACAGAGCTGAAAGCTCTTGTAACTGTACAAGATACGTTGTTCGGAATGTATTATATATTTATTAAAGCTTACTAGAAACCCCCATAACAACACCCATACCCAAAGTAGGACAAAAGCTCTGTAACAGCCATAGAGCACTAGAGTCGTCCATTGTACGGCCTACTAGACAGCGGAGGGTGTTGACATCAGCTTTGGACCAATTTGGCTTGTCTGCCCAGAAAGCTAGTCTTGATATAGGTGGTGGTGTCGTGGATTTGCATGTTGATTGAGACTTTTACATGTTGACGGCGTGGAGACTTCTTGGCTGGTGATATGGGAGGACTTTCTGTTGGTGGAATGATTAAGTTGTAATGTCGGGATTCTGGAATATGTAACCCTCCTGGAGAGGAGAATCGAGGGTCGCATTTTCGAAGTCATGGGGCTTTGGCATTAATAGATGTTGGATTTGTATGAGCGTATGACGGTGGTTTCAAGTGGACCGGACCTGTCTACTAAGCCCCGAGCTGAGCCGCTCTTGAGCGCTGGCGCTTACTGACGGGGCAGTACCGTATCTTCCGGCAGAATAAATTGTACACTCTCAGGGTTGCCTCGTTGAATAGTGTATCCTTTTGAGAGCTACAATCTCCGGCCGATGATGACATAAATAGCGATTCTTTTTGGGTCTAAAAACTAGCATAGAATATTTGCTATATAAGCATGCCATATGTGCTTTTTCGGATTTAAACGAGGCATCTTTGGCAGAGGTATTAATGCTGAGATACACAGCTCTTAAATCCCTTTCCAACGGTCGGGGTCCAAATAGACAGCTCAGTTACCGCCTTTCCATACAGGATTAGCCTTCTTCAGGCGGTCAAGTGCTTGACCAGCTACTATTAATCTGTACATCTGCTTATAAGGCTCTCCATGTCTACTTTTCTTAAAATCATTCACGCGAAAAGGATATGGTAAAATCATTTATTGTGCTACTTGAAATCGTCCAGACAGCAATGGAAGCGACCTGCGACAGACAGACCAACCCCCGATTCGTGATTTCCTGATACAAGCCCTAGTATGCGATGCTATTACTAGGGCAAGATGATGGCGCCGTCAATGACTGCACCTAGCCAATTGGGGCTAGGATAGGGCAATGACCCTTGCCTGCATTTCAGCCTTGTCCCCTCTCGCAGACTTATTATAACAGCCAAATAGTGCAGCCTAGGTTGTTCCAAACCTGTGTTCTATCCTGTGATGGATTCTCCAGAGGAGTCAGAGATGTCCTCCCAGCCCTTCATTTCTAGCAACCAGATACATGCTGCTCGTAGGAACCAGGGAGAAGATGACCCTAAAGAAACCCATGCGACTCAATGCGACGTTCGACATACGTCGTTTAGCTTGTGCTGTTATACGCAGCTCTGGTTCTTTTCTCCTGGATCGTTATTTGCAAACTCACGTACCGTCCTATCACGAGGGATCATTATAGTGCCGATACCAGCGATTATGAGTTTTTCTGTACCGAAGAAATTCAGGCTAAATATTATCAAAATGAGATTTGCTATAAGGTTGTCCAAGTCATCCAGTCTGTTGCCAGCGTGCTGACTATTCCTTTAACGTCTACTATATGTTCGAGTGCCGTTGTAATACACGTACAACACTGTACTGGGCGAACTCGAACCTTCACACTTCGCCAGATGGCTGTGCTAGCAGACAAAGGTTGGACAGATGTCGCAACATACTCTCACCTGGCGCAATGGTCGCGCTACGGTAGCTGCCAAGGGGCTACAACACCGGTATGGTTCAACAATTCTTTCCACGTTTCAGCTTTACAGCTCGCTACCAGAATATATCTGCTTCCGAGTTTCCAACCGATTTCAATACAATGCCGGGAGCTTTATCAATTAGATAAAGTGGGATCCCTATAAATGTAACACGTTCTTTCAGTATACCCGAGGGGGCTTTATCCTGGGCTGTCCATGCCTGTATGCCTGCCGTTCTTCAGGTGACACCGTGGAAGAACACTCGAGCCAGACAAGACTTTACCGAAGATCTGTATCTCAATCTCTCTCTCTCTCTGAGACTGCAGCAGGCTATGGCAAATCGTTAGACCTCGTCACAAATTGGCTAGTGCTTCCGTATTACAGTCAACACCACAGCAGGATACTTTGAGCTGCCGAACTATATGAAAGGCCAGAAAGCCGGACCACTCCTCCGCGACGACCCAAGCGCCAAATGTGGGAGGTCTTGTGAGATACAGGGATTAGTGGGCCTCGCCATACAGTAAGACCGGAATCACAAAGCACAGAATATCACTAACCGCCTCGGGTGCCTCAGGAACCACCAAAGTCCAACACGACGGAAAAGCGCGAGACTGACAGCATGCCATCAATCGAAGATCTCGAGCTAGTTTACAACAAGGTTTCCCTCCTAACAACGGCGCTCGCACTTTTTGGCCCCAACTCCTGGCTTGACCTCGTCAACTGATACACCGACCTATACGATCACAGAAACGTATCACTTAGCGATAGCGGCTATATCTGCATCGCCCTCGCTACACTAGGAAGAACCTTAAGCTCAAATTTCCTGGCCGAGTTGGATAAAGCAAGTTTTTCATTTTGTCAAAACGAAATCAACGTCTGCATCAAACCTGTCTCATCCTTCGAGATGAAGGGAGTGGATAGTGTCTTGATCGCAGGATCATGGCTCAGCAACTTTCGAGCAGATGGTGTGATCAGCTAATATGTGGGAAGTCCTGCGGCTGCCCCGGATGTTCTGGGGAATGCGTTTACCATAGCGGCGTATCTAGCCAATCTAGCTTGGATGACTGAGGTCAGGTCTACTGGGAATAGTTTGGAGGTTAAATTACGATCTAGGGGCTAATTCCCAGAAGCCGTCCACCTCGATTGCAGGAATTGTTGTGGTGTCTATACTGAAAGGGATTTATTTATTCGTTGGGGTTATTGGCAACAGCGATCTATGCGAGTTGGTTTCCTTGGTGGACTGGCTCGTTGAACGCTTTTAGTATGTTGAGACTGGGTGGCTCGATTAGTGGGCGTTTGCCACTCAAAGCCTCACTTGATGATGATATGATCAATGCCTTGGATGATTTTGTCTGGATGGGTAGGCGATGATGGTCAAGGTGAAACCCCTGAACGTCTTGCGCTAGGTGGATCGGGGCGCTTACAGAAGAAGGGCTATGAATCGTACGGTGAGAATGCCTCAAGGAAAAGAAAGCTCAAACAAGTCATCAAAAAGTATCAATATACTTAATAAAGGGAAACACCAGGCTATATAGACCACCCGGTCGATTATACCAACTGAACCACGACTGATCGTGCATAAGAAATTGTCCATTTCTCCCTTGTTATGGCTCTACGCCGGTGCACACTACACAGGGGAATAAGTTTCTTGCTAGCACATCATACGATTGTCTGTATATTCATAATAGAACCTGGCTTCTTAACGTACTGTTTCACATCTCTTTCTCCCTGGATATCGGACCAACAACCCCGCTACTAAATATATTTTTCAAGGATTAGAGAACTGTTTCAAATCTGGGAGTATCCTGTATTGACTTTCTTCCAGATAGTAGTACACAGAAGTCGGGACAGTATCTTACGTAGACTAGGTAGTAGATAAGCAAGCAGAAGTCCCTAGTTTGATCAACCATTCTGTGATGCCTTTCTGAAACGTGGGAGTATGAATGATAAACAAAGGGTAGAAAGAACTCCTGCATCAGACACGCCGAAAACCAAGACTCGTTCGAATTGCCCTTCTCACCATATTTAGGACAACGGTTCTTCCGCAACCTCGTAGATGAGCTGTAGCTTTCCGTCGGTCCCTGGGACGTTTCAGTGTGTACTAAGTCCACGATCTTGTCTGGTTTGTTCAGACACTAGTGGCACAGTTTCGTGCGTGATATGGTGCGTGCTCAGCTCATTTTCAAAACTTTTTCTTGAGTTGTATGTTTGTCAAGGGTTTTATGATATCATAGTTGAAGTTGTATTCTGGATCCCATGCGTGGGGAAGGCGTATTAGGGTTATGGCACTGATTTCTCACGTGCTGCTGCAGATCACGAGGAGATAAAAATCAAGGCAGACGGCATGGACGTTAGTCTACAGCGCATGACTAGGTATAATTGCTTTCACTGAGACTGTATCATATCTTATTATTGTGCCCTTCAGCGAGGGAAGGAGGTCCATACTTGTTCATATTAACATGGGTTTGAGGGAACGATTTTGCATGAAGCCAGCATAGTTCCTTATCTCTCCAGTTGGTGACTAGGTTGCTTTACATCTAATTTAGTAGTAGGAATCGACGAAGGGAAGGCCAACAGTGCTTAGAGGAAATGGTGCATCTGTTTTTGCTTCCAGTATTTCTATACCTGGGACCCTGGTTCTCCCAGTTTGTTGCGAGTGTTTTCGTCTGCAACCCGGGATCAATATTAGGATTGAAAATCGATGGATAGATTACGTCGCCCTCGTATCTTAATGCAGCCTGTAATTACATGGTATAAATGAAAATCATGAGTCTGTTAAACCTTCTCTAGCCGTCTTTCCAGCTCTACGGCTTCGCTGAATGCTTCCTTCAAAGCAGCTGCCTCCTCGGCCGACGGTTCCACGCATGGCCGGCGCGGCTGTGCGCCATATCCTCGATAGCTCTGGAGTGCACTCTTAACAGCCACAAATCCCCCCTTGATCGCATGCCAATCTGCTCGGGCCACGACCGCCTGGGCCGCCTGGGCTTCCTTCACCTTGCCCTCATTGTAGAGCTTCATAACATATACGCACGACCGAGGGATTAGATTGGCAAGGCCACCGATGATACCTGCACCACCGGCGACGAGGGTCTGGAGTGTGAAATCAGCCGACCCGCCGAACGTCAGGAATTCTGGTTTGGCCTGGGCGGCAATGCGGGCTAATTTCCCGGTGTTACCGCAGGTCAGCTTGACACCCACAATGTTTGGGTGCTGCGAGAGTGCTAGGATGTCGTCGGAGGTGAGGTCCAGACCGGACGATGCACCGGGGAAGTTGTAGATCAAAACCGGGACGGGGGATGCGGACGCCACGGCGCGGAAGTGCTCGCGAAGGGCCTCGGTGCTGACCAGGGACTTGTAGTAGCATGGCGGTAAAACCAAAGCATAGTCACCTCCAGATTCGCCGGCATCCTTGCACAATTGAATGGTTTCACGGGTGGACGAGCCACCGCATCCGACGATGACCGGCATCGACTCGGCGCCATGGGCGTCCAATGCCCGACGGGTAGCTGCTGTGATTGTTTTCCGTTCGTCTCTATCTAGGTGGACGGCTTCGCCGTTGCTGCCTTGTACGACTAGACCGGTGATTCCAGACTGGGCGAGGTAGGCGGCATGTTTCTCAACGGTGGGGACATCGACATCTTCATCGGGGCCGGCGAAGAAAGCGACCGTTGGGACGTAGAAGCCGGGGGTCAGAGCGCGTTTTGCTGATGTTCCGATTGGAGCCATAGCGATGTAACTGTGAAATCTAGGGTAGCTAAACGCGAATTAGCGAACGAGCCCTACAAGTTAGTTGCGAAGATTAGACTTACTGGGGAAATGCGGTAACCAGAGAGGGATCACAAAACGCAAAGACAAAAAAAAAAACAAAAAACCAAAAGAAAATGACAGGAAAGAAGGAGGGGCGACAGGATTAAAGAATAGAAGATATGAGGAGAAGAAAATGTGGTTCCAAAGAGGGGGGCCTCGCATTCAGTGGCTCATGTCCAGTATAGTTCCTCTCATGAGCCTATGATGCGGATGATTATTCGCAACCCCCACGCACCCCACAGAAGGAGGGGAGGAGATCCGATGGGGCTCATTCTTGGGAGTTTATTGAATGACTTGAAGCCAAAGGAAGGAAAATTTCCCCATGCCACTGCCCCCACGTTTCTTTTCTTGGTCTGGGGTTCAAGGCAATTGAAACTGCCATTCGGGGAATAATCTCGTAGATTATGACCAGGGGCCAGGATGACCGTCGGAATAAAGTCCGAGAGGAGAAGTGGACATGATTTTGCTTAGTAGTATATCACATGGCGATTGGGTGTACGTTTCCCATCGAAAGTGAAGTCATTGATGGAGAGTGAGTGAGAGAGAGAGAGAGAGAAAGAGAACTAGGGGAAGGAGTGATTTGAATAGAAGATGCTAAAATCTACTCAAAGAATTAACACCAAAATGAATTTGCTCGAGAGTTAAGGGAGCTGCTGTACCGTTCGGTTCTGGTATTGTATTTTTTGAACATCCCATAACATACCATACCTCAGTAACACTTCCTGCATTCCTCATCTTGGGAGCGAAAAGGCCGGAAAAAGGGAGTCGCCAAGAATAGAATACGGTAATGACGGGTCACAGAGCATCCCAAACCGCGCGACGGCAGCGTCAAAACTTCCCCCAACGAGAGAAACAAAGAAGAAAAACACCCTGAAGATCCGGATGAAAGTGAGGTGTTCAGCTTGGGACAGGGGGACCGCATGAGATCGACCTTGCCTGCCGTCAATTCCCGCCATTGAAATCCCCAATGACCTCGACCGTCATGGCTGTTCGGTCGTCTCTGCGCGTTTCTGTGCGACAAGAAGAAACCCCCAACGACGACGACGACAGTCGACCATCTCCGTCGAAACGCCCTCGTTTGAATCCTCCTCCCTCCTCTCGTCGGCGCAGGAGCTCTCCTGACTTACTCGATACGACGACTGTCGACAGTCCCTCCAAGACCACCCCCAAGAATAAGGTCGCTCATATCCGGCGCGCCCCCTCTTCTCTTCCGCGCCGCTCCTCTGCGCGCCGACCGCTTCTCTCGCCCTCGTCCCATCATCATCCGCCCTCCGACACCCCACACGCTACGCATCTCCGACTTCACCGCAATGAGGCCCCCGCCGCCGCCCCCTCGCTCCTCTCGCGTGAATCGCCGGATCCCTTAGATACCATTTCGCCCGCGACCACGGATATCAGACGATATTTCGCGAAAGCTACTCCTACCACTACCACGACGACCCCCTCGGCTCGCAGACGCCGTATTGCCGATGCGGACACACCTCTCCCGGAGTCCGCCACACAAAATCGCGTCCAGGCGCGCTCTCTGCCTGCGGAGTCGCCCAACGAGAAGACTGCGACACCGTCGCAACAACCAACATCAGCGCAAACCACACCCGCGGTGCGGGAGCGCCGATCACTTCGTTCGCACGATGGGGGTTCCAGAGCGAGAAGCGAGTTGGCCCTGTATTTCCCCAACTACGAACAATTGCTGAGCTTAGAGCCGCCGAAGACGGGTACGCTCCAATGCTTGTCAAGCTTCTGAGAGCTACAGACTAACTCGCTTCTAGAGTTCCTTGCCGTCTATACTGCCATCAAATTTATCGATGATCATTCCGAGTCCTCTATCTCCTCGTCAGATCTCCCCGCACCCGACACAGATACCCCATTCGGGAATCCTCTCCTTCAGCTACACAACTGCGAGTCCATCGGTCTCCCCGAACCGCAATCAAATGAACCTAGCGATACACCCGAAGAGGACCCCCTGAATGAAGGAACATACTTCAAGGCCCATCGACGAAACGAACGGCAAGAAAAACAGCTGCGGAATATTGAGCGAGAACGAGCCCAACATGAGAAACAACAGCTGGATCGTCTACTGGACGAGTTACAGAGCCACGACTGGCTGCGGGTAATGGGAATCACTGGTTTATTATCTGACCAGGAGAAGAAACAATACGAACCAAAGCGAGACTACTTCATCAAGGAAATCTCCGCCTTGATCCAGAAATTCAAGATCTGGAAGGAAGAAGAGAAGCGACGCAAGGTCGAAAAGGAGAAGGCCGCCGCTGCCGCCGCCAATCCTTCGTTAAATGCGAATGCAGAAGCCCAGGACACTATGACACAACAGCATAACCAAGCCCCTGGCATCCCAGACTCCGAAGCGGAAGACTCCCCTAGTGTGTCGCTATCGGATGTTCCCAGCTACAGCGAGCCACCGGATATCAATGACGTAGATGCCTGGGCCGCCCGCCAATTAATTCAGGAAGCTCGGTCTGCAACAGCCGGGAAGAAGCCGAAATCAACGGTGTCTGAAGGGCGAAAGAAGACCAAGCCCATGGAACCGGAGATACTGCCACCCCTACCACCTCCCGTAGATGATAAGAAACCATTTACTTCGTTCTATGCCAAGCGTCACCTGCGGGACACGGCGCTGTCGGCACATAGAAAGGGCCGGACCCGGTTCGCCTTTGGCCATGCCGTTCCGGAGATGGACGAGCGAGACTTTGACCTACCGCCAGAGATCTTGACGCCCGAGGCGATTGACTCCTGTCGACGGAAACGAAGACGGATGAAGCGGGCTAGTCGGGGGTCAGAATAGATAAGTGTTTGTTGTATTATTAGACATTAATTGCATTCGAGAGTTTGCATCGTGGCTGGCCACAATACTATGATAGTAAAGCATGATCTGATGATTAGACGAGTATATCCGTAGTATGACCAACACCTTCACTACATTTCACCAAAACCCGACGGTCACTATCACACAGCACACCGTGATTGTCTACTGCGCAACTGTCAGCCTGGAGGTATTAGTGAAATACTATATCTAGTTTCGCGTCATCAACTCGAGCATATCCTTCCAGCAAGTTCTCTCGAGAGTGACATTATATTACTTGACCTTATCACCTTCCTAGTTAACAATCCCAAATAGACACCGTCTCTGGCCTTTTACACCAAGAGCCCGAGCCCTCCTGATCAGCCCCAAAGATTCTGCAGATGACCACCGTCCATGCAGCCAGGGGTGAGGCCTACAGCAGAGCAGGTTATTGCCGTCTGGATGAGGGTTCAGATTTGTCTATCCTGGAAGGTGGCTAACGCACTGTTCATCATGTATCCAAGCAAGCGCACGCAAGAAATTGAAGTATAGCATCATGGCATCCTAAGACAGCCCCTTGGAAGATAAGGGAGTTATGCATGAGCTTTCATTGACTCGGTAGATCAATATGAACACCCCTAATATTGCTAGACAGATTAAGGCTCCTGATACCGAAGAGAGGAAACCAAGGTCCTGTCTGCTATGGTCAGTCCTGGTAGGCTAGATACTAGTACAAAAAAGAGAGACCCTTCTGTCATAGTCCTTATCAAACCATATAAAAAGCTACTAGCAAAAGTATTGCGCTTTTTTCGAAGAATGATGGCCATTCGAACACGATTGGATATGCCTGTATTCTGATGTGGTTCTCGCCGAGCAACGAAGGCTTTTGACATACGATGACTGTATCAGACCCCAGCTGGACTACGAGGAGGTATGCCGCAGTAGATACATCGTATAGAGTATTCGGACACATCCAGAAGTCTTATCTGCTCCGATGGGGTAAGTGAGTGGCTCGGGGAGCGGTGATCTCAGTGTGTTTACGTGATATATTCACCGAAAAAGCCCCTGAGTACCCTTAAGTTATAAAGCGGCTGTATCCAAGAGGGGAATACTATAGTCGTTGTAGAGAATCCGGTATGTATTGGTACATATATACAAGAGTCATACCATCACACAGTCACAAACGCCATTGAACCCAATCCCATATCCACCGTATATATATACGCACGCTGTATCGCATAAAATAAGGCAAGACCAAACCCTGAAACGTTACGCATTACTCGCGCAAGAGAAACTTGCACTACTCGGGTCGTCGTGGATGGCTTTACCGGAGACGTAAAGGCCGAGACCACACTGTATATACATCAGCTACTGGCCTGTCGAAAATGGTATGGGGTTGGCCATGGGGTAGATAGCAAACTTACAAGCGTGGCAGCGACAACAATAGCCAGCAGGTTCACCAAGGTAAGAAGAATTTTCTTTGGAGAGGAAAACCAAAGACCTTTGTTCATGTACAGCCAAAACATTCCGCTCAGGCCGAAGGTGAACCAGCTAGCGAAAAGGGCAGTCTGTTATTGATATTAGTGTGTGAACGATAGTCGGTAACCTTGAGACTACAGGACACATACAATCAAGCTGAGAAGGTTACTGAAGACAGGAATAGCTTCGGCGATGATCCAGGCGAGGATCCACAGACTCGCAGCAATGCCCACCCAGGAGCTGACTGCGACCCAGTCGCGCTTATGCATGCGGTCAGTACCACGAAAGATACGGATATAGATGTATTTGAAGGCGATGTGGCCGTTGATGACACCGGCGATAATAATCTAGTTTTATTAGTCATTGTGCTCGGCTTTCTAGAGCTGAGACTTACAGTTGGCAAGGCAATGCCGTAGGCAACTTTCGAGACGACAGGGCTTGCTGACCCCAGGGCGGGAGAGGCGACATCAGCACCACCGTAGCGGTAGATGACCACGGCTGCAATGATATATAGGGAGATGTCAATGCTCTGTAGTAAACACAGAGCCTTGGGGAGTCCCGGGGGTCCTTCAACTCGGCGGCAAAACCGAAGAAGGCGGCATGTCCAGCTAATTTGGTTAGAGAGGATTATCGAGCTCGCCAGAGTGGATTATAACATACCGAAAGCGAAAACAATGTTGGTGACAGACGTAAATCCGTGGACCAGGTCGGTCTTAACCGTAACCTGCATGCTCCCGGCTCCGGGAGCTAAGATGCCAACACCGATCATGGTGATGATAACAGCTGACAGAATACTGATAAATGCTGTTGCTGGTCAGTATTATCCCTAGAAAATACAATCGAAGGTCCCTTACAAACAAGCGAGAGCCAGGACATCTTGGCCAGCGTTCGAGGCAGGGACAATACAAAGGACACCACCGCTCCGACCACTCCAAAGACAATGGAGCAGGTGCCATGCTCAGTGAGGGTGTTCATGGCAATGACAAACGTGAGTATATGACTGGCCATGATGAACACGAGGAACAATGTCTGGGTAATTCCTAGTAGTTCACGTCCAAATTTGCCCGCGAGCACCTCGCCCGCATCGGCCATGTTCGAGATGTGAGGGTATCTCCATTTGAACTGCCCAATCACATAACCAGTGTATGTAGCCAGGGCTCCGAAGAAAATCAAGATAATGATAGCGCTGTCGATATAATGTCAGTCAATGTAACATCGCCCCCATGAGTGTACGTACGGGACTAAACCTAAGCCGGCGACGGCCGCGGGTAAAGAAAGGACACCCAAAGACACTGTCTCGGCCACCATGAGCAAGCCGCATTGCCTATGGGAAGGATGGATTGTCAGAGATATTGCTCAGGAGTAATTGAGGTTCCCCAGTACACACCACCACTTGAGGACCTTGTACTTGACTTCGGCAAACTCCTCGTCACCGAAGGCATCTTGCATATATTGGGGTATATCTTCTTTCTTCTCATCTATGTTGAATGATCGCTGGTCGTCAGGCATACGCTTGTCCTGCTGCTCAACCTGCTCCACATGGTTCACAGGGGGGGATAACGAGACAATCTGAGGGGGACTCATAATGACCACCTTTTTGCTATGCAAGGAATGAATAATTTTACTAAAACGAATTATAGCAAGTGGAGCTTGCGTGAGGGCAAGAGAAGAAAGGGAGAGAAGGGTTCCCCGCTCAGATATATAAAGGAGCTTAGAAGCTGAGGGCGAGCAGAAGAGCTGCCTGGTGAGGAAATTGGCAGAGGAGGGTCGGGGGAAAGGGGAACACTAAGAGGCAGTAAATCCCACAGCTCAACCTATCTTTGGCTTCCGAGCTTATTCTTCAAATCAAGAACGAGCCATACTGACCCCGTCGACTTGCACTAACCCCAGTCTCCACCAGCGGAATATCCTGTCTCAGCCTGTCATCGGTGGCGAAGATCGCTTGGTTTCAGTGGGTCACTTGCTGGCCAGAACGAATCATGAATATGCGATGTAATAGAAATTGCCAGTACCCAGTCTGGGCTGTTGGAGGCCCGCAGTCACATTCTATTGTGGATCTGAAAAAGATGGAGCGAGATAGAGGCCATTGATGCATGTTGGACACGGTGTCAGTTGTTTGGTGCAAGGGGGGTTGAGAAATTGACCATAAAGTCTCAAGATAGATACATTTAGAGGTTGTACTCGGCGTTCCTTTGATGTCTACCTGTTCTCCATACTCTTGCCCTACGGGTTATTCGGCCTCAAGCGGGATAAGCTTCGGCATGGCGTCGTGGACGAATGCGGACAGTCCCTTCATGTCCGCATTGTATCCAATCAATCCTACTCAACCAGGACATATGCAGATCTGCCGTCACTGCATGAGCACTGTGACACAATCGCTCCGCTGTGCAAACGTGTGCGAACCTAATCGTTCAGAAACAGATAGACTCGTTGATAAGGATGTAGTTATGTAACTGATCCATGCTCTTGTATAAATGAAAATGTAAACTAAGCAAGCATTATCAGCTTGCCATGCGATATGCTAATCTACAGAAACGCAAATAATCACCTGTGCTGCTCCAGATAGAATACACCTTGGTGCCCACTGAGTGTACAGCCTTCATTGCCTATAGGTTCGTTTTTGAGTTCGATTGTTCAACCTTCTTCTGGAAGGAGAATTCCAAAAAAAAAAAAAGAAAAAAAGAAAAAAAAAACTCTTCAAGCCAGCGGATGTTTCTTGCAATGATGTTCAAGGTTTAAGCCAAGTGAAGTACGCACTCGTATATACTACTCGGCTACCCTCGGCCTCGGAGCCATTCCACAGGAACACGAAAACATGATCCCGATTCCGAAAGAAAGTTCCTGAGCGTCTGCACAGTACCCTGGTCAGCGGAATTGAGCTTCATCATAATCGTTGACTTGATAGTTATTCCAAATGTGCTCGATCTCCCCATGGAATACGTACCCCAGATCGGCTCAACCCCAGATACCAACCCCCGCTCCATCTCCAGGACAGCCTAAATTGCCCCGGATACGACTCAATGGGGCTTTTCCACCGGTAATTAACCTACAGAATCCCTGTGAATGGACGAAGCAGTAATCATTACCAAATAATTATCCCGAGGTATCTCGAACAAGCTCTCCCGCGGTGCCCGATTGTGGATCGGTTGCGGTGTGTACCGCCTCGACCGACACGGCTTTCAACTTGCGGGTATTTCCACCAGGAAAACATCCGGTTCCTTGTTTGCCTTTCTGGGGTCCGGGGTAGCCGCCCAGTGATGAATGCGCGATTTATCACAACCCCGGACAAATGGGCGTGTCGTGATTCCTATCTCAATGTATGGAGTACTAGTAGGGGGATCATATTTTTCTGGGGAAGTTTCTGTTAGTCATGGTTTCGGTTAGTTAGTTATTTATTGTGTTCTGGTTTCGGTCCACAGCGGCTCCGCCCTCATTCTGTGGATTAAATGATAAATCGAGATCGTATCTCGCATTGCCATAAATGCAGAGGGTACGCCCTCTGAGAGACAATGAGAGTGAAACTGTAGATTGAAAATTTGTGCCTTACAGTGACACTTTGCCGTGTTGTCGCAGACACAATCCTCGACACGTTTCAAGGTCTCATCTAGAGATTCATCCTATTCTCGGTGCTGATTTCCATGTGTCAATGTCTATGGGGTTTGAGCGAACTGATATGGGTTTAATCGAGTCTTTATTGTCTGTGGCGGGTAAAGAAGCTTATCTAAGGCATTGTCCCATAAGCTTGACAAAGCTGGTATTCAACGTTTTGAGTTGAAGTGCCTCAGAGGCTCAGCCTCTAGACCTCAGATCTGGCATTTCCGCCTCAGGTGAGATCAAAACCCCTGCCAGATATACGGGATCTCCTTTAAAATGAACGGGAGGAGCAAGCAAAGCAAAGGGACAGAGGTGGCTCGGTACCTACTACTTAGGTACATACTTGGCCGAGTACATACAGGGCACCGATTGGCTAGCCCTAGATCAGCAAAGTCCCAAACAACGCCACGATTGGGCAGCCCCGTCCAGCATTTCAATCACTAAAAAGGGGATTGTTTTTGGCTCAGATGCCAATACCTTGAGTCAAACTGGATGAGACTTTGCCTCGGAGTATATTTGAAGCAGGTTTATGCCTTCTGAACCAAGGTCGCCCCTCGCATCGCCAAGGCTTGAGTAAGCTCGCTTGGACCTTCGTAGTTAATTTACCCCTCCACCATGTCACTCGTGTCGCCGTAGCCTGGCGTAGACTCATTGTGGCTCGGGAGCCTGACACTAAAAGATATCGAAGCATCATCTGCTTCTTGCCTCTCCTCCTTCTGCGACCTCAGTAGTGAGGATTTACAGCCATGGCTACCGAGACGGAAAATGGCCGTATCGCGCAGGATGACGCTGACTCAACTCCCGAGCCATCCTTCTATCATCAGAGGGACGCTCGCCAGGTTATGGGCAAAATAATCAGTTCAAACTTTGCGGTCATGGTAGCTGGACTGAATGGTCTGTATTTCTGATCATCCGGACAAACTAAAAACTCCGAACTGACAGTGTGTAGACGCTGCCACTGGTGTCCTGATACCCTACATCCAGCCAACCTACGACATAGGTTTGCTGCAAGTCTCATTCATTTATCTCGTCAATTTTACCGGCTGGCTCTGTGCCTGCTTTGCCAATATCCATGTCTGCTCCCGGCTAGGAACGGGGGGCACGCTACTCCTGGGCGCAACGGTTCAATGCTTCGGGTATGCACTCATGTTCTGGCATCCGCCCTATCCTCTTTTCATGGCCGCCTTCTTTTTCACAGGCATGGGTGTCGCTTTCCAGGATGCGCAGGCAAATGCCTTCACGATCACTGTGAAAAACGCTCATAGATGGCTGGGTATACTTCATGCTGTATATGGATTGGGAACTATCATTGCTCCACTAATCGCTAACACAATCGCCTCGCGGACGCCAGAATGGCATCATTACTACTTGATCGTGTTTTGTGTGGGCGTTGTAAATATCTTGCTTCTTGCATGGACGTTCAGGCGAGGTCTTTTCCGACCTAATGTGCAAAATGCCAAGGATACCGCTAGCAGTGAATTGAAGGCTACGCTAGCTAATCGGTCGGTGTGGATCCTGAATGGATTCTTTTTCCTCTATGCTGGTGCGGAGGTGGCTTCTGGAGGTAGGATCTCAGAACATAAACCAAGTATATATGTCTTTCAGTTTCAGCTAACCTGAACAGGATGGATTGTCCAGTTCATCGTCTCAGTAAGACATGGTGACCCGAAGAAAGTAGGATATATCGCCTCCGGTTTTTGGACCGGCTTTACCGTGGGCCGGGTCCTTCTCGCGGATATCACACACAAGTTTGGTGAACGTCGAATGGTGTTTATTTATGTCGTGCTGGCGCTGGCGATGCAGCTCATGTTCTGGATCGTTCCGAGTATCCCCGTCAATGCTGTCGCAGTTTTCCTCTTGGGTAATTCACTTTGGACACTCGCAGCAGAAACCGTTGAAACGCTGACAATCCAAACAGGCTTCTTCATCGGACCATTTTACCCTGTTGGACTGTATGTTCTTACTGAAATCGTGCCTCCGGAGCTTCATGTCGGGGCAATAGGTATGTTGGCCGAGAATCGTCTTTCTTTTGCACATTCTCCAAGCTCAGTACTGCTTTGCTAACCCTCTGGAACAGGCTTCACTGCGAGTCTAGGACAAGCTGGCTCGGCCGCTTTCCCCTTCATGACAGGCGCAATTGCCTCGAAAGCGGGTGTTCAAGTCTTGCAACCGATCATGGTCGGCTTGCTTATCGGTATCGGCATATTTTGGGCCTTTATTCCCAAACAAGGCAAAATACGGCTCGAGGACGACGAGAACAGTCGACTTGCAAACAACTAGGATAAGCAGGCGGCCTTCTCATTGAGATGGTTGATACAAATTCGGATATGGATGTTGCCCTTTTAAAAATTGCTGCATTGATAAAATGTTTTGTTATGACTAGATTGTTCAGAAGTACTCTTATGCCTCGCACGAAATGGAAATCCATGAAGAAATACCAAGGCTACTGAAGTAACAGGACATGTTTCCGTCATAGCAGTGGTAGTTAATTCCTGAAGAGTGGATTTACCTCAGACCACTGAGCGATTCGCAGTGAGGTTGATATCCTATGTCAATAGCCTGCGTTGCTAAGCTTTTGGATTATTTGAGTGTCGCGACCAGATATACTCAACCTCAATGGCTAATTGTGTTAAGACACGCGATTGATATCTAGGTGATGGTCCCACGTCGCTTGGGTACCGATACAAACTTGGAGTTACATATAAACCAGTACCCTGGCCGTGCGATGTCTCGAACCGTACGAAAGAGCGTCCTGCCTCACATGAACAATTAGCATTACGGTCTCCACATTGAAAGCATTCATAATTTAGTGGGAAATAGCTCAGAGAGAAGATTAAGTCGTCATAGCCTTACACATCCTCAGATGGTATGGCGATCCGACTAAGGATGACTGATACGAAAAGTTTCATCATAGTCGCAAAAAGCAGGGTCAAGGGGAGGAGACTCACGGAACATTAGATACGGTTTCAGAACTCCCGACCGTAGTCGAGCAATGGCGGGTTCAGATAATGCCGAAAGTTCCTTATGGACACTAATTCTCTATTCTGTATTTTCGTCGAAGAATCCGGCTCCGGCAGCTAGTCTTCATACGAAACGATTCTGCGACCAGCCAAATGAGAATAATAACCTGATGGAGCAGGCTTGTGAGTACCCCCAGAAGCGTCTTCATCATAATCCAGCGTAGGGTTCGAGCTGTTATCTACGGTCTGGTTTCTGGCCGTGGACTGCCTGGTATTAGACTGTGGTGCCTTCGCTTGTTGATCCTCGCCTGTCGATTGATCAGTTTGTCCGACAACGACATTGGATCGCTTCGCAACAGTGTCATTCTCATCTGCTTGATCGTCCTTAGATTCATTGGATTCAGAAACTTTCTTATTTTCCTCCTCCTCCTCCTCTTCCCTAAGTTGTCTTTCGCGTATAAGTGAGTGTATCTCACTATGTCTGAATATTTTGATCTGCTCGTCCGTCAGGGTGCGCTTCACACCATCAGGGTAGTATCCGAGGCCGTCATCATCGTCTGCGAGCTCGTCCGCTACATTTTCATTGCATGCATACTCAGATACAAGAGACTGGGCACTTCCGGGAAAGTGTTTAGTTTGAAATGCTTGTAGGTCTTCCTATGGCGACGGGGGTCAGTGAGATGATGTGAGGACATGATAGGACAAAACTCACTATCGTTACAGGTGGGATGTGCAATATAGACATTTTGGTTGTTATCTGCAATGCAAACCTACTCACACGATTCAAGTCATACGTGGATGCAGTGTAACTGATCGACGTGGCAGCAGGTTGTCTACTTCAACAGCTTTTGACGACGGGAAGAAGTCGAAAGGACGCGTCTCTTGGCGCGACAATTCAGTCTGTAATCTTACAACTGCGCCGTAATTTAAGTATCCTGAGGCAACCGTATTTTATACATTTTCCTTCTGCTGGGATTCTATTGAATTGTAATCTAACAATAAAAAGTCCCAAGAAAAGCGAATCAAGACCATCAGAGATTGATACTATTATGACTTTATGATATTACCTTCACAACTAGATCCTTGAAGGTGCGATAGACAGAATAACGCATTTCCAAGACCTACCTACTATATACTATCGCATGAACTTGGATCCTAGGAGAGCATCTCCGAATCCTACCCTAAGAGTCAATGATAATTGTGAGCTCTTGCTTCTGGTACGTGGCTCATAATGAAACAAATGTTGATATTATAGAAGCCCGACTTCACCAGATAAACACGAATCACAGTGGTCGGAGCCTTCACGGGCTGCGCATTGTATGCATCAATCTGGGATCTTAGTCATTGGGTGATGCTATGGTTCAAGAACCTAGTCTATTTTGGAGGCACTGCACTTCGTATGTGACTTATGTACGAATAGCTAGGGGTTTTTTTTTAATGCCTTGACTGCAACGTAGGTATCATGAATGATATTACCAGTAGTGTCACCACCATGAATATATCATGCCTTAGAACTTTTCTCGGCAACCGATTATGAATTTCTGAACTTAATTAAGCAACCTTTTTCTCCTGCTATTCCATTTTCTTATTAATATTATGCGCGCTTGGATCGCTGGGACAAATTTGAATACAGTGACTAGTGACTACTAGTAGTCAGCTGATCCTGCAGCTGGTCATCCACAAGCTGCGCAGTTAGTGTTAATGCAAGGCATCGAACCATTACTATGTCACGGGAGAAATAAAATTCTCCGCTCCTTTCTAACTAATTACCCCAGTAGACTAGCAAGCGGTATACTCGTTATATTGTTACCGATTTTCACCTTCACGCAGTCAAAGTAGACGCTCAACTCACTTAGTCCTCGAAGTTCTATATTCGCGATCTGATCCCTTTCATCGGGAGAGGGTTCTGTCAAGCTCCAAGCCAAAGAGATGTGAAAGTAGTGGGAGTAGTCTGTAGAACCACCTTGTCGCCGTTGTGTAAGGGTGCTAGAGCTTGCATCTGCGTTCAAGATATGCGGTGAAGCCTCATAGAGCGGTGGCTGGCTAAATAAAGCTAGCGATTGATTTGAGAGTTTCAAAAGGCGGTTGAGGGCGTCATTTTCTGGCTTTTTAACTCGCAGAACATAGAACCACCGTGTCTTTTCATAATTGGACACACAGTGCAAGCCTTCCGTTGTAGCATTGAACCTTGTGCTATGTTAAATCTTTAGAGCCCTGTAAGGGGGCAAAGGCAACTTACGCTCGTATGTTTGAATCTTGAATGACGGATTGAAAGGTTTCCAAAAACGACTGCCTCTGCTCAGTCCGAAGAACTACCGGCCTTGAGAGGCTGATATGCAGTGGGAGTTGTGCGCCAAGGTCACTTCGCAGTAAGCTATTGAGCTCCACTTTACTTTTTCTAAGCTTTCCCTCTATCTGCGCAATAACATTGCTCAATACGGACAGCTCTCCTCTTGACGGATACCCTGTTCATGTTAGCTCACTAATCAGGAAGAGTAGCGGAGATTGTAACCATACACTCTAAATAGATATGAGTCGGCCAGTTTCCTTCAACGTGTGGAATGGCCCTTTTACGGCCCCCATGGAGGCTTGGATCATCTTTTACACTAATACGAGTGCTCGATGCATATAGATCATGGAAGGCTTTCGGTAGTGGAGGGAGGGATGAGACCGGCGTGGCAGTGTTTTCCTGCCGCAGTCTCTTGGCTGGTCTTGGAGAAATCTCACTATGTGAAGTATCTTCCTCAGACTCTGAATCCGAATATTGCACCAACGCCATCAGGTGGTGGGTGTCTCGTTGGGAAAAAATGTTTTGTTGTTCAACACACAAGCCCAAGAAAGTGTGGGTAACTTTCGGTATTTTGGTGCGCCAAGCCTGCGGCTTTCTGTACCCCAATGAGACATTGACAAGAGATAATTTCGTATATGCATCTTAACAATGCACCAGTAATGGCTGATGGTCGCTCCGTTCAGCTTATTGATATCAGAATTCGAACTAGCCTGCTATTACATGTGCAGCGCCTTGCATCTCGGGCTGCTGGTCATATACCAACCTGACTGATCGAGTTACTTGACTGGAGAACTGAGCGAAAATATGAGCCAGGACTCCCATGCCATTCGGACCCCGAGGCTTTCTAAGCCCTCTCTGGTCTCCATCCTCGTGTACTCGCATTACAGGCCAGTTTATTATATATCGTATGTCAGAAAAGTTAAATACTCGTGATGATGACCGTGGAGCGAAAGGAAAAGTTAAAACTGGTCTCGTGTGATCTCGTGACTCAGAATTGATGACTATATTTAGTTCCTCTATTTTACAGGATCTCAATTTAATCTACAGAGTACTAAGCAGGAATCTAAAAGATGCCCTAGGTTTCTAGCAGCGGTTCACTGAAATTCTTCGAAAGTTATATACATACGTTCTGGAACTTCGCGCATACTGGTTAGAATGGAACTGAAGTGAATGGCCCTGAACGTAAAATTGGTTCCTTGAATTTTATCAGGAACCAGTGGCTCGTGCGAGGCGATTAACTCAGTAAACGTCATGGAAGCAAATTCCACGGTTCTTCTAGACCTCTCGCTAGTACGACATCACAGAGTAGTACCTGTACTAGCCAACCTACTACACTATATTAGTCCTTTTAATGCGAGGAGCACGGACGCTATGATCGTACTAGTGATGAGCTTAAAATTCAACTTGATTTTTCCTATGAGATATTCTCTGGAATAAATGCTTCGGGCAATGGTCGGAGAAGAGGAAATATATGCCTCATCAGGTGGAAACTGTGAGATCAGTTATGACGTTACGATAAATATTGGTCAGCAGTGATATGCGGTCCACTTCAGTCATGCAGCCCAGTCAGATGCTCGAGGGAACCGTTGGTTGGTGCTGCCTGCTCGTAAGGTTCAGTGCCTTTTCACAAGTGCCTAGGAAATTTTCATGAATCCGTGGAAGACACCTTTGGGCAATTAAAATTCTGCGAAATCTCTGAGGTCAACCATCTAGACTCTCATCCTTTCATCATCGAGTACCAGTGAAATGTAACCAAAAGGGCCTAGTCCTCCGGACAGATCCTTACGCTAGACTCGATGTGGCGAAACCGCTAAGCCTATACAAGGCTGACGTGCCACTGTTATCGATAAGCCTCCCCGGACCCCTGCGGGATCATCATACGCAAGTCGTCACGTCACTCTCGGCCACCGATGACTCTTCCTTATATAGTATTACCGTCTGTCAAGAGTATTCTTCCTCATCCTCTTCATATCTACCTCTTCATTTATCTTCGCAAAGATTTCACACCAGACTACCACAATATCAACGGTTTGGGCGCCTGTGAACTACGATTTTCCACTTTCAATACAAGCCCCACATCAGATCGTGACATTAAACGCACTATCACAATAGCGTCCGTGTGCTATCGCCTACCTGCATACATCTATTCAACTATATTCAGCCATCTGAGCTGTCAGAAGACAGGTCTCAAATTTATTCTACGACGCCTTCACCGTCTATTCAACAGGATGGCCTCCGCCGGAGAAGCCATCTATATGACACCCTACTCGCCCTACCCTTCTCACCACCAGCAGGATTCGGATCTGAACATGAACAGCTCCTGCTGCCGTTTCCTCTCAGCTTCCCCAAGTCACCAGTCACTTCGACGCCAGCGATCCTCGTCTATCCCTTCTATTTGCTTTGACGGATATCTCGAGCACCTCCCCGTCGAGCCAAAGAAGAAACGCGAGTGCTCCAATTACTACAACAATCACCCCCGTCGCCATTCTCGCGGCCCACGACGCACAATGAGGTACTCTCGAGACAGTCAACTCGTTAATCCTGACGTCATCGACCGCTTGGACAGTGCTGGCTTTTATCAGTATCATCATGAAGGACCATACGATGCAGTATACCCGGAGAGGAATTTCGACAGCAAGCTGAGCCCCATCGAAGCCGTCAAACGAACGAATCAGGAAGCTTTGAAGGCCACCCCAGAGAATAAGATTAAAGACAGCATTAACAGTCATCGTCCTCTTGATGGGGTAGCTTTCTATCCACCTGGTACTACGGATAGGGAAGGACAAACTTACGACTACGAGGAGGGTACCAATATGATGAACGACTATGGTAACTTTATGCGCTGCCCCGGCTTGGTAAGTACTCACTCATATGTCTTTCTTTGTTACGACAAAGTATTAACGTCTTTTGACAGAAATTCACCGAAGAGGACTTCAAGAATGATCCTTTCTACAACACGCCACATCCAAAGCCATTCGCCTCCCTCAGAAGGGTACTGAGCCTGCGTCGCCGAAACCGCAGGAGTACCCAGTGAACTCGAATCTGGCTTCTCCATCTCCGAATGTTATTTAAGGGACATATAAAAGGTTGAGATTGATAAAAAAGGGTAGGATGTCAGGGATTTGACAACACAATGTGATACCTCATGTTTTGTATTGTTCTCATATACTTCAGCATCATGCTGACCACGGAATGGGCTGATATATGGATTTGAACGGAGTTTGGGCATGGAGTTATGGATTGATTATCTTTCGTGTTGTTCGGCTTTCTGTAATTATAAATGTCCGTCAAGATTTCAACATGCTTCCTCCTATCCCCGTTGAGCGTGATCATGATCATGATTGGGAATGTTTAATGTTGTTCGAATCTACTCCTGCACTCGCTACCCATCAGAGGACCAACTGGACTTGCTTCTGCCCCTCGGGTGCAACGTCACAAGTCCGATGGAGTGCAATTGAATCTACTTGCTTCTACCTCTTGGATATGACTGATGAATCCGATCGAGGGTCACTTTGCAAAAATTACATTGCCAGTGGTAACCTCCACTCTGTAGTAGCGTAAGAATCTCACTATGCATATGTTCCTTGGCGTACACCACCGCAATGAGTAATTTGCATTATATCAATGAGATCCATACATCAGGCGAGTTGGCGTAATCTATTTATCGAACGGAAAAGACTAGCCACGCATAACCTTTCAAAGTACTCTCAGGCAGTAAAAGTGTTGACTGGTGGTACGCCCAGCATATCCTAATTATGAAATCGCTTGTGTCAATACCAATCACAAAGTATAAGTATGGACGATCTCTACTAGTAGCTGTTCGCTCAAGGCAACCAAAATATACGATACGTAATGAGGAGGGGGAAAGGGTTAAGCGAGCAGTGCGAGAATGCGGCATTAGCGTGTAAGTGTGGAGAGCAGCAGTGTTACTGCGAGGGGTCTCCATGCTCCAGCTCGCCCTTGCATATACCCCAATGTATTAGTGGCTTGGGCAGCTGATGGACATGGCCAGTTTTAATTATTGCTCTCCAAAACGGATAGCCTTAATCCAATTCTATTTACTTTTTTCAGTGGAGAGTAGCATTCGGTCTTCTTTGGAGTTTGTCAAAAAAGAAAAGAAAAGAAAAGAAAAACGAAACGCCCCAAGCCAAGGGAGAGAAACTTGTACTGAATTCAATCACCTTGAGTATTATGAATGAAGTGATAATTTGGTCCCGCCCTAACCTCCAGTTTCTACCAGCAAGATCGCGTAAATAATACATAGATATATGCCATGTGTATGCCCTCACTTCACTGTAAGAGGGATTGGGCTCGAGCTCTTAGGGCTGGATATTCTCCACGAGATGCCAAGATTGTTAGATCTGGGGAGACCTGTACGGACACGCGCATGCTTGGCGCAACCAGGGTCCTTAAAATGGCACTAGTAATGCTATTAGGATCAGGGTTCCATTTATAGCCGGGGGGAAAGTGTCAGGCCATTTAGCTGAGGTAGGATTTTATGACTACCAAAGGATGCTTCCAAAGGATTTAAGGGCACGGTTATTCGGTTTGGTCTCATACAACATGATTCTAGTGAGATGTATCTTGCAGAGTACCTACGCATAGCGAGTAGTCTAAATACTGTTTATGTTAGTTTGTTACTGCCCATATTGCTAAACCATCTTGTTCAGCACTGGGATCCCCTGTATACCTACCACTGCATTAAAATAACTCTATTCTTACCGCGGTGTTTACAGTACAAGTCTTTTATTAGCGAATTTACCTCGTTATATATGTTCTCGAGGATGTCATGACTTGCATCCTTCATTTGTCTCTCTTGTTTTTGTCCCATTTATAACAAGATCATCCTTATTAATTTTCATTTCATATAACCTGAAACAACAAAGGGAGGACCTTCTTTGTTTCAATTGAAAGTTGAGGACTGTAGAAACATAGTTGGGGCGCTAGCGAATGGAACTGCTTCGAAAAAGGCTTGGCAGAGATTATTGAAGGAGGACACTATTGATAATCATCCGATGACTGTCATGCAACTCCGCCACCAAGGACAGCTTGTCAACTTCTCTCGCTCTACTCCTTCATAACTCGCCCAATCCGCTCATTCTCTTTTTTAGATTTTCTCGGTCGCGTTGAATTCTGTCGCATCTTTTTACCTTTTTTTTTTTTTTTTTCTTTTTTTCTCGTTCATTTAAATCCCGATAGATATACATAGCAGTGGATCATTGTTGACAGAAGATCATGAGCTTAAACCCTTGATCTGATTGACAATTTCTAGGCCCACTGTTTGTGTTTCTCATGTGAAGGGCTAACGGATTTACACAACCGATAGACACATAAGTTTCTATACACCCACATATCTATTACAATTGTTTTCTTGCACATTGTTCTCTGGATAAAAAAAAAATGTCTTCTGCAGCCAAAGTATTTTATTTGGCTGTGTTTGCCTTCTTGAGGCTCGCTAATGCCGAGTCTCAACATCATGACCAGAATACATGCGCCGTGAGTTACACCCCATATATATAGAAATCAGGTTTATTCTTCCCTTATTGAGACCCATTTGCTAATCTATGCTCTGTCTAGATCGACCCTAAAGCCACGGTTTCCGACGCCTGCGTCTCCTACAGCAGCATTGATTCGTTGAACGACAAAGTCTACCCTCTTCTCCAATCTATAACTCAAGATACCGACTTCTTCTCGTATTATCGGCTTAATCTCTTCAACAAAGTCTGCCCCTTTTGGTCAGACGAGAATAGCATGTGTGGGAACATCGCATGCTCCGTTACTACCATCGAGTCGGAAGAGGATATCCCGCTACCATGGCGCGCAGAGGAGCTAAGTAAGCTCGAGGGCCCGAAGGCCGGTCATCCTGGGCCCGGGGTTCGGAAGGAAAGACCTGGCGACCGACCACTCCAGGGTATGTTGGGAGAAGGTGTCGGAGAAAGTTGCGTGGTTGAGTACGATGATGAGTGCGATCAGCGAGACTATTGTGTTCCGGAGGACGAAGGGGCAAGCGCTAAAGGCGACTATGTCAGTTTGCTCGATAATCCGGAGCGATTTACGGGATATGCAGGAATGGGAGCCCACCAGGTGTGGAATGCAATTTACCGTGAGAACTGCTTCTTGAAGTCGATACCGGAACAATTCGAGCTGTCTCCGAATCCTCAGTTTGGGGAGCTTCAGGCTGTCAATGACTTGCGCAATGTTCTCCAGAAGGAGCTGAAGCGCACAGAGGGATTGCCGCTGGACAATGAGTGCCTCGAGAAGCGGGTCTTCCACCGGGTTATCAGCGGTATGCATGCATCCATTTCGACCCATCTTTGCTGGGACTATTTCAACCAGTCTACCGGCCAATGGAACCCGAATTTGCAATGCTTCCAGGAAAGATTGCATGATCACCCGGAGCGAATTTCGAATTTGTACTTCAACTACGCCTTGGTGTCCCGCGCCGTCGCGAAATTACGGAAGCACCTCGAGAATTATACATACTGCACCAGCGATCCCGTTCAGGACGCAGACACTAAGGAGAAGGTGTCCCTCTTGACTTCGGCTCTCGCAAATCGGCCCCAGATTTTCGATGAGAACCTGATGTTCCAGGATCCAAGTGCCATCGGCTTGAAGGAAGACTTCCGCAACCGGTTCAGAAATGTGAGCCGCTTGATGGATTGTGTTGGATGCGATAAGTGCCGACTATGGGGGAAGCTGCAGGTTAATGGATACGGCACGGCCTTGAAGGTCCTGTTCGAGTACGACGAGACCAAGAATGGAGAAAACCCTCCTTTGCGCAGGACAGAACTTGTGGCTTTGATCAACACTCTTGGTCGCATCTCTCACAGTGTGGCGGCTATTAGGAGCTTCCATCGTGCTATGGATGTGCAAGATGGAGAGACTCTCACAATTCCCGCTGACGTGTCGTCAGTAAAGAACCCCGAGGGCAAGACAACAAAACGTCTCATCAAGGACGGTGGTACGACGTTCTACTATGAAGATGATGAAGACGATTTCCAGTATCTTACCGAAAAGCTACCATGGGAGCGAGCGCCACGAGGCGAGGATGACGGCTTCCTAGACGACCTCCGTTCCGAGTTTGAGGTTTTTTGGAATACATTCGTCTACGTCTTGAGGAGCTGGGCCAATATTCCCCAAACCCTGTGAGTATTCTTGATGCGAGTAATAACACCTGGGTACTAATGGCCATTTGACACAGATTTGAAATTTCTACTCTAGAGTTCAACCGACTCTGGAATTATTGGCTGGGACTTCCCGTGCCGCCACGGTCCTGGAAAATTAAACGGCCCACGGAGCCGGGGATGCAGAGCCGCGATGAGCTATGATCTGGGGTATTTTTTACCGCGTATACATTAGGTGATCAGGTCGTTTGTGGATTATTTGACTGTACAATAGCAGAGGATCTCTTCATTGGCGTTTCTTAGGCGTTGTTACCTACAACCAGCGGATGCACATCTTCGGAGTTCAGGGTGTATATTATGTGGGTGTGAACAGCTTTGGTTGTTTAAGTCTTATTCACCGAGAGTCCAGGCTTGGGTGAATGCATGTCTTTTGAATTTTAATGTTCCTACCGGTTTTCTAGAACTTCGTATCAACGTAATCATATGAATCACCAAAGTTCGGAATTCGCTCGGAGTTCTCCGTCGGCAAGCCTTCCGTTAGAGCCTCGGTATTTCCGGGCACATGCACCACCGGACTTTTCGATTTCTCCTCCTTTGCGCCTCCACCGCTCTCAGACCCCATCCCCATCTCCACCATTCACTTTCCTCTACACAGTACTCTTCTCCTTCCCCATCTCTAAGCTTCCACTATCTACCTCACCAGTAGCACGGGGAGCCCAGCTTACTGTCTCCGCTTGGGTCGACCTCGATGCCAGGCTACTGATTGATTACCTCTAATACAACATATGGCATCGGTTTCGCCACCCAAGCCTTGGGAGAGAGCAGGTGCCGCAGCGAGCGGTTAGTCATTGTCCACTTGCCGATCTATCATCCTCTCCTTGACCTTTACTCACACGATATTTCACTAGGAAACGCATTGTCAGCACCACCTACTGGCGGCCCAGTCGCCTCTTCTGCGATGACTGCCACAGCCGCGGCGCCAGCCGCGACCACACCTACAACCGCCTCAACAACATCTGCCGTCCCCGACCTTCCCTCTCGTCCTAATTCGCTAAATGCCGTCGTAAATCGCACCGCATCAAACTATTCACCGTATGGTGCCTCCCGGCTTGGATCTAGCCCATATGGAGGGTACGGTGGCTATGGCTCATACTCCTCGCCATATTCCCGCTTTGGCACCATGGGGTCAATGTACGGAGGAGGGTATGGAGGTTATGGCGGCATGTACGGTGGGATGGGTGGAATGGGTGGAATGGGCGGGATGTACGGCGGCATGCCTGGTGATCCCAACGATCCCAACAGCTTGACCAATTCTTTCAGTCAAAGCACACAAGCCACGTTTCAGATGATTGAAAGCATTGTGGGCGCATTCGGTGGATTCGCTCAGATGCTTGAGAGCACCTATATGGCAACTCATAGCTCATTCTTTGGTATGTTATAATCGTCTGGTCTATTCGGTGGTGAAGCCTGCGATTTACTAATGCCTCTTTTTTAGCAATGGTGTCTGTCGCAGAGCAGCTCGGAAACCTGCGTACTGCCTTGGGCTCGGCCCTCGGAATCTACACTATGATTCGGTGGTTCAAGACGTTGCTTGCTAAGATTACCGGCCGCCCTCCCCCGGCAGATGCCACTTCTCTGACTCCCGCTGCCTTTGCGGCATTTATGCACGGTCGGAGTTCGCCGGCCACCCTTCCGGACGGCTCTCCCGCACCCCCTAGGCCATCGAAGAAGCCATTCATTATGTTCCTCCTTGCTGTAGTCGGACTTCCTTACTTGATGAGTAAACTCATCAAGTCACTTGCCCGCTCCCAAGAAGAGCGCCAAAAGCTCATGCTTGGGCCAAACGGCGAACCCGTACAACAGGCACCATTGGATCCTTCGAAGCTCGACTTCTGTCGGGTCCTGTACGACTACACTCCTGAGACCCAGGAGACCAACGGCATTGACTTGGCCGTGAAGAAGGGCGATATCGTCGCTGTTCTTAGCAAGTCAGATCCCACGGGCAACGCATCGGAGTGGTGGCGATGCCGTGCTCGGGACGGCCGTGTCGGGTATCTCCCCGGGCCATATCTAGAGACTATCCAGCGGAAGCCACAACAGCAGGCGATCACATCGGGCGGCGAAGCAAGCAGCCGTACCAACAGCATGCAAGCTCACGTCTCGGAGGAAATTCCGGCAAGCGAAAAGAAGCCTGAACTTAAAGGGAAGATGGGCGACATCTCTCCAGAAAGCTTCCAGAAAAGTGCTTTCTACTCGTAATGCCTGAGCGGATTTGCTATGCCATGTCTTTCTTTCTTACTTCTATCATTAGTCCACGAGCAGGAGGTCATGTCGGGTTGACTCCCTTGCAGCATGGATCTTACTACTAATGGGCGGGACCTCATGACTACTTCACTACTGGATATTCAAGCGTTTTGGGTGCTTAGAGGTATACGGGTTCTTTTTATGTTTCTCTTTTCTCGCTTCTTTCTCATGTTCCACGTTTTCAGCGACCAGATGACTATTTATATTATTTTACACTTCATACCGTGTACAGATTACCATTGTTTTCCTTTTGTTGTCAGGAACAAAAATTGACGGTTGGTCAGAGCGCCACCCATCTTCATAAAGTAAGAACAATGCCGATGTAAACCAACAAGTAACCAACAAAACAGAAAAGAACCACACGTAAACCGAGTCATGATGGCCCTCAAACTAACCAATACCGGCAATCTCCACGACTCATATTCCTGATCAATTTGCTCAAATAGTATAGTAAAACTAACGACCCAAGCGTAAAAAGAACCACCGTTCATCACCCAACTCTATTCTCCATCCGGCAAAACGACCCGGCCACTGCCCGGCCGTGCGGCTCCACCATTTACCCGAGCAACATCAACGTCCCCAGTCCATTTGCCTTAGTCGATAAAAGAGTAGTGGCGGAAAAAGGATATTTATTAGCTTGCCGATTGGTATTTGGGGCTGTGGGGGAGGGTTTATGTACACAATTTACGCATGTATGTCTGTATGTAATTTTTCCTCCTATAATCTGGGCTACTTGGCTTAGTTGGTGACAGTGCTATAGTTATAGTTATACATATATATGTCGATTATTAAGATGTTCTTCAATGAGTCCATGTTGATCGCTGGGTGGGATGAAATGAGGTATGTATGTATATAGTACATACCATACTACTTCGTAGGACGGGCGTAGACCCGGGTACGGTAGATTACTACTAGTATACAAAGGTTCCGGGGTATCTAATAGTTATCATTACCCTCTATTTTTATAAATTGTACAGTACAGTGCTCCGTACATACACAGTACCATAGAGAGAAAATACAGTAGCGCATACATAATATATAGATAGAGTATTGTGTCTAGCACCTACGTCAACGCCTACGAAGGGCCTCACACATAACCCCTCCGGATAGAAATGCCACCGATGCAATTGATAAGCACTCGGTGGCGAAACTGTGGCGAATAACAGATGATCAAGATTATGCATGTTGTCTGGTAAAAAAGATGAAGATGGTGGCAGTGAAGCTTACTAGTACGCGGAAGCTCTTCATGGGTCCCCTTTTAGCAACGCGGGCAAAAGTACCGATACGATAGTATTGCATGATATGCATGGAAACCACTAGGAATCTGGTATTCATTCACCCTTGTGACCTTAGGATCGCTCTTTCCGGACGATCACTCCGGATACGGAGTTGTGGTGATTGGATTACATCATGCTAGTCTGCAGTGGGTTTTGATGCCCGATATTAGGGTCTGGATGGGTTTCTTTTCTTTTTTTTTTTTCCCCCTCTCTCCTTATTCTTTTACTGCTTTGTTGCGTAGTTTATTTTAGTTATTTTCATGGCCTGGGATCTCGAAAGCATGGGAAATTGGAGGGGGGTTCGCTGCGCGTTCGGCTGTAAGGATTCTCTTCTGATATTAGGTATGTATGCTATTATTTCTCTTGGGCAAAGGTACTAGTGAGAAAGTACGAGGGATTCCGGGGGAGGGTTAATTTATATAGAGATCGACAATCCAGTCAGAAGTGATGCTGGGACCTGAAACCACCGGCTTTGGCGCTTTGATCTGCAGCTGAACGAACCGTGGCGGGCTATCCTCGAGACAAGGAAGCTGAGTGCCAGTGGCCCAATCGGGGAAGGAAGTGGGATCCGGCCCCATTTCTAGTTGTCTCAGTGTAACTGGGTGGCTGTTTATTTGATTCAGGTGCGGATAATATTTCCGGCCTGGTCTGCTGGCTGGTGCTATTAGTCAGTTCCTCTTAGCATTTGTCATTTTGTCTGGTCGAGTGGCAAGATGTTTGTGTTGACTGGCAATTAAGTCGTGGGTGTGGCCTTGTTACGTAGTAGTATTATAGTCATGGTTGACGACAAAATTCAAGTATTCTTAGGGTCCAACAAATTCTCAATTCAATCTCCTGCCTGTGTTGAGGGGCTCGAGCAGACCAGGGAGGTTCTTGCCTGGCCCTCTGTCCGACGTGGCTCTTCTCCACTGGGGTTGACCCTGTCGTGGTATCCGCTGATGTTTTTCGTTTAATTCCTTCCACTTCGTTTGGTCTAGTTGACAATTTCTGGATTAGGAGTCCGCTCACAGCCAGCTCCACAGGCCGCCCCTCGTACCTGACAGGGTAGGAAGCGTCGCTTGCTCTTGTGTTTCATCCAGCATAGACTGTGCGTCTCATGTGCTGTCTGTCGTTATCTTGGAGTATACATGATAGACTTGAACTTGGATCTCACGTATGGGAGCTGCGCGATAGGGTGACACTGCGGGGGCCTGCTTTCGGAAAGCCTCTAATAAGCCTTTTGTACACCGTGATGCCAATTAGTTAGTGTCTCTTCGAAGTTAGCGACTTGGTTTCGTGTGTGGGTTCGCATTTGCATGTCGGAAGGGTGCGATATCGTGGAGCTGCTAAGGGCGGCACGGTCCGGGCCGCTATTGTACGGAGTAAATCCAACAGTGGCAGGGGTTGTGGAGAATAACAGAATGTGTCATGGTATGTATCTGCTGCGATGTACAGCACGGGTGGGTCACGGTGAGAGATACTAGTTCGATGACTCCGTTGTAAACTGGCATCGCACTGGTAATGGAGGTTCGACACAGCAGAATTCCACTTATGTTGCAGGCTAGTTTGACGTCCTTCCGAGACCGTGGTGGGTTAGCTGCAGTAACTTAATGATCCTTAAAGATATGCTGTGAAAGGTACTTAACGATACTGCGTAGGGGCGGTAGTAAAACAGAACACTTGAACAGACATGGCAGGTACATCACCACAGCACCGCAATCCTTGTTGTCACAGAGTCCTGTACACCTTGTTTTCTTTCTTTCTTTCTTTTTTCATTCATGGGGATACCATAACCTACATCAGACGTTTCCCGGTTAAATCAAGCCATAGATGCTCTATATAGTTAAAGTCCTGAACAGCAAAGGAAAGTAAAATGGAAAAGAAAAAAAAAACATTGAGAAAAAACGGCTCAGACGCTTAGAACAGATGGATGGAGGAGGTGTTACAGGGTCAGGATCGTTGAGTGCTTATTGACGAAGTGGCTGCGGGGGATAATAAAGGGGGGGGATCAGGGAAGTTGAGTTGACAACATCTAAGAATGAACCCAGAGGCTCGGCAAATCCTCACTCTTCGTCTCTAGATAATCCGTGCCGCTCATAAAAGGGGGGTGCGGTTTTCTTCTTCATTAGGGTATATAAATCCGGCCATCGAGGCCTCAAGAGTGTCGTGGAGAGCGAGAAGACGATTCTGAAAGGAATCAAGATCCTTCCATGATACATCATTCGTGGTTTTAGGTGTGTCGTTTGGTAAGCTGGGGCTATAAGTTGTTGTCGGCAAAGACTGGCTATCATCAACCTCTGAAGCAGGAGTTTGTTCTATCTTAAGCTTATCGTGACCTGCGCTCTGATTAACCAAAGTTTCTTTTTCCAGCCAAGACTCATAGTGCTTGACAAAGCTTCCATGAGTTGTACAGGCTAGTGGAAAGGATGGGGTCATCTCACTGCGAGGTGACATCGTCTCTGGTCGAGGAGACAAAGTCGAGCTTCTATCTCTAGCATCGGGCTCGGGCGTATAGCAACTCATATCGGACGGAGTATCTAGCTCTGTATGAACAGCTGATGCAACAGATACGTGATCACATGGAAGCAACCTACCAGGCTCTGGGCTTGACCGATGGTTCAGCGGTTGGGTTTCAGGTTGAGACTGAGGTTGAAGTTGAGGGGGAGATTGGGACTGAGACTCGGCGCGACCTTTGTTATCCCAGTGAGTACCGTATCTACGGACGAAACGAGCGATACGTTTCGAATCCACTTCTTGACCGGCGACACGAAAGCCAGTCTGTTTTCCCCGGGCAGCTCGTTTTTGTTGTTTTCGAATCATCACATGAACTTCTTTGGCTTTTATATTCTTCCGAACATGCCAGGCTGCCAGCCGGTCTTTGTATTGTTTCTCTCTGCGAAGCTTATGCGTTAGGAGTGTTTTTTTAAATTGATCCGATTCGACTTTTTGAAGAAAAAGAAAATAAAACAAATAGATGGGAGCAACAATGGCAAACAGTAACACTGTGTATCAAATTTCAAATACATCAAAAGGGTCCCAAAGCCCTTCGAGATATACATGGAGTAAATCCAGGGTTCATAAACGACAATAGAGGTAGGATCGTAGGAGGGATTAGTACTAATGGAACGGGACTAGGGGGAACAGGGTAAGAGAGAAAAGGAAATGGGAGGTCAGTACGATGCATGAAACTTATAATCACGCTCCATGATTCTCTTGACATCTCTGAGCTTTAATTGATTGTCACGATAGAGTTGCTCGATGATCGGACGGTACTCGTGCCAGTCCTCGGATCTGCGGGGGCGAAAGATGGATGAGGAAGTGGATGGCGAGGGAGAAATGGGAGAAATAGCGGACGACGGAGGGATGGAGCCATCCATCGTGAGCAGATCTCTAGAAAACACTGTCACTCATACTCTTGCGCCGTTTCGAGGTGAGAATTAACTATCTCAGCAGGTGCCAGGAAGACGAAGGCGAGCTGAAACGATGAAAGTGTGGAGAAAAGACACCAGATAATGACTGGAGAAGGTATTGGAGGTAAAAGAAATAAAGAAGTCTTATGTAGTTACAGAAATAAAATTAACGAAACGAAAAGAAAAGAGAGAGCAAAAAAGAAAAGAAAGGCAGACAGGAGAGGCGTAAGTGGGAAAGTAGTAGAAACTTGAAAGTCGTAATTAGTTGACGGGTGGTCAAAGCAGCCGCAATAACAAGATCGAAAAAGATGGTCCAACGGAGTCAAGGCTTGGGGAAGTGGGAATTGGTAATAATTATAGCGATAAGTGATAATGGGGGACGATGATGTATTGTATGTTAGTAGTAAGTCGTAGTTCGGTCAGTGACCGTACGTACATACATACATAGTTAACTAAAGTTGGTCGTGATTAAGAGAGAGAGAGAGAAATTCATAAAAATTGCAAAAGAAAATAATAAAAACAATATCGAGTGTCAGGACAGGACAACGATGTCAAGGAAATCAGGATCATAATAATCGAGTATGCATGTGTCTAAGTATGTTATACGCCGTAACAATTGGTTCCAAGGACTTGGCTTTCGATTTCTCTCACTCCTTTGGTCGTTTTGCAATTTTTCTCCTCTCCCATACTACTATACACTCTCTCCTGATTTTTTCTCTTAAGTTTCCAACCATATCCTGCCAACAAATCATAAAAAGTGGAAATCAAGTCAGCAGTTATCCAGACATCACGGGAGTATAAATAAATAAAACATCCAAGCGAAACCTAGAGAACAATGGCCATACCGAAGCTCTCTTCGCCCCCCCATACATACAAAGAGATACTCTTACATAGTACGGTAGGACTTCCGGTCCAACGGGGCAACCGAAGTGGTTCGCCCGCTCGGATACGGAGCAGCTAAACCTCCCTAAGGGCTAGCGCTTCCAACTAATTAAAAGTACTGCTGCTGACTGGCAGGGCCGCCTGCCCTTTGCGGCGACTTGCTGCTGGGACTGACTGGCGGGAGGCTCGATCCCTGCTTCCCCGAGCCAATTGAGGAATAGCTGCTTGGGTCCGTGTACTTTTGTCACGTTCTGACCACTGCATGTACATGTAAGTACTGCCCACCTCTGTCTGTGCTTCCGCCAACGATGCCCATAGTACCAAAGTCTAAGGAGCTAAGCACCATCCTGGGAGGTCTCCTAAGTTTACCACTTTTGAATACAACGGGTTTAAGACAAAGACAGCAAAGAAAAAAAAATAAGGGGGGGTGGCGGCATGAAAGAATAGAAGAATAATTAAAAGAAAGAAACAAATGGCAGAGAATTTGGAATAAACCTAGAATCAACAATGCCTTATGTGGGTAATGTAAACGGTAATACCATCAGCCTGCTAATTACAGTTCAGTTGTCGACGAAACATACATACATGTATGTAGGTTGTGGAAGGAGTATTTTTAATCTACAAGGAGGCATGATTGACATCAACTTGCCTATTATAGCAACGTTCTGAGAAATAGAAGGTAAGAAAAAAATACTAATAATAACCAACAATATCTACCCACTCACGCTGAATTTCAGGACAAAGAGAAGAGAAGAACTCTCCAGGCTTGATGAAAAAGTATTCTTACACAACCCCTTTGCAGGGCAACAGAAAAGAAAATAAGGAAAAAAAATATATATGTATATATATATATATTATGAGGAGGAATTACCGCAGTGAAATACTACATGTAAAAACAATTACACTGTAAAAGTGATCACTTAGTCTGCATACGCCATTTTCTGCAGGTGCAACATTCGAGGATCATCATTGTCGGTTGTCAGATCACCAAGGTTAGACCCTTCTTGGGCCTTGACATTGTCCGAGATGGCGCGAGGTGAACAGGGATCGGCTTTAGTATTCTTTTCCTTTTGTCTCCGAGGCTTTCAGGTATTGTTCGTGGAACGGGGTTTTATTCTACTATTACTAGTAGTATAGGACATTCTAACGTCGTCAATATGGAAGTAAGAACAACAAATGAAAATGAAAAAAGATGGGGAAAAAAACAAACATGGAAAAGTCAAGTTAAAATCTACTATCAGATGCTCTGTGACGATTTAAATGTCGCTGGTACCTTTTTCCATTTTTTATCACTATCCTTCTTTTCCCCTTACTTGGCTTTTCCACCTTCAAGAAAACACATTTAATCTACTCGAGCCCTAACTGAGAAAAACGCTCGAGACGGTGTGGCAAAGTTCGGGTCATAGGCTGAGGCCTGAGCTCCAAACGTCCCCAAAAGTCTCCTCGCGATGGAGTCGTAAATGTCCCTATTAAGTTAGAGTATAACGGCCCCATTATTCTGGTATATTAAATTGTTCGAATTAGGAGTAGTCGCGAGTTTGGTTTTTACTGACAGATGCGCTAGAGATAGTTGAACTGTCAAGTACAAGGAACGTCGGCCCGGAATAGCATATTCGGCAGACGATGATTCGAATTAGTTCAACAGAAAGTAATCAAAGAGGGCGACAAACGAAGAAACAATTTTGCAATATAGTAATCAATAACCGACATTACCGACGCATGGACAATCCGTTTGCTAAAGTTTCGCTAGAAATTCTTGTCGAATCCTGTGCATTTTCTGCAGATGGTGAAACCCTTTTTAGTTGTTCTTTTTTGGGCGGGAAAGAATGCCATTCAGAACTTTGCTTCGACTCTTCGGTCAATTTCCCCTCTGATGTCTAGCTGCATATTTCGCTTCTCCTGTTTTAAGGTCACGGCAAAACGGTTGACCACACTGTCCCCAAGTAGATCCTGCGGGCCGTACTCGGTATCGACAACAGGACGTGCCAACAAGCCAATGAGCAGCTGATACTAGGTACGATTTCCTGTGGGTGCGGCATGAAACATGGTAAATGTGGGTAGTATACCTCATATCAAACGCATTGTCTCTACCAGAAGGGACTCTGCGCAGTGAAACAGCGCTTTGAACATTTAGTACTGTACCTTTGGTACTTTTGCCACCCATAATCCCTCCAGCATGAAACGCAGTGAACAAGCGTGTCGAATCTTCTGGATATATTCGCGAATTATGCCACCATGTGCAATAATCACAGTGCGATATGATGTGGCGCCCGTTGGGGCTCAAGATTTTCAAAAGTTTATGACCTTCGTAATCCTCCGCCAATTGGTTGTCAATCTTGTCTGACAGATCACATGGGGAAGAAAACGCGTACCCGAGGAAGGGAGAGAACGAGAGGAAGAGGAAGACTATCTGTGTGCGTTTGGGTCTCGTCTGATCTAGGTACTGAGACCGTCACTCACCTGACAGTAAATAGCATCAGCATCCAGCGAGGGATGGTCGATCCCACTGTCGACGGATGGAGACCACGTGAATCAGCATTCTCACAGGTTAGTTCCTCAGCAGTTGCCTTGAGCAGTGCGGCATTTCCATTGCTTAGGTATGCTAAAGAATCTTGAAATGGACTAGAGGACGTAGGCATGCACATGATCCTAAGGATCATACTAGAAATAGTCCTTTTTTTACCACACATTAGGCTGTTTTACACTCTCGGAGTTTAGTCTTCACTAGAAGATCGAGGTAGTCTCGACCATTAAGAAACTGGATTCTACGAGTTCTAGAGGGCAGGAAACATAACATAGCATGATATTTTAGTTTAATCAGTTTTTATCAGAGTGACTATTGTACTATTCCATTACACATCCAGACATGGTATGTATAACCAGCCATCCATACTGTCCAATGGCCAACCTGCCCAAGACCTTTGTAAGTAATAGTCCATGATCTAATGCACAGTGACCAGCATCTACTTTATCCACATCTAAATGGACATACCTCCTAGGCCACTACACAGTATTGTTGGTGTCTAGGGTACATGGTTTCAAATACTTTAAGATTCCGCTGATCTTGCTGTGAATTGTTTCCATGTATGGAAGCACCAAAGTAAGGCTGATAGGGCAAAGAAAGGAAGGAGTGAAGAAAAAGAAAAAGAAAAAGAAAAGGAAGAAGGAAGAGGAAAATGAAAGATAAAAAAAAGAAAAAAACTTCGGCCAACGTAGGATAATTCCCATAAAACGTTAGTTCACATCAGGTCTAGGGTAGTCCTCCCTCCGCCTGCTTTAGTACAGACATGTGGATCTTAACGGTAAGAAGTGGAGGGGATTCACGAGGTGTGGCTTAGTCTGGTTTGGAGGTCCAGGTTTGCTCCGTCCTCCAGGTTCTCGAGTCATGGTTGATTACTCAAGACTTCAGAGTGGAAGAAAAATCCACGCGAACACTACATATGATACGTTGTTTCCTTTGCGCCTCACTGTGCCTCACTATGAGCCTCTCTAAAGAGAGACGGCACCGATTCCTTTCATTTCAGACCGAGAACTATTGTCCTGCTGTGTAGCATGCTACATATGGAAGGGGAAAGGAGGCATGATCTCCCTATATCAGATGGATATGTATAGGTTTTTGTCAAGCGCCGGTGCTAATTAATCTGTCATAGTGTTGAGGTCAGACAATCATGACCGGGGTACAAGGTCTACCCAGAGGATATGTAATAGTACTTGTGTACTGCAATCCTAATGCATATGTGATTCAACTATCGTTGCCAGAGGTAGAGAACATAGATTATGTTTAGTGAACGGAATCCTCCCGCGACGCAACTATAGAGCAGTGGATTAAGGATCGGGCGAGAGTACTAACCTGACTCGACCAAGTTGTATCCAATACCGTACAAAACCATACAAAACGCTGGCGTTTTCTCTGTCTTTCTTATGCTTTTCTTTTTTCTTTTTTCTTTTCTCCCTCTAAAGGAACCAACCAAAGGATGCTAAAATATGCCCTAAGTATAGCCCGATGAAGACGTAAGGGCCAAGAAACAACAAAAATGGCAAGGCAGCCTGACAGTTACATTGATTCTGTGACCTCCTTCCTGTCACGCCGAGTCCAGGTTCCCTGTAAGTGTGGATCACAGGCCTGGAGAGACCGTCATATTGCTATTTTCTTTAGAGACACCAATAGCGTTAGAGGGGGGATTCGATTGTCAGCATTTTCATTGCGCACACACTTGTTTGGGGGGTTCTCTATAACAAATAAATAAATTAAATAAAAAGGGAAAAATCAGAGAGAATAAAGAACAAAGAGGCCAAGGTAACAGGATTCTTCCTCGTGCGCCGTGTGCCCGGGAGCGGGCCGAAACATGCCTGGTCGACGTGTAGGATCTACGCAACCGTCTGTATACATCGACAGTCCCAGCGCCATGGATCTACCGAGTCCGTCTCAAGTTGGCTGATTCCTTAGTGTTCTTTGTTGTCATTACATGAGCATCCCTGTTCCGTATATGTTCTCCTCCATGTGCCTTGTTGCCCCAAGTGCGTTGACATAACTAAGTCGAGGGGTTCTGAGCTAAATAGCGCGAAAGAGACCAAGAATCGGTATGCGCAGAGACGAATGTGGATAACCTCAGCCCGTGTTGTTTGTCATGGGGAATAGCGAGCGGTCACGTCGTCGCTCTTGGAGGAGCAGCTAAGTGATGATCTCCCGCCACCTTTACTCTGTCTAGTGGCGTCAGGGTGAGCCCCGTTGTTGTCACAAGACATACTCCGTCAGATGGCTGTGGTTTCATGCCTCCTCCACTCTTCCTTCTCTAGTTTGAGGCCTTATACCTTTCTTTTTCTCCCCCTTCCTGGCATTTTTACCATAGTAATAGTGATGTCATAGCCCGACCATATTTCAGATCCAACGAGATAGATGGGCATAATGGCAAAGGTACTTCACGATACCGCCAATGATCCGCCGGCTTAAGAGCGGCATGAGTCCGATGCAAGGGCGATGAAATGTCGAGCATTCTGTATGGTCTCGAGAGACAAATATACAGTTAGCCCACCATTAAGGCCGAACGCTGTAGTAACCTTGTCTTAGTATTCACTGAGCTTCTTTCGGAAATGAACACTGGCAGAGGGCCGCATTATCCAAATCTGTCCACTGTATAGGTTACCGGAATAAGGGCCCTTGTCTGCCCGCGGCGATAGCCTGACACTAGTGCTCGTTGAAAGGGATAAGTTAGTCGCGTGTTTGCTATGGCTAAGCGCCTTTGTATCTTCATCTATATTACAGTCTTATTTGTCTGCAGAACCAACTGCGGCTGCAATGTTAGCAGAATTATTGGAGCCAGCGCTAGCAACATTGCTTGCATGGGCTAGCAAGAACTTGCAACAGGTCAGTGTGTATTTGCAAGCACGAGTCCAAGTCTCGTCATTATTGTGAAAGCCCAGTTTGATACTCGCATCTCCGATTTTATCTCGTTTGATAGCATATGGAAGCTTCAAGCCCGGAGTGGTCATTCCGGTATGGCCTCGTCGATTCGATGGCATCGGAGCTGGCGTGTTCTCCACAAATTCCCCAAGCTGACGTAGGCACTCCAGAAAGGCCACCATTCCTGCATCGAACCGGCGGTGAAGCCAAGGAAGGTTGAGTGGCAGGTCGCCAGAGGAGAACAAGTCCAAGGTGGTAATCTTGGGCGGCGCTGACGGAGTCGCGCTACCCCCACCGATGGTGGACTGTGCTGGTGATCCCCGTGGATATTCTATTTTCTCAATTTTGGACATCGACCCCATTGGCTTGAGTTGGTACCCTTGAAATTCAAAGCCCAATTTATCCGCGATGGTGGCCAGCAATAAGGCTGTCTGGCCCCAAGCTGCGTTAATCTCCGGCCAGTCTACGGATGGGTTTGTGAGGCGTCCAAGTCGCAAGCCGTTTATAGTTCCAAAGTACCCGTCATGGCCAATGCAGAAAGCATCATTATAAACATTAGTCCGTTGCAGTCTTTCAAGCTGCCGCGAGTCATGGTCGTATCTCATATTAAGAGCATCCCGCTCATTTTGGAAATCGGCCAATGTTAGAGAAAAGGTGTTGCGGTCGCGCCAAAACCCTTCCTCTTCGAGGTCTAATTGACGAGCCTCCTCTTCAAGGCCAGCTATCTCTTCATCCAAGGCTGCTTTCTCCTCTTCCAGTGCTACAAGCTCTGCGAACGCAGCCTCCTCCGCCTCTAACATTTCCTTCAGGGACTTTTCAGCCGCTTCAAGTTCCTCGGCCGTTGGTACAGATGAATTGAGATTCCGTAAGAACGAAATATAAGCATCTCGCTCCTTCGTAGCATCTACCAGCCGTTTCTGGAGCCCGTTCACAAGCATTTCCGTGCATTCAGTGCAGATCGGATGGTCAATGTCAGAGCGAGAGGAAATGATTTCAAAGAGGCGGCTCGTTCGTTCAACTTGGTCCGCAAATGATCCGTCGTCTATTTCACGATCAGCATTTTGAGTGCCGAGGGGTCGTTTGCCTTTCGGGGTGCTGTCGCCATTAACACCAATTGTCGCATGCGGTGGCCCGACTTGAGACTCCGTAAGCATAACGAAGGACATGTTCCCACTGTCCCCTCGTCCCAGTCTAGGTGGATTGTTCTGGTTACTGCCGGCTTGGCGCGGTGCAGGAATGGATCTTCGATAAACTGGAGATGTAACTTTCTTGGACACACGGTCGTACAGGTCTCGCCGTTCTTGAGGAAACGAATTTCTGGAGGAAGAGGCGGTCCCCTGCTCCGGTAGGGTTTTACCTGTCGAGCCTTAATAGATTAGTTACGCTGTATAAGGAATCCAAGCTATGCAAATCAAATGTGACTATACTGGTAAGCAGATCGAAGGCAGCTGGATTGAGCGACTCCAGAGAGCCATCCAGCTTCAACTGAGTTCGACATTTTTGGCAGTACATGTTGGTAGTTGTTTGAAGATGCCCTTCCATTCATTATGGGGACATGAAATACCATCAAGGCATGCGACGTTTGATTGTTTGCTTGATAGAATTAGGAATGATGTGCGGCACGGGAACCCGTTCGCGGAGAGACGTCATGCGGCGATCCCGTGCCAACGGCGCGTGTTTTGGTGTCCGCCTGCAAAAAAAGCTGAAGCCTCGACCTTTGGTCAGCTTAATTCTGTAGGATGGGCTATCATACAATTAACAATCACATTTACTAGCAGTAGCATTGTCGCAAGCTTTGAATCTAGGTAGCTACTTCCTAACACCAAATTGTTCTCCAGTTACGCTGTTTATGCCTAAGACAATTAATTCTTGCCACATCTTCCCCTCCAGCTCCATGAGTCGGTAGGTAACACTATGACGTTGTCCGTCCGCATTACAATGTGTATCTTTCCAAATTACTAATTTCTTCCTTTGCAGTAGAGTAACGTGTCAATTGTCTTTCCTATCCTTCCCTCTATAGCCATACAGGCCACAGCTAAGCCTCTATTATTCTATCGTGTTTCACGCTCAAAACGTGTTTCTATAGGAACAGTATGATGACGGAGAGACCACTCAAGAGACCTCGATTGTCCTTTGCTACCGGCACAGATGACGAGCCAGGTGATATAGACCTACAAGAAGCCCGCGCGCAAAACGATCAACGTCTCAAATCGATCTTCGAGGGTATTTTCGAAAAATACGGCAAAGACTTTACGGATGTGGGAGATGAGATTGATTTACAAACCGGAAAAATAGTGGTGGATAATGGACATATTCAGGGAATGGAAGATGAGGACGATACTGGTGAAGAAGCCCCTTGGCTGTTTGACACGGAAAATTCCGCACTAGATGATGCAGCTACGGCGCACAATATCTCTCAATACTCGGAAACAGAGGCTGGTGGTGACCTTCTGGAAGAGGATAACACATATCTTCAACACCCACAAGCAGCAACACAGCTTCAAGCGGGGCCAAACCTCAGTGGACCTTGGGAGAGCAGAGAGAGTGAGGCGTTGAGCGCCGAGTCAGATGTCGACGAAGATAGGTCTAGTGTGGATTCTCTGTTGGATACAGCACTAAGTGTCCAGAATGGCCCGGACGATCCCGTTCGGCGAAAAAACCTGATGGATACGGACGAGGTCGTTACAAAAAAAGCAAAACCTACGGCTGAGACATCCACCCAATCTCAAATCCTGCAGAAACACAGCTCTATAGAAGCGGTGGATTCAGTGTGGCGCGTCCCTAGAATTAGTGGCAAATTCTCTACGCCTCCATTGAGCAGATCACGACCACCAGTTTCTTTCAATGCCGTACGGTCCGCATCTCCACCCGGAGCAGGCTCTATCTGGGCACTGCCCGGGAAGTCCAGGCGTACTACCGACATTACGAAAAGGAGATCCGCAAGGAAACACGAAAGCAGCCAGCACAAGTGGAAGCCCCAATCTAGTCCGATTATGTGCGACTGGTCTTTCGCAGAGACACCGGATGGAAACGAATCTGACGACCCCTTACAGGAAAACTATCAGCCATCGCCTACGCCGAAAGGGGGGCTAAAAATTAGAGGGAAACGACTCGGACCGGATACTCCCAGTCGTAGGAAGGATCTAGTTGATGATTGCAAGGTATCTCCTCTGCGAGATGATCCTGCCTCTCGGCTCCACCAAACTTCACTCAACTCCGCGGAAGATCAGCGCGACACTACGGAAGCAGCAAATCAACCAGAGACCACCGCTAACAACGTGGCTTTGGATACGCAGCTTGTAACCAAGAGCGATACTAAAATTCATGATATCTCGATGGAAGTTACACAGGACCCAAAAATCACACCGATTGGGTATCAGCCCAAACCGCAGGATTCCACTAGCCCCAGCAAGCGTACCAGAACGACTATTACACCAGATGAAGCGAGACTGATTGTGGTTTTGAAACAAGTTCAGGGGAAAAAATGGAAGGAGATTTTAGATCGTTTACCGTGGAAAAAACTGGCGCAACTTGTCCAATGGAATCACTTACACTGGAATGAGCGCCGGGCGAACCCACCTCCACTGTCCAAGCCTTGGTCGAGTACGGAGCGAGAGACTCTCCATGACCTCAAGGACCAACGCGGCCTTACATGGCATGCAATCCGTACAAGGTTGCCTGGTCGATCTCTCGCGGAGATAGAATTTGAGCTTCTGATACTCTGGGTTGGTGATGATGTTTGGAACACCGAACAACAGGATGGGATTGCACCATCTTTCAGCATGGAATAGTGATTAGATGGATCTGAGGGCCTCTGTTTCTGAGCCACATCACAGTCTCTCAACAGGAGCGGCGAGGATCCAGGCCACAAGATCCGTCAGGCTGCCCCACGGCATCCTACTTATGGAGTCACTCATAATCTAGTATAAAGACGAATCAGTTGACTCTCATTTCCTGAGGTCTCGAACGTCGTGGGGCAATCCAGCCTGCAGCTGAAACCCAACAGGTGAAGCATGCTAGTGACTGCCCTGCATAAGACCGGGTATTACCGGCCACTGGAGGTCAGAAAACCCCCGAGTAGCGCCTTCAAAGAGACTGTGCTAAGCGTGCTTCAGGCCCCACAGCCGCTCGGCGATAAGTCCTATATCACACATAATATAGTGTACAATAGACGAATCTTTATTGGTCATCCTTTGCGTTCAAAACGTCCTCCAGTTTTGTGTCTACCGCCCCGCCGACATCCCCGGCCCTAGCCAGAATCTTGAAAGATGTCTAGAGCCAGAATCAGATAGGACTGTGACGATTCTGTGGCCCGGACCAAGTTTCATGGCCGTCTTGACCGCTGCAAAGCCTAGAGCAGAAATCAGTATACCGAAGCGTAGGGAAAGGAGACAAAAGAAACACCTACAATTAACAGCACTACTGCTACCAATGAAGATGCCATCCTTTTCTACCAGCCACCGGGCCATTGCTAAGGCCTGAGCATCTGTCACTCTAACAGCATCATCAACCAGCTCCTTTCCTGCTTCAAAATTGGCCGTCACACGGTTGATTCCAATACCCTCGACAATAGTGTCAACTTGCCGCCGTCTTCTAGTACCTTCTTTCTCTTTTAAATCGAACATCACGCCATAGTGGACTCTGTTGTAAAGTCCACTGCCCTGTGGATCTGCAAGCACAACACTTAAATGAGGAATTCGCGGCTTCAAGAAGCGCGCTACACCAGAGATTGTGCCTCCGGTTCCAGCTCCTGCAACAAATGCATCAAGTCTGCCGTTGCACTGAGCGTAGATCTCGGGGCCCGTGCCATTGAAATGAGCCCTCCAGTTAGCTTCGTTCTCAAATTGATCTGCAAAGAAGCCTCTCCCCGGTTTAGGCCCCGAAAACTCTGGAGGATCGGGCATCAAAGGTTCTAAATTTGACTTTGTAGTAGAAGTGGCTGTATGGACATTCGCCAGGGCTCGTGCTCGATTAACAAAGTTTTCCTTTTCCACGATTGGTGCAGGCGGAACACGATCCACAATTGCACCGAGTTTGAGAAGCAGGTTTGATTTCTCAATGGCTTGATCAGATGGCATACAGCTATGTCATAATTAGTTCAAGATACTGCGGGTTAGAGGTGAGAATTATATAGACAGTTTACTCACATATGAGCCAGATAGCCCTTTGCACGGGCCAGCGTGGCCAACGATATACCAGTTGAACCAGAAGTGCCCTCGTAAATTGTATCTCCAGAATGGGGTGTCAAGATATCTCGCTCCTCAGCCTGGACAAACATTAGGGCAATGTACAAAGAACCGAATAACAGGACATACAAGTTCGATCATGCTCAGTGCGACACGGTCTTTGGAGCTTTGGCCAGCTCCGTTCAAAAACTAGCACTAAGTTAGCAAGCGTTGTATGTTTGGAAAAGTAGAGGTAAGGAAAACATACTTCTGCCTTTCCCAGTATCTCACATCCCGTAGCTTCGGACAAGGATTTGATTCGGAACAAGGGAGTATTTCCTATACAACCCTCAATCCCCTCTACAATCACCGGAGGCCCGGGCCTAGCTGCTAGAACATCTGCAGGAAGATCCTGTAGGTCACTTCCGAACTGATCATGACGTCGAGCTCGATATTCTCGGAGGCGTTGTTCTAGCTCCGGATAGAGAAGATCCTTGAATCCTAGCGTCAAGAGGGCCCCAGCTATGAAGGCCGTGCCTATGTATACACGCGAACGGTCATTCATATTTGGAATTGGACAACCCAGAAGTAAGAGTATTCCTTTCTTCAATGACCGCGAGGAAGAAAGTTACGCAATTGAAGGTCGCGCGGGAGGAACGCCGGAGAAAACGCTCGGGCCACACCCGACGTTAAGCAGTTGCAGGTCGTTTCTCTCCGTCTTGCTCTCACAACGCAACTTGCGACTCTGGTTAGTTCCCTTCCACTGCTGTCAATTCATCTGCCCATGGACTCCCCAGTCCTCAGTCAGCTGTTCCGGCAACTGTTCCGGCATCCTGCCTGTCAGTCACTTCGGTCCTCATCTGCCCTCGCAGGCCGCAGGCCGCAGTGCATTCGATTATCCACACCACGTCAACAATGCCGTCCCTTTCTCACGCGACGTTCGGCAGCCAGGCGGAAGAATGTCGACGATGGCATGAATTGGAATAAACGGGGCGACTACCCGAAAGATATTGAAGAGGAGTTGAAGGAATTCCCGCTTGTTACAGCCAAAGACCTGCGTCATCGGCGGGAGCGGCCGCGACAGGTGAAGATGTTGACTAGAGAATTCATTGACGGTATGTTCTCACCAATACACCGCAAATGCTGGGTACTGTTACTCATGATCTTTCTAAAAATCACTCTAGACAGTCTATATAATCCCCACTATGGTTACTTCTCAAAGCATGCGACTATTTTCAGTCCCGGTGAACCATTCGATTTCAATAGTATCGAGGACGGGCCAGCGTTCCATCGGATGTTAGGGGACCGGTATACAGAATTTGAGGACCGCTTAGATGAGACACAACCGGATATAGCTCGTCAGCTGTGGCACACACCCACGGAACTTTTCCGGCCCTACTACGGAGAGACGGTCGCCCGGTACCTGGTATCGAACTACAAACTGACACTGTACCCCTACCACGATCTGATAATATATGAGATGGGCGCCGGAAACGGAACCATGATGATCAACATACTGGATTTCATCCGCGACACAGATTACGAAGTCTACCAGCGCACCAAGTTCAAGATCATCGAGATCTCGTCCAACCTTGCGGGACTCCAAATGAAGAACCTGATGGATTCGATCAACGCCGCAGGCCATCTGGATCACGTCGAGATCATCAACAAGTCCATCTTCGACTGGGATACATACGTGCACTCCCCATGCTTCTTCCTTGCCCTCGAGGTCATCGACAACTTCTCCCACGATGCGATCCGCTACGACACCGCGACGGAACTCCCCCAGCAGGGTGGAGTGCTCATCGATGCGGATGGCGAATTTCATGAATACTACAATGCACAGTTGGACCCCGTAGCCTCGCGGTTTCTCCGGGTGAGACAAGCCGCTGCACGCCGCGAATTCCCTAGTCCGTTGGGCCCCAGGCTCACTCGCGGTCTGCGCAAGTCCGTGCCCTTCCAGCGTTCTTTCACTCTCCCTGAATATATTCCCACCCGACTCATGCAATTCTTCGACATCCTGGACACTTATTTCCCGGGACACCGGCTCGTCGCCAGTGATTTCAGTAGTCTGCCGGATGCCGTTCCGGGTATAAATGCGCCCGTCGTACAGACCCGGTACAAGCGCCGGACTGTGCCGGTGTCTACTCCATTTGTACGTCTTTCTTATCCCTAGATTGTATAAGTATATTGCGAAGAATTAATTACTAATGAAACTTCGCGCAACAGGTACACCAGGGATACTTTGATATCTTCTTCCCTACGGACTTCAATGTCGTCGAGGACCTTTACCGGGCCACTACCGGGAAGTTAACCCAGGTCATGAGCCATGAAGATTTTGTACGCCGCTGGGCATATATCGAAGACACTGAGACGAGAAGCGGTGAGAACCCGCTGTTGACCTGGTACAAAAACGCCAGCATGTTGATGACGGTATAATGTATTAACACTGTATATGTGTTCGGAATGAATGGAAGCATATAAGTAGAAAGCAAAGAGAAGCATTCCCCGGCCTCATATATTGCCATTGTATCCTTGATCATATATACAGTACACACGGCCCAATCAGCCAGAACTCCATTAATCGATAAAGTGCCATATTCTCAACCAAATTCCCCCAAATCACAGTTTAGCTTGGCTATCTTGGGCACTATTTCCCTGCCATGCGAATCCAATCTTCTTCCCGATACCAGGCTCAACGATAAGGTTCACCACCGTGACCGTATCATTTGAGAATCCTTCCCGCGTAGCAGCTTCAAGTTCTTCCTCGGTACGAACGAAGTACCCCTTTCCACCGCACATGGTGGCCAGCATTTCGTACCGCGTTTCGTACAACAGACTGGTAGAGCGTAGTCCCTTCTTTCCGTCGTCTGATTTTGTGTCATTGGCTGCGGTCTGATCCTGCAGGGTCCTCCAGGCATCCTCTGTCGTGGTGTCTCCGTGGTAGATTCCAGAGTTGTTGACTACGTATATCAACGCGGGAATTCTGTAACGTGCCAAGGTCTCGATTTCCATGGCGCTGAAGCCGAATGCACTGTCGCCTTCCAGAGCTACGATCTTCTTGGGCCTGGTGCTGCCGGAGGGCGCGTTGTATGCTTCGTGGGCTGCAACTATGTATCCCATGCCAACGCCCATGGTGGCATATGTACCGGCATCAAGACGTTGACGGGGATGGCTGAGAGGGAACATCGAACGAGATATGTCCATAGTGTTGGCACCTTCTGAGACGTATACGACGTTCCCTTCTTCGAAGGGGGTCAACGAGTTCAGCGTAGACTTGATAATATGATAGGCGCGTTGATACGTCAGGGGGGTGCTCTGGGGCGTAGGTTGAAGCGCCGCTTTCTGGGCTTTTGCTTCGTTCTTCTTTGCTGCCTCGGCCAGGAGCGATGGGAACTGGCCTTCGGCGGGAGAAGGAGCGTACCGCCAACTTGACAGTGAGGATACCAACTGGTCCACAACTAGTTCGATGTCTCCAACGATACCTAGCTCCGCTGTACCGGCATTGCGCCCGATCTCTTCCGCACAGATGTCCACTTGGATGATCTTTGCTTTGGGGGACCATTTGGGTGCTTCACCGAAGTGCAGGATCCAGTTTAATCGTGCGCCGAGGACCAGGACTACGTCTGCCTGTTTCAAGGCAGTGCTGCGTGCACTAGACGCATTTAGTGGGTGGGAGTCCGGCACGACACCCTTGCCCATTGGCGTGGGTAAGAAGGGGATCTGCGTTTGCTCAACTAAGCGGCCGATTCCGGACTCTGCTCTCGCATATGCGGCACCTTTGCCGATGATTAAGAGCGGCGAGCGTGCCCTCTTTAGCAACTGGGTGGCCTTGAGGATCAATGCTGGGTCGCCGCTCGCCTTCGGCGGAGACGGTACTAGCAAGCGTTCTGGCTCTGGCAGACGAAATCCTGGAGCTGACTTGCCTTGGATGATATCGGCAGGTAAGTCGACAAAGGTCGGTCCGGGGCGACCATACCAGCAAGTCCTATAAGCGTTCTTCACAGCACCTGGGATGATATCAATCGACGACGTTCGCACCGCGAACTTAGTATGAGGTGTCAGGAAGGAAATGGCATCCATCTCTTGGAAGGCTCCCTTAGTGACAGCGGTCGTTTCGGCCGACCCGGCGAGAACAAGAAGTGGGAAGTTATTCGCGGAGGCATTGCCAATCTATTCAAGTATCGACGGTCAGTACGAGCCGGACAATGCTTCATATGCGGAGATGAACTTACCCCGGCCAATGTATGGAGAACACCCGGCCCTCCTACGACGAGACAGACACCTGGTCGCCCCGTCATATACCCATAGACGCTGGCTGCATAGCTGCATGCCTGCTCGTTGCGGAACGCTACAAAGCGAATGCCCAGGTTGATAGCTTCCTCGGCGATCTCCACCACCGGGATCCCTACAATGCCGAAGATAACATCAACGCCCACATCGCGCAGCGTCCGAGCGATCAGTTGAGCGCCTGTTGCCACGGCCATAGTCGCTATTTCTTCGATTCGATTAAGTTTGAAAAGATATCATAGAATGAAATCCGTCGACATGGATGAAAGTTAGCTGCTCCACAGTCACCGACTGGCGGGAAGCGGAGAGCGGCGAGAATGCGGAGGAGCTCCAAAGACAAGCTTCCGAGGCACATTTAATGGCTGCCTGGCTTCTCGGCAAATATCATCAGCCCTACTAACCTACTTGAGAAGTTGTGTTGAACTTCACCCTTCGGTACATCTTGAATATTTCATATCTATCCTAAGGTACATAGAGTCATCTATCTCAGAACCTTTCATAAGGTCTTTCCCATTGTTTTACAAGATCTAAAACCCGAAAGCGCTGCATTTTGACCCATATATGGAGAACCATGGTATCCAACATATCAACAGTGACATAAACCGTATAGACACCGCATTCTAGGTTCAGCCTAGAAAGAAAGGAACACGCAACTCAAAGAAAACGACATGGCATCATTTAAAATTCAAATTCCTTTCGGAAGACATTCACATCCATACCAGCCACGACCATGTCGGCCAAATCCCGACGTCCCATTTGGCTGAACACACGCCGCAGGGTGTCATACAAGTTAGTGCTCTGGTTCTGGCTGATATGAATCATCCGTTCAAGCTGTTCATCGTCGACACCACCATCTCCGCCGATAATCTCACGGGCGCGTTCACGGCCTTCCTGCTCAACAACACGGTGCATGGACAGCGCACCCAACAGATGCTGAGCAGCTTCTGGGTAACAACCGATGTTGATGCATGACACGCCCAGATTATATCTCGCGCGGACAAAGTTGGCATTGATGTTCAGGGCTTGCTCGTAAGCTTCGATGGCCTCCTCGGAACGACCCGAGTTGGCAAGAGTGGCTCCGAGACGGTTCCACAGCAGATGAAGCTGTTCCCGCTGGTTTACAGTTCCCGACTCGGTGGAGGCCAGGGCGGCAGAGAAACAATCCACGGCCTTGTCGTACTCCTCCGCACAGTAGAAAAGAACACCTAAGCCGACCTGCACGTCTGGGTCCATTTGTTCACCCGAAGGCGACAACTGAGCTGCTTGGATAAAGAACTCGGTGACTCGGTCGTGAAGGATCTGGCGATCTGTAAATCCTAGGTCTGCATCTGATGAAAGATCCTTGGGGTTAATGATCTGCGGATACTTGACAGAAAGCCAACGTTCCAGTGTGCGGTAGGCCGTGGAGTCATAGCCTTCATTTGTGTAAGAAACGGCGAGCCCCATAAGCGCATCCAGGTTGTTCGGGTCCACCTTCAGAGCCTGTTCCAGAGCACGGATGGCAGGTAATTCCTTTTCGTTTTGAGCTTGAGCAGATCCCAGCATGGTCCAGGCTTGCACATGTTGAGGATCCTTCTGTACCGCAGCTTCGAAAGCCAATGCAGCCAAAGAGAGGTTACCACCCTCGCGCATAATCTTCACACCTTCTTCAAATGGATTGTTGACATTCTTGAACATGTTTTCTTCTTCAAACATGTAATCACCCAGCTGGGGGTCTCGGAAGCGAGTGTTGAGAGAGTCGAAGTTATCCCACTCTCCCATATCTCCCATGTGTAAGTTGTCAGTAACATTGAATTCGGTATCTTCTTCTGCCAGTTTCCTGCTTGCTGCCGTCTCAGCTTGAACTTTTTGCCATACGTTTTCAAAAGCATCGTAGTCTGCTTCTTTACTAGTGCTGGAGGTGAAGACTGACCTGTCAAGATCGTTCAGTTCCGCCTCAATAGCATCATTAGCCTCATCATCCAGCTTCTGAGTATCTGCGGTCTCCATCTCGGCAAACTGTGCCTCCCAGTTCTCGTCATCCAATTCGACCATTCGTCCCTTGCCCTTATCTTGTGTGGTGGCCTCCATCGGTTGCTGCTGCATCGCCATAGGGTTATAAGCAGAATGCATCATACCCATGCCACCCATGCCCATATAGCCCATGCCCATAGGACGCTGGAAACCCGACATCATCGGCGACGGACCCGAAGTAACCGGGTTGGCAGTCTGAGGCACGCCAGTTCTACTCTGTTGTTGGAACCGGGCAAAGTCCGCCGGTGAAAATCCCGATCCATTATTCAACATGGGTCCTTGAGGGCCGGCAAAGGCAGCCTCCATGCGAGCCTGCTCACCAGGGTCAAACTCGGCCGCCCAGCCCGGAGAACCAGTCCGAGGTGGCGTGGTCTGGAATTGGTCTAACTCGCGTCTCAAGTGTTCCATCGCAAAAGGCTGTGGCGCGGCCCCGGGGATTTGCCCAGGTTGTTGAGCAAACTCGTCCATCATCTGCGTGCATTGTCGGGCTACCGTTAGAATGGGCGGAGAGTTAATGAGACGGTGTAGCGGGCAACTCGTTCATACCTGATCTTGTCCACCCATCATTCCCCTCGATCGCATTCCCTCTTGCATGCCCCCTGGGCCCCTCCCAACGAGCCGATCCCGCTGGAGGGACTTGTCATCTTGTACGTGCTTTGTAAACTGTGTCAACGGGTTTCCCGCCGTAGAACACTCAGCGCCACCGAGGAATGACATCTTCAAAGTATTCTATTGTAACCGTATTTCAATATGACATAAATAGTAGCTAGTTGTCAGATAGATCGTCTAACATTGAATAATGTCCGGGGAAGTTAAACGGGAAATGAGGAGGTGTTATCTCCACGATTCAATCCGTCTCTGATAGTCCCAAGCGTGGGGTTTCGGAGCCGTCCTAAAACCGATCGGAAAGATTGGCGAATGCCGAGGCACCCCGGGAGTCACGTGTGGCCGCGGAGGTTCATGGAGATTAATAATATTTGTCAATTCTGGACCTTGACCGCTCCTTACTACTGAATGGTATGTATCTCACGCTGAAATGCAAAAGATTTGGTATAAGTCTATGTAAATATTGTACAAAGTACAGCCCAGAGTCTCCGCTGTGTATATGATACATAAATCAACCACAGTCCGTCACTATCTGTGAAATCCCTCCCCGCGACAAAACGTCGAAAATAGAAACACCAGATCTTGTTAAATCACTCGGCGTTGGTTTCCAGACGATCCGCTCTTCTATTTGATTGACTGTAGTCAAGTCGTAATTTCCTGCCATATGGTGCCTTCCTGCTGAGAATCTCGAATGCCGCCCGTGCACTCTCGACGTTGATGAACTCAGCGTGAGCAAAGCCTCTGAACATGCCGGTTTGACGGTCCACAGATACCCGAACGTCAATCACATTGACAATATCCCTGAAGAGTTCATTGATATCCCGGTCAGTCATCTCGAATGGCAAGTTACCGAGATATATCGTTCTAGAGATAGGTCTCAGGTTCCGGTGCTGGTCGATATTGTTTTGCGCAAATGCCACAACGACTCGGCGACCCTCGTATACCCGCATGTGCATCGCATCAATTGCACGTCTCGCCGAATCTATGGAGTCGAACTGCACATAACCGAATCTAATCCCCAAAGTTAGGAAAAGCCGTAACTATTTTTTCACGTGCGCCGACGGAAACCCGCACTCACCCTTTACTAATTCCCCTATTATCAAAAGTGATATACACACTCTCCACGATTCCGTACTTCTCCATCTGCTTCCGCAAATCATCCGCCGTCACATCGTAGAAAAGGTTACCGACAAAGATTGTCTCCTTGGGATCGGCTTCCTTGTTCAAAAGCCGGAGGCGTTTCGCGCGTTTAGATTCTTCTTCGGTAGATTGCGGTTGTGCTTCACTCTCTTTTGAAATATGGTCTGCAGTCTCGTTCGCAGGAGTAGAGGTACCTTCCATGTACCCGACAGCGGCTTGTATTAATTGTTCCTCGTTATCGTTTGTGGTTGTTGCATCCTTGCTCGTAAGATTGGGTTGACTTGGTACATGTTGGCTGTTCCATCTGCTCTGCAGCAGAAATTGTGATGTCTGGCGAGGGATAGTAATTCGAGACGGGCTAGATGAAGTAGCCCATGTGGACCGTGGTGTCGAAAAGAGGAGCCGAGAAGCAGCGCGCCGGAAGCAATGCCTAAAGACAAGTATAGGTTAGCGACACTTATTTTGCCTTACTCTTTTGTAACTCACATCTTTGGAGGACAGATAACCAGTAAGCTACAAAAACAAATCTGAGATAGGAATTGCACATATGCCCATTCGAAGGTTTTCCGCGCAAAAACCTCCGGCTTATCGAGACCGATAATATCACGTGATTTGCGCTATCGATTGCCGGGTTTTAGAAACATACTCAGAAAAGTCTCTAGCAACTACTGGAAGATCATTTGCAGTTGTGGCATGGGGAGTATGTCCTCTCGTATAGGTCTTACATTTCGTGAGGCTCTAGATCCTTGTATTTGGAGCGTAGAAGAGCGTAAAAGAAGCTACATAATCCATAACGAATATATACACTGGCGCCGGTGCCCCTCATAATCTACACCAGAAACATTGACATAGAGATATGGAACATCGCGAATAGAAATGGCAACTGATAGAACCACCAGCGTTATATTTTACACTCCAGGACTGACCAAGTCTTCATGACCACATTAACGTAATTTCCCTAGCCTCAAAAAGAAGAAAGGTGAACTCTGAGATAGTATTTCACAGGCTGGCTTAACGTGTGCCCGCATTGTTCGTCGGTGAATTATTGTTATCGTAAACATTGGCATCAGGGTAAAAGACGTTGGAAAAAGAAGGTAACGAGCGCATTTTGTCTGCAGCACTGCCCTGCACCGATGCTAAACCAGCTGAGCCTAACGCATTTTGGGGTGGCGGTTGCGGTTGCTGCTGTTGCTGTTGCTGTGAATCCATTGTTGGCCACCACTGGTTCGAGGCGTCAAGCGCTGCATTCTGAATATAGTTATCCCAGGTGTCCTAGAAATTGGTCAGTGGGGCTTCGAAGTCTTGCATTGAATAGGGCATTCATACCCAATCCAGAGGGAGCTGCATATCTGGCATCTGCCCAAACATAGCACCTAAAGGCGAAGGAGCTCCTGGTATATCTGCTGTCGCTCCAAATCCTCCCTGCGATGGGAGTGGTGTCTCGCCCATTTTTATGGCGCCATCGCCGAAGGCGGGAGGAGCTGGGTTCATGGGACTCATTCCACTACTGAGAAGACCCAATGTCATGGCAGCACTTTGCTTCTCATCCTGAGGCTCGAAGGTAGACGCGGCGGTATTGCTGTCAGAGTAGCCCAGGTTCAGTCTGGCAAGCATCACCCCGATAGCCCCCGACGCTTTCCACGCCTCCAGGGCATCGTCACGAAGTTCGTCCCAGATCTCTTTAGAGCGCTGTATTGCCGCTATCATTTCCTCGCGCCGCTCCCTTCCCCAGGCGTAGGTATCGCCGGACGCGCGGCCCCCTGATTGGAACTGGTGTCCGTGGTAGAGGTCGAGAGACACAATGGTCGCAGCAAGTAGAAAATCTGTAGAGACGAGTGCGGTAAGCCTGTCATGTTTGTTCAAGATGCGCGTCACGGTTTCAGCGTGCAGCATTGATTGGAATCGAAGCAATTCCATGGCAGAATCAATACACGTTCTCCGCGAGTATGTAAATCGAGGATTTTCACGCGCTCGAATGAGGTATCGTCGATGGAGAACACACTGAGCTTTGTGATACACACTCATTATCTAGAAACGGTCAGTAACCCAAACTGCATCTATTTGTCTGAGGCCAACCTACAGCACATCGTGCCATAACTATTTTCGGGGGCTCCAATTGGGACTCTTCTACAGGGCGAACGATAAGATGTTCAGGGACCAAGTCCCTCGCTCGGCGAAGTTCGGCGTCAATCTCCATAACTTGGTCGTAAGAAGGACTTTGTATGGAAGAGGTATGTTCAATAACACGACCAAAGGCATAGGTTAAGCGACCTTTGGCTATTAAGCATGCGACTGGTGTAGGTTCGTTTGGTGGCCGTGAAGGAGGAAGCTCTTTGCAGTTCTCATCAAAGTCATCGTCGTACAAATTCCGTGGAAATTCTGTATCACTATCGGCGGAGCGAATCATGCTGGGTAGGCCCACTTGGAATGAGAACATAAGATCGTACTGCCGCACGATTGTCCATACTCGCCGGCGCATTTCACCTTGGAAAGGTGTGATATTGGGAAACATCTTTGAGTCACGATGGTAACCCATCCTCATAGCCAACCTAGCAATCACGCCCACAAGCACCCAAACGGACACATCTGCATCTTTTGTTTGAATCCAATCTCCATGCAGATGGAATATCAAGGACTCAATCAAGCACGGGTAAGGCTTGGTATAATCAGCCAGCGTTAAACACTGCGCCATCAAATTCCGGAAGGTGCCTGCCATGTCTAGAGTCTTCCCTCGAAACTCCGGTGGTTCATCTCCCTCTCGATGATACGATAGCATGGCAAGTCGCATAATCGCACACAGCATACCAATCCAGACTACACAGGTCTGTGACGGGTCTTCCCAGTGTTTGTTATACTAATGAGCAGTTAGCACCAAACATGGACACATATTATAAATAGAAGCGTTGCTTACTTGGGTCTGAAATGTAGGTCCATGTAGGATATCTAGAGATCTACGTGAGAATCATCCCATGGAGATGGAGAGCAAATAGGTAGCGAACTTACTGGTTGAGGGGTCATAGCTGTTAAAATACCGGGCGACTAAGATATCTGTTGTATATTTGGAGGGAAGCGAAGACATAATCTCCGCACGACTAGTTGTTTTCATAGCACCGAAGAGCAATGTAGACCCTGGCACGTCAGTCGGAAGCTTCGTTGCCTTCAGCTTCTCCGCGTGCTCCTCATACTGTTTCTTGTGCGTAGTAAAGTAATTACGCACTTCGGCAATCTACAGTCAATGTTAATACGGAGAACCCAAGTTGAGCCGGGTGAGAGTAACTTACATCGTTGAGGACAGACGCCCAATGCGCTTCACTAAAATAATATGATTTATTATTGTCGACCTTCATTATCCCAAAAGATTTTGTTACTTGTTCTGTATCGCTCTCCTCGGGGCCACCCGAGGCGTCTTCATCCAGATCCAAATCAATTGTATGTTGGGCAGAACTAATACTGCTGCTGTTGCCAGAGAGTGCTGCCATAGCCGCAGCCGGGCCCGCGGCCTGTGAACCATTGGTCATCAACGACAAAACCAAGCTTTCCAGCCGGTCTATCCTATTCTGCATATCGTCCGGGGAGCTAGGTGAGACTCGCTGCGGGGTGTTCTTCTTACGCGCGCTTGCTTGGGCGTAGGTACATGAGGAAGCATCTCCTCGTTTCACGCAGTTCTCACATGGGTGTGCACGGTTACATTTGAGCCTTGGTCGGACTGTCAGAAGATACTCAAAAAGGCATCAGAGAGCGGGTACAAATCTTACTTCCTATGCCGGCAGGGGCCACAGGAAAGTGGCACCCTGTTTCTCTTTCGGATTACCCTGTACTGTCCTTCAGGCGAAAATGCGCTAGCGTTTGACGAGGTCGTGGATGGCGGGGTTGGAGACATATTGGTGAGCGTTTTCTCAATAAAATAAACGCGACGATAAACTTAGGTCGAAATTGATTGTTTCGAATACGCACCCTCCCTAAGCAGGCTTGCGCAAGACCACAATGTGATAGAGCGAGCTGTGAACAACACTTGGAGTCCCTATTGCTCAGGAGTCCCCCCAGCGCAGAGTGTCACCGAACCACCCAATGACAATCGCACCAGTATAATCCTCCAGTTGAGAGCTCACCCCAATATCTCTTCTTCTAAGAATGATGTAGCTCCAGAGAAGAGGGGCGGATATCCAACGATCGATTAGGTATCGCTAGGATTCCAGCGCAATTGAATCAAACGGTTGTGGGAGGGATCCGAGGTGCACGACGCTTTGCCGATGCCTTCGGCCACGTTTCAGTGGTCGAGTCTTTAGCAACCCAGATCGAAAAGCGATTCAACCGGGAGGCGATTCTGGATGGAACTCGTCGCGGTTTCACCCAGCAAAGAGAGCCCACAGACGTAAATTGCGCAAGATTTTTCGATCTTTAAATATTGGTACAGATGGGGGTTTCTGTGCTCCAATTTGAGATTCGCACAAATCGCGAGCACAACCAGAGAAGGAATGGGTGAGAACGGTCGAGAAGAGGGGCCAATTTATAGGCGACTAGTCAACCTGGCCGCGAAGCTTGTTGGACCAAAGACGTCGGGCGGGCAGGCGATACTTATCAGGATCCTTCGGAGTCAGTGGAATAGTCGCAAGAGGGAGTCTGCACAAGATACCCTGGGTGCCTGGCGAAGGCCTTCGAAATTTTCAAGAGAAAAAAGCGGAAGATATACTAACACAAGAACTCCCTTCCCGTCGATACCTCAAGCTTTTGCTTAGTGAGAATCATATGAAACTAGTTAACTATATGGATGGTAGGCCAGAGTTATCTCCGTTATCACCCTGTCACGCGTTGGGTCTGTTCACTCTTCTGGAACGGCGGGCGGTGATTGGACGATATCTTTATGTAATACCGGTGGGGCGGATACTGGCCGAAAAGGGAAAACAAAGACAGGCCGTCCGCCTCCAGGGAACATTGGCAGCTCCTCCATGTCTATCATTTTCTGCTGTTATTTACCTTTGCTTATTGTATATTGTATACTAGTATTCTGCCCCCGCAAGAAAAGTTCTTGAAAACTGTGTAGGACATTGTACTGCATCTGTCTGGTACGAAGTCAAATCGTATACCATGTTCGCCAGAATCTAGACTTTCGAAGTTGGCTGATCTGCGGCAGGCAATGAACGATCTTATTTGCCGGTGAATGTTTGAATGTGGCTGAGACGGATGAGCTTTGAGTCATCGTGGACGTTAGTTTAAGCCTAGTTCCTTCAGAAATTCACTACAGAGTGCTTTTCCATGGAAGGCTTGCTCAGTTGGGTACAGCTGTCAAGTGGAGCCACTGGTTCAACGGGGAACCGTATGTATGTCCGTATGTATCTATATCCATAGTACAGCTTCATACCGATATAAATACAGCTAGCTTCCAAGCCCTATATAAAATAATCTAATAACCCAGGGAGGCGGCAAGCAACCATTATAGTTCAAAATTACCTTTCTTCTATAATATTGAACAGCTGCGGTAACTCCCACTTAACTACAGTGAAACTTAAATATAGCAAGACACAAACGCCCTTTATAGGGGAAGACAAAGCGTCATTTGCCCAGAGAGGTACTGCTGGCAAATACCCAACCCTTACTGGCGATGTACAGCTCCCTTTGGCGCTTCTGAATGGATCAAGAACAGTAGGTAGCCGTTTGTTCCATTCCAAAATGACCACCCAATAATCATTCCCAAGTACTCCTCTACAAGGATACCTTACTAGTACTGTCCCCTCCTCCCTAGAGGTTACTTCATTCTCATTGGAACGCCACCTGCATCCACGAATGGGCGGCCATAATACTACCTAGTAGTACCATCCTTGCAAAGTGGTAACAGCCTTCGTAGTGAATGGACAACCTGTTGTCACATTATGGACAAGGCGCTTCGATGGTGGGGCATAAGACGGACTAAACCCCCCCCCCTCCCTCAAGAGCGCTCATCCATCAACTTTACTCCCTAATTTTACTTGCTCCAACCGCTAGCAGCTACCTTATTTCCTTTTTTACTTGGATGACTCCCGTCCGTTTCTGAGCACCTCCCCTTGTCGACGTCAAGTGATGATGTCCTCCCAAAGAGGTGATACCCAACGGGGCCGCGGCAGAGGCGGCAACCGTAATAGAGGACAAGGCGACAGAGGTGCCGGCCGTGGCGGTCGCGGAGGTGGTCGTGGATCCACCACGGAGCTGCCCATCCGTCAGGGTCCGCCTGGGGGAGATTTTAGAGGTCGTGGTCGTGGAGGAGACCGAGGACATGGTGGTGATCGAGGACGTGCAGATCGAGGACGCGGGAGAGGGGATAGAGGACGAGGTTCGTTTAGAGGGAGTCGTGACCAAGGCCCCAGAATATATACGTTAGTACCTGCCCAAGAATTCACCCTCGTCACTTTAGAATAAGCATACTAACGGTGGATCTTCTTTTTAGAAGTCCAGGAGGGCAGGTTCCTCCCCCAAGTCCCCTGGTTCTGAAGACTGAGGATGCCTTGGCCGCAGCACTAGCAGCGAAGCAAACCAAGCCAACTGAGTACCCCCAGAGACCCGGTTATGGTACTCGAGGTCAGCCAGTAACGCTGTATGCCAATTATCTTGACTTAAAGTCGGCTGGCGCGCAACTATTCCGTTACCATATTGAGATCTCACCTGATTCAGCGACCAAGAAGGCTCCAACGGGCAAGAAAGCCCGGCAGATCATTAAACTCCTGATAGAACAAAATTTCTCCAAGTCGGGTAAGAATATTGTTACAGATTACAAGTCTACTTTGATCACCAACCTCAAGATACTCGATGATGAGGAGATACATCAGTACGATGTTCGTTATCGCGGCGAGTACGATGACGAGGATCCCGAGAATGCAAAAGTCTACCGAGCTACGTGCCAGTTCACAGGAAGACTCAGCCCTGCTGAACTTCTAGCTTACTTAACATCGACGAATCCCGATGACCAGTTTGGCTCTAAGGCGGAAGTGCTTCAAGCGATGAACATCATCCTTGGAAACCACCCGAAAATACAGGATTGGATTGCTTCCGTTGGCGCGAACAAGCACTATGCCATTCGTGGAGACTTATGCGAGAAATGGGACCTCGGTGCTGGGCTTGAAGCCCTTCGGGGATTTTTCATCAGTGTTCGTGCAGCTACTGCTCGCCTCTTACTTAACGTCCAAGTCAAGTACATCGCCTGTTACCAGGGAGGACCACTGGGCTATGTGATAAAAGAGTACCAACGTGGATACCGTGATGTCAACAACCTCAGGCGATTTTTGGTGAAGCTGAGAGTCAGAGTGACACATATTCAAAGGAAGAATAAACGGGGGGAGATCGTTCCAAGAATGAAAACGATCGCTGGTCTGGCGACTACCAAGGATGGTGCGTCGCAGGCAAACCCCCCAAAAGTACCCAGACACGGTGCGGGACCCCAGGAAGTAGAGTTCTACGTAGAAGCTCATGGCCAGCAGCCATCCCAGAGCGCAGCTGGCGGTGCCAAAGGCAAGAAGGGCAAGAAACCAGCGAAGGCAGGCCCTGCACAGGCCGGCGGGTACATCAGCGTGGCCGATTTCTTTCGTCAGAGTAGGTTGCTCCTTGTTGATATACCAAGAGTATGGGATTAACAGACTACAGATTACGGTACGAATACAGATCCTAACATGCCTGTCGTAAATGTCGGAACAACGGAGAATCCAAGCTACTTGCCCGTCGAAGTCTGTGAGGTTGAGCCGGGTCAGCCTGCAAAAGCAAAGCTCTCCCCAAACCAGACTAGAAATATGCTGAACTTTGCCGTCCGCGCTCCCCCGCATAACGCTACATCTATCGTCACGACAGGTACTCGACTGCTTGGGCTCTCTCCACAGAGTCCTACTCTTGTAAGTGCTTCGAGTGATACTTAGCCTACCGCCTGTACGGCCACTAATTGATCTGAATAGGAGAACTTTGGCATACAGCCAAACTGTAACCTCATTACTGTCCCAGGTCGGGTGCTACCAGTGCCGAATGTCTACTACAAGGATGGGTCAAGGCAGTCGCAAAAATCAGTGACAGTGAAGCCGCAGTTTGGCAGCTGGAACATGAGATCGATCAGGTTTTCGACGTCGACCAACCTCCCAGTCTGGACTTGGCTCGTGATAAACGCCGAGGGGCCCAAGCCACCCTTCGCTCGCCCGGAAGACTTCACCAATGTCCTGAGAGGATTCACAGACAAGCTGAACGAGATGGGCGTTGCAGCACAGCGAGCCTTCGAAGGTGAGACCATAACTGTTAACAAAGCCAATTGTGAGGCCGAAATCACGGCAGCAGTTGAGCGACTCGTAAAAAAGAAACCCTCCTTGATCCTCTCGGTCCTGCCGTTCAGCGATGCGGATTATTACAACTGCATCAAAAGGGCATGCGACTTGACACACGGCGTGCGGAACATCAACGTCCTGGCTGAAAAATTCCGAGAGGAAAACCCCCAATACTTCGCGAACGTCGGACTAAAGGTCAACCTGAAACTAGGCGGTGCCAACCAAGTCCTGGATTCAAAAGAACTAGGCCTCATCGGACAAGGCAAAACAATGCTTGTCGGCATGGACGTCACCCACCCATCCCCCGGATCATCCGCGGACGCCCCCAGCGTCGCAGGCATGGTCGCCTCCGTCGACGCAACACTAAGCCAATGGCCTGCAGAAATCAGAGTACAGAGGTCGCGCGAGGAAATGATCCAAGACCTAGGCGACATGCTGAAAGCCCACCTCAGGCGCTGGGCCCGCTCATACAAGAACGCCTACCCAGAGAACATCATCGTGTACAGAGACGGCGTATCAGAAGGGCAGTACGAACTAGTCGTCCAAAAGGAGCTCCCGCTCCTCAAGAGCGCCTGCAAAGAGACTTACCCAGCCAGCGCAACAAAACAAGGCCTCCCGCACATCTCCATTTCCATCGTCGGCAAACGCCACAACACTCGCTTCTACCCAACCCAGGAAGGAGACGCAGACCGCTCGGGCAACCCAAGCAACGGCACCGTCGTCGACCGCGGCGTCACCGAGGCCCGCAACTGGGACTTCTATCTCCAGGCTCACACGGCGCTGAAGGGCACCGCTCGTCCCGCCCACTACTTCACGGTCTGGGATGAAATCTTCTGTCGACAGCGACCTAGTCCCCCGTATCAGAACTCCGCGGATATCCTAGAGGCTCTAACGCATCATATGTGCTATCTCTTCGGTAGAGCTACCAAGGCTGTCAGCATCTGTCCACCGGCGTACTATGCGGATCTGGTCTGTACTCGGGCGCGTTGCTACCTCAGTAGTACCTTTGACCCTTCTCCGGCTGGAAGCGTGGCTACGGGTAGTGGGCCGGGCCATAAAGTTGGAAACGCGGATGTGCGAATCCATCCTAATGTCCAGGACACCATGTTCTACATATAGTCCGGTGTGATTGGGTACATAAATTGCAAAATAATGACCATCTACTATCGTGAGAGGTTGGAATGATGAGATCGCATTGGAAGCGATGTTAGAGCCACTTGACCAGGATATCTTGGTTTCCGACTTACATCCATATGACATGTTATTCTTTCGTTGAACATATGAGCATGTAATCAGATTGATAGCGTTAACATCTCATTATCGAATCTATTCTTTATGAATCGTACACAATCCAGATGGCCATACTGGGTAACATATCAAGCAAGCTAAATGGAACACAACAGACAAGGTGGTAAGAAAGTAGGTAAGAAAGATACAAGAAATGAATACAAGTATTGTTCAAACAAAATAGACAATTTAGAAGTAAAAAAGTCTTCCATGGGTCCAAGTCGCATTGGGCAAGGTTATCACCATGATGACGGCTCGAAGTGCTGCTCGGTGGGATTATTCGGTACTGTCGTCAAAGGGTTCGGGGTTCGGGGTGCACGGTACTGAGGACCAGTTTTTCTTATCAATCGCTTCACTCATCATCACCAAGGCTCCAGCTTCTCTCGTTGACACTTCGCAATTGGCGGCGCTGTGGAGGAGGACGGACGGTCTTGCTCGGCTGAGGAGATTGATCATAGGATTCCCATGACGGCTCCAACATTTTGACGGCCCGCTGTCGGTCCGCCGCGATGGGCTTCTTGTTCTCGTCGGCCTTGCTTTTCGCTGGCGATTCATCTGTGATGGTCCAGTGAGTCTCGAGGTCCTTATTGCGGGATGGGCCTTTCTGGGCTACGGACAGGGGCAGCTTATCCTTGGATGACGGCTTGCTCTCGGCGGGCTCGTCTTCATCGGCGAATAGATGGTTCTTGTAAAGGCTGAGGCCCTTGTTCTGGAACGAACTGATAATCCGGCCTGAACTCTCATCGTCGATGTCATCTGTCAACTGGAAGTGGGTTTCCGCATCGCGGCGGTGTTGGACACGAGGCTTGGCTGGGGGTGTCTCTGGCTCCTCGTCGCTGATACCGAAACTACGAAGCTCTTGGCCCCGGAGCTGGCGTTTAGGCTTCTCGGGAGTCACAAAGTCTTCAAATTTCCACTGAGGTCCCTTGCCCTGGCTCGACACTGGACGTGAGACCTTCGGTTTAATCTCACGGTTACTATTGTCCGCGCCCAGCTCAAAATGATCGAAGCGCTTGGGGTGAGCCCTGTAAGCGATCTGCTGGGGCTTGTCTTGGGCAGCGACGGTCTCATCATCATCAAAGATGCGCGAAGCCCGGTAGTTCTTACCTGCACCGACCTTAGGAGCGACCGGCGTGGCCCTGGCGGAGGATGGTTCAGGAATTTCGATATCATCGTGATTTCCAAAGAGCTCACCCAGATCGCGCTGCGGGGGCTTAGCAGATGCCGGAGCACGGGGGGCGCGCACTGGTTCCGCTCGGTCTTTGCCGGGGGAGAGAAGTTCCTCCAGAGACTCTGCCGCGTAAGGGTCCTTAATGCGTCTCTTAGGAGAGACAACTTTGTCATATACGCCGCCATTATCTTCGGGCTTGTTCGCGGGCACGGGCGCTGGGACATCATCCACCGGAGCGGAGGAAGCGGCGGTCTTGATCAATCTAACCTGATCTTTTGCATCGCGAATGGGCCAACCGCGACTGCGGGAGCCGATCACTTCGACCTGTTTCAAAAGCGACGCTTGATCCCAGTAGACCTTGACCTGCTGGATTTGGTTCTGGGAGTTGAAACGAACGATATGAACCTGGCAGTAACACAATCAACCAATTAGATGACAAATCTTCAGATTATCAAATTGCGACAGAGTAACAATGGGAGGCACACCGTGGGGAAAGTCGCAATGCGATCGGACAGGAAGTTATCGTCCAGCGCGGGGAGATACGGTCCGCCGCCAGAGACAAATTCCACAGTGGTGTCTACATCCAGAGACAGAGAGTTCAAGCCTTCGACCGTATCAATCACCTGCTGGGACTTTCTTTTGAGGATATGATCCTGTCTGGCGAGATGCTTGACCACGGCCTCGGCGCCATCAACCCTGGTGGTTGTGGTGATATAGATCAGCGCAACATCGGAAGCCAGGGAAGCAGACCTGGGGTCAGAAAGGAATTTCTGGTACACGTCTTGGAGAGACATGGTTGATATTATTTGAATTGAGAAGGCCAAACGAGCGTCAATGATAAGGTAACCAGCAAAAATGAGGAGAATCGGGGGAAGGATCCAATTGGAGAAAGAATGGTGGTTCCTGGGGGGTCGGTCTGTCGCAAAGGAAGGGGATCGCGAACCACACTTGCTGCCTGTGGCTCACAACAACGACGAGTTTAGCTGCTCCGAGGAATGGAAACAAAGAATTACTGGAATGACCGGGGACTTTGATTAATTTCGGAGTGTAAGTTGGAGTGGTGGAAATAAGTGGATTTTATTTCAGGAGGCCTGTGGTGGCTTTTTCCATTATTTACCAAGTGGTTAGTTATTATTAGATCTTCGATGTATGTACGTATTCCTTATCATTCACGGGTTCTTTTCCCTTCGTAATGCAACCACTCAATACAGTCGAGGCTTTGGATTTACATGACCACTTCTCCGCTTCCCCAATGGTATTTACTCTTCCTGCGAGTGGAGGATGTGGCCCATCCTCGAAGTCCAGTTTAGACAGGACTATCATAATAAACAAGCTCGGGGGATTTCAACGCACGGAAGACGCACCAGTGTTTCACCATCCTCCAATCGGGTTTAGTGGAAACCCTCGGCGGTGTCTCTCTGGCAACTCAATGATACTACGAGTAGTAGTACATCCATACGGAAACGTAAACCTCAGCATTAAGAGTATATACATGGTGAAACACAGATGTACTAGTAATTTACCTCGGACTGTAGATGCCAGAAAAGACCATATTATATAGCTTACATCCAAGACATCTCTAGTAGCTGAAACTTGGTTCATGACCATTTGTAGGTACTCCGTCGCTCAAACGACTTGGGTACATATATATTCTTCCTCAGGTCTGAAAGAATCCATGGCACATAGACTCCATCAAGTAACAAACCCATGTTATGGTTGCCTCTACTACCAAACGCCATCTGAATATTCAACTGTTGATATTGCTCATGTACTATTGATCCAGACGTAACAAATCTAGTCAACTAAAGCGAGAGTCCACGAATGCATACATGTCGACGTCGGACGAACAGATGCCGTGCTAACTCTCCTCACCATAGCCAATATAAAACACTTGGCCGAACCTTTTCGAGCCTCGTATGGAGTGATGGTTACTTGTTGATAGGAGATGCCTTGGGGGCAGTAAAGTACACTTCACATAAATCTGTCTTCTTGCTTTTCCATATACTTACATGTTACTGACGCCTCGCATGCTTTGTCCGAGACTGGCATCCACCTCCCATGACAGCATATCTACGGAGGTCCGTGATGTCCTCGTACTCTATTTCAGCTCACCAGACAGGCTGCACCGCCTGCTTTTTGTGTCTGCTGACCAGCAGCGCTCTTCATCGTCGAGGGACGTGAGAATGTCTTCTCATCTGAGAACGAACATATAACAAGCTGGAGGCACTGGCTGGGTGTCTTTTGATCAAGCAATGATTGTACCCCCTCGGGACACTTGCTCCTTTCCCACAATCCCCCTGTATGATGGTATAAAAAGCAACAGAATCTTCTCAAGCGCTTGCTGGCGGTAGTATTGGTATAATCATTAGATGCGATAAAGGTATCTTCTCGTCGAAATTCTTTACAGTGGGCTACAATAGGCAAATGCGCATCAGTGATATCCTCTGAAAATGAAATTGGACGAAAAAAAATAAATAAAAAAAATTGAGGGTTAAAAGCCACATACCCTAAGTAGTCTTCTTTAATGGTTCCAATAGCATTGATTGCGGCGACATCTGGCTTGACACCAAGGATCTTGAGCCGTAGACTTGTCCCTTTCTCAATGACCTGGTCCGCGTGATCTGTGTATTGAGGAGGCACTGTGTTTGGTTCCCACTTGATGTCGGAAGGAATGTTCTTGCCAAACGGTTAGTCTCAGTATATAAGGTTTCCAGACCCTATCTGACAAACTCACTTTGCGCGCAATGAAGACTGACAACGGACCCGCTAATGTGAAGATTCCGGTGGGCTTAACAGACGTAACGATGGCATCGACCTACGAGCGCACTGTTAGAATTGGGAGCAAGAATTGGATGCTTGCGCTCTTCATGACATACGGTCTCTCCACGGAACGGCTTCCAGATAATAGCTCGGTATTTAATTGTGTACTCGGCTTGCCCACTGCTAGGTAGAACCCGACCTTCCCCAATATCTACCATGTCCATCACACAAATCACGAAGTGATCTCCCGTACAACGTCCTTCTTCCTCCTCATTCAGCCGGTTTATCAGGTACTCTCGCACATTAGGCCCAAAATAGGACGGGTGCAACGTGATGACCTTGGTCTCTTCCTTGAGGAAAAACATGTCGCAGAATCCGAACCAACGTGAGAAGCGAAGAAAAGAAAGAACTAGCAATCAAATCAAGTATCAAGTCAACAAGTTTGTCCCAATGTGTTCGACTCCGATATTTGGCGGGTGTTGGTAAGAAATCGCTAGAAGAATCTGAAGTAGGAAGACGAAGGAAAAACCGTAGCGAGCGCGACAGCAATTCAGTTATGACGCTGGCAAAGCTTGCGATCGAAGGTCAATGACAGAATATCAGCAGCTCATGACAACAATAGCAATGGAAACCTTGCCCCCGACCGAGATAGTCGACGAAAGAGTGCGAGCCTAACGTGTAGAAAAGGCTGAAAGAATAAAGACAACAAAATCTACCTTCAGAGGAAGGCGGGCGTGAGCGCTGATTGTGAAGAATCTCCAGTCAAGCAATCATGACATTGAGCCCGTGGGCGACTCGAGCAGCAGCTGCGTGCAGTCACCTGATCCGGCAGGTCCTCATAACATCAAAAATACATCAATACCATACACCGGGGCATAACTGCCACAGACCCTGCTGCATAAAGCGACAATGGCATGACAATACATTGTAACGGTCCCCGTATCCTCGGCATTCGACTTGCCAGCACATGACGTCTGTCTAGGATTACTTTAGGAGACTTACTACGAGTACTAACGGAGTAGCGCATTGGAAAATGTCTGATTCTCCACCTCTTGGCTGGCCTGATCAGGCATAATCCTTATCCAGTCTAACTGGCAGAAAAAGGGTCTCCTATATGGTTACCTTCAAGCATCGACAATTTCCCTTCGTGGAGACGACACACCATCGGGTCTGATTACCAATATGGCTCTGAACCTGGAAAAGCAGCTCCTTTTCGTGAGTGCTCTTATCTGCACATGATGCATTATTATATACTTGATGATTGGACCACAGCTTATGTTTTTAGTATGGTGCCTACCATAACAACCCAGTACTTTGCCCTCTGTTTCTACCTCATATGCGACTCTGATCGCTCATCGTTTTCCAGGTAAACGTCGCAATTCATGTTACATGTGTGCCGATACTTCTGTTTACCGGAATTGCCCTGGTATGCTTCCTTCCCCTTACTTCCGGCAAAACCTGGTGCTTACCATACGTGATGGATCCAGGCATCGAATTCCCCGGCCCTCTTCAACCTTCCTGATGTCCTTCGTTTCGAGCACCTGCCCCTCAACCTCGGTACTATTGGAGCGTTAATCTATTCAACATTCTATATTCTACTGGAGCCGGTTGCTGGGGCCCTGATCGCACCGATTATCATTGGTGGCGCGGCGTTCGCAAACCATCTCCTGACCACCTATGGCACGGATATGAACTACTGGTTTGGTGGAATTCATGTTGCGTCCTGGTTGCTCCAGTTTGTCGGCCACGGTGCATTCGAACGTAGGGCACCGGCTTTGCTGGACAACTTGATCCAGGCTCTCCTTCTTGCTCCGCTTTTCGTTTGGATAGAAATCCTCTTTTTCTTCGGCTACCGCCCAGAACTGAAAGCGAGATACGACCAGAGTGTTCAGAAGGAGATTGCTGCCTTCAAGGAGAAGAAGAACAAGGGCGGCAAAATAAACTAGCCACGCTCTATGCCGAGAGAACTACAGGGCTTACTCTAATAAGTAGTTGGGTAATAATAGCTGTCTTCGAGATGGCATCGATATTAACTGAAACTGATTGCAGCTGGTCGCTGCGGTGGGATACCTGGAATTATTGCAGATGACTAGAGATTGATTGCCTTATAGGGCAGACTGTCTAATATTGTTACTTTGGGATAAAACGCAGCGAAACGTCTGCCAAATGTAGCGGTTACGTTGGTTCGGGTTACAGGTGCAGACGTTTGTACGAGCAGCTCCGAGCCGGTGAATGTTTTGAAGCGGTGTAACAGATTGTTTGGGAAATGGAGAGGAAAGGAAAATTACTGGTTTAAACAAGGACCTGAAAGGCCCGCGAAAATTGGATCCTCCAGATATCAGAGAGATCCAACAATTTCCTAGAATAGTAGTTAATGGCGGATCCATATGTTTGTTGGCAGGGTCGTTGTGCAGACGGTTGCTGTGACGAAAATGAGCGGGAATGAGTAAGCTGGACTCAGTTATCCGCAGATCCGAGAAAAATACCAGCGAAAATTGAGATGGCCAGGTGGCCCGCAGGGAAACCATCGGGTACCCGGAAAACCCAAAATCATTTACCAACGCCAACAACATGGGGGGAAAGATATGAGAATGGGAGACCTAAATATTTAGATCCTCAGAGTTACATAAAAGCCAAAACAATAATTTTATATCGAATCGTTTCGAGTCTACGGGCGTAAGATCGATACGTCAAAGTAGCGATGTTTTCTTGGGGCGGGTGGGTGTCCCGTGAACGCACTAGGGCGGCTTCGGAGGTTGCTGAGGCTCGGCAAACTGGGTTTAGTGGCAGTCCTGAGAATCCTCCCAACCCCGACGACAAAGCTCTCCTTCCATCCATCCACAATCCTCTCTCCTCTTCCACCTCCCCCCAATTACATCTCTCTTTCAGAGAAACCACTCTCCCACTCCTCTGAACCCCAGTCACAATGTTCAGAAACGCTTTGCGGCAGTCCAGCCGCACCGTTGCGGCTGCCACTGCTACTGGCAGGATCGCTTCGGTGAGTCCTATCCCTACCTGCATCGACGACATCGCTTCAATTTCGCCTATGCCATCTCGAAAGTCATCTCAAAGTGGCTGTCAAGCACATGGCTTTGGATCGCACTATATTTTATTCAGTTTTAACGCGTTGTGGTCGACGTGTTTCGACGTTAACAAATTTTGCTTCTCCCTTTAGGTCCGCGCGGCTGCTCCCGGCCCCATCTCTGGTGCTGCTAAGCAGGTCCGTTCCTACGCCGCTGAGGCCAAGGCTTCTCCCACCGAGGTCTCTTCCATCCTTGAGCAGAGAATCCGCGGTGTTCAGGAGGAGGCTGGTCTTGCCGAGACTGGACGTGTCCTTTCCGTCGGGTATGTGATCAATTCGTCTCAATTGAAAATTCTGGATTCAGCAACAACACCATCGAAAGTCATCAAAAACCTCAATATAATCAACAGCACGAATATCTAGAATATCCTTGACTGATTCGATGTACCCAACAGTGACGGTATCGCTCGTGTCCACGGCATGACCAATGTCCAGGCTGAGGAGCTGGTCGAGTAAGTAGCTTTTGATATCTAGGTTTGTACTTGAAATTGACTAATGATGATCAGGTTCGCCTCTGGCGTTAAGGGCATGTGCATGAACCTGGAAGCCGGCCAGGTCGGTGTTGTGCTTTTCGGTTCTGACCGTCTCGTCAAGGAGGGTGAGACTGTCAAGCGTACTGGAGAGATTGTGAGTAGTAGTCTTTTGATACCAAACGGTGAGAAGTGGAAAAAATACTCATAGTACTCACCAGGTTGATGTCCCCGTCGGCCCTGAGCTTCTCGGCCGTGTCGTCGACGCTCTGGGTAACCCCATTGACGGCAAGGGCCCCCTTAACACCAAGGCCAAGAGCCGTGCTCAGCTCAAGGCCCCTGGTATTCTGCCCCGTCGTTCCGTCAACGAGCCCGTCCAGACTGGTATGAAGTGTGTCGACTCCATGGTTCCTATCGGCCGTGGTCAGCGTGAGTTGATCATTGGTGACCGTCAGACCGGTAAGACCGCTGTCGCCCTTGATACCATGCTGAACCAGAAGCGTTGGAACAGCTCTTCCGACGAGAGCAAGAAGCTCTACTGTATCTACGTTGCTGTCGGTCAGAAGCGTTCCACCGTTGCTCAGCTCGTCAAGACCCTTGAGGAGAACGACGCCATGAAGTACTCCATTGTTGTTGCTGCTACTGCGTCCGAGGCTGCTCCTCTGCAGTACCTTGCTCCCTTCACTGGCTGTGCCATGGGTGAGTGGTTCCGTGACAACGGCCGCCACGCCGTCATCATCTACGATGACCTTTCCAAGCAGGCTGTCGCCTACCGTCAGATGTCCCTGCTCCTCCGTCGTCCCCCCGGTCGTGAGGCCTACCCCGGTGACGTTTTCTACCTGCACTCCCGTCTCCTTGAGCGTGCCGCCAAGATGAACGAGAAGCACGGTAACGGTTCCCTTACCGCTTTGCCCGTCATTGAGACCCAGGGTGGTGATGTGTCTGCCTATATCCCTACCAATGTCATTTCCATTACCGATGGCCAGATCTTCCTGGAGTCCGAACTTTTCTACAAGGGTATCCGTCCCGCCATTAACGTCGGTCTTTCCGTCTCTCGTGTCGGCTCTGCTGCCCAGGTCAAGGCCATGAAGCAGGTTGCCGGTTCCCTGAAGCTGTTCTTGGCTCAGTACCGTGAGGTTGCTGCCTTCGCTCAGTTCGGTTCCGATCTTGATGCCGCTACCAAGCAGACCCTCAGCCGTGGTGAGCGTCTCACTGAGCTTCTCAAGCAGAAGCAGTACTCCCCTATGTCCGTCTCCGACATGGTTCCTTTGATCTTCGCTGGTGTCAACGGTCACCTCGACAACATCCCCGTCGCCAAGATCCTGCAGTGGGAGTCTGACTTCCTTGCTCACCTCAAGAGCAACAACCCTGAGGTCCAGGAGGCCATCGAGAAGGAGGGCCAGGTCAGCAAGGAGACCGAGGCCTCCCTCAAGGAGATCATCCAGAGCTTCAACAAGTCTTTCAACGCATAGGTGAGCAAAAGGCAACTGGGTGATTAGCCAACCGTGTATTGTTTTTTTCCTGACTCTATGTGTATAGACAAGATTAGCTTGTACAATTTGAGACCACAATTTTCTTTTCTTTCCACCGAAGCCTCGGATTGGTTGAGAAACAATGAGGGTGTATTATGGGAGTCCTTCATGTGTAACAGCCTGACCTATAACTAGCTACGAGGGGGGACAGAATAGTTGTGGGGGTAAAAAACTCAAAGCTACGAATTAATATCCTGTACGTTTAGATCCTTTCGCGCACTCGGGGAATGAGATACGAAAGATCGATTGTATGCGTCTCATACCCGTTGGCGCATCATCCTTATTCTCTTTCAATCCATGTCCCCATCCTCCATGTATGCAGCCTGAATATGATTTCCTTTGTTTGTCCACTGTCTGGTGAAATTGTTAGCATGTAGAGTTCTCTGCGTGAGAGATCAGGAAATGGTTCAAGCCTAGACGTATACTGAAGTGGCACCTTAGTATGGTCTCTTCCTCTCAGTCTAGCCTAGGTACCTCTTCTATAGGTAATGCTGCCTAATGTTTTCTCCCTACTTAGATCTTGCCTTGCTAACCTGTACTGGGATATACTACGTATAGGAGCGAGTACCGTGGACCCATGTGCGCACGGTGGGGATTATTTGGGAAACGTGCATGCTGCCCTACTTAGAATTTCTGCTGATCCACAGCTACTCGATGCCGAATAGATTTAGGCTCATACATGACCAGGAGGGGCTGTCTAAGTTACGTCTACCTCTCTCTCCATGGTGACTCAGTGGGCCGAAAGCGGCCGTCTTTATCGATAAGCGAGCAGTCTTTTCCGTCCCAAAAATTTCTCCATGCCCCTCCGCAAAAGTCCACTTGACGCAAAGTATTGACAACATTCTCGATCTGTTCAATAGCCAATTCCATTGTTGCGCAAATGGCCACTTCTTCCGACGCCGCGCCGGCCACCTGTAAGGTTGTGCTCTCTAAGAATGTCGTTGCCAGCCTCCTTGCTGAGGTTCAGGAAGGGGTGAACACGTTGGAGAAGCCCCCTCATCTGGTGGGATTCTTGGCCAACAATGACCCTGCGGCACTCATGTATGCCCAGTGGACTGAAAAGACTTGCGAAGAAAAGTGAGCATTCTTTCGTACTTACTCCTTTTTGGGGTTGTTCTTTCCAAGCAACCTGCGATCTCGGAGCCCCTGGAGGCAACATGTTGGAGTCACGCTTCGTAGCTAACGTAGTCTCTTTTTCTGCACTATACAGTGGCTTCCGCTATTCTCTCCGTCAAGTCGAGCGCGAAGATCTCGAGGAGGCTATCCTAGCTGCCAATGTCGACTCGGACGTTGACGGCATCATTGTATATTACCCCATTTTCAACAACCGGCAAGACCAGTACTTGCAGCAGCTTGTCGATGTATCCAAGGATGTAGAGGGTCTAAGCCATCGTTACATCTTCAATATGTACCAGAATATCCGATACCTCGATCCAGAGACCAAGCGACAGAAATGTATTCTCCCTTGTACACCCCTCGCCATTATCAAGATCCTCGAGTATCTCAAAGTCTACAATACGATTTTACCCTATGGCAACCGTCTTTTTGGACACACTATCTGTGTAGTGAACCGGTCGGAGGTTGTCGGTCGGCCGCTGGCGGCTTTGCTGGCAAACGACGGAGCCTGCGTCTACAGCGTGGATGTGACCGGTATCCAAAAGTTCACTAGAGGTGAAGGTATCAAAAAGCGCAGACACGAGGTCCACGACTTGGAAGGCAAGACACTGAACGATGTGGTACCTCTGTGTGACGTCGTCATTTCTGGCGTCCCCGGGGACAAATACAAGTTCGATACTAGCCTCCTCAGAGAGGGTGCTGTGTGTCTCAATTTCTCGAGTGAGAAGGTAAGTAGTTGTCCCAGACATATTTATTTGCCTACGTTGCAGTGACTGATACCACTCCCTTAGAACTTCGGGCCTGAAGTCAAGGAAAAGGCCTCTATCTTTATGCCTTCCACTGGAAAGGTGACAATCGCCGTTCTGCTCAGAAACCTACTAGTGAGTGACGTGCTTTATGAACTCCTTCGAAGCATCATCGAGCTGACCATTTCCCACAGAGACTCATCCAGAACCGGAGATTGGATGACGTGAAGCCTGCTGAAGCCACCGAGCGCCCCGGCACTCTGGAAGCTGCCACCTAATAATCAAAGATGCTTGCTCAATAAATTGGGACGGGAGATGATGTCACTCAGCATCCGTTCGGGTTATAAAGCTTCTCTGCTTATTATCGTTCCTATCATCCTTTCTCTAGACGAATTACTATATATATCTTTTTTTTTAGAAATTTGGTTTTGCACGGCCTTCAAGCCAACAAAATGGACTCTGGCCAGAGTTTCAACCAGTATCCTCTGTTTGTCTGCTTGTTTGGACTCTTGGGATAGTCTCGGGTAGATTTAAACAACCACAGAGATGAGAATGATGAATGCTGGTCGTTCGCTGAATACATCACGCATAATGTCCTTTTTAGACGCTACAAAAGCAGTAAAGAGCAATCAAGTGACTTCTGCAGAAATAGAAAATGCTGGAATACTCCCATATAGTACGTCCAATTGCCTTATTTCAGAATATAGGACCTGGAGCGCTTATCACATTCTCTAACTGCTCTTACTGATCTTATTTCTCCTTTGCCGCAAGCCGCAGCACCTGGATCTCGCTTGCTAGCCACTTCTTAAGAGGCTCAGGATGAAAAGTCCCATCTGCAGAAAACCATGTTGTGAAAGATGTCTCGATTTCCTTTTCCTCGAGGACCTTATTCGCAGATGATGTATACTGCACACGGAGTTTATACAATGGAGAGTGTTTCTTTGCGGAGGAGCGAATGGTAATCTAGCCAAATCAGAATTAGCTTAGCACATTTGATTAGTGCATCCCTTGCGATAGCCTACCGTTTCACCGGACTTGCGCTTTCCACGAAATACCTCACCAGCCTCCACGGCCCAGATCCAGTATGTGAGCAAAGTATTCAGGATAAAGTACGAAACCACGGCCGCTATGACCCATGTTGACTGCGTTGCCTCCCATCCTAGCTTGCGATCGGCATAGAATGTGAATGCTGCAATGGCAACGGCAGAATAGCCTAGTAGGAAGCGGACGTTGGTCTTCGTGTGGTCTTGAGTAAAGGCGTAGGGCTGGGGTAGGGTAGTTAAATGCGGTGCAAGAGCATCGTCTGTTGTTGATTTGAGATCTGTGGCCATTAGTAACCGTTAAAATCCCAAGTTACAGTAGAAAACGCATAAGTTGTAGGTAGGCGTAAGTTGGTGTATTTCTTTTGTGCATCTACTACTAACCATTGACAGAGTAAACGGGCACTTTGTGTACCTCTGTTGACGCCATTTTTATTATGAGTTTTCAAGTAAAGAATTGTAATATCAGATTTTCTCAAGGAATCATAGGGTAATTTAGAGGTTTGGTGGAAAAGATTGAGGATGCTCGGTTTGCATAGATGCCAACGAGAAGTTGCGGCGAGCTGGCCCTTTCGGGGAGAGCTGACTTAATGCGATTCGGCGCTAGTGAACACCCGCCCCCAGTCCAATCTCGTGGGGACCGCAAGCCGGGAGCTCTCTTTTTATCTTAAGCATAGCTAAAATCTACCCATTCCATTGCTCTCAGTATTGCTCATCATGGCCTTACAAGGGGTCGAGCAGACGATTCTTCGGGATCCAGCTTTATTGTGAGTTTCTGCGATTTCAATCGAATGAGAAAGAAACTGACTCGGAGGCGATTCGCAGTTATTGGATCCTGTTCCCGATTACCATTGTTATGGTAAGTTTGATCTAGTGAATCAGTGCAGCGTTACATGCGATACTAACTCTTGCATACAGATACTCACAGGTATCCTTCGTCACTATGCTACCGTTTTGATGAACACTCCCCCTAAGCCCGCGTCCACTCTGGCCGAATCCCGCGAGCGTCTCTCACTCCTGCGCGGTGTCAATCTCCGCAACAATGCCCCAGCAGTTCTCTCGAAAGATGCATTTGAAATGCGCAAGAACTATCTGGTCTCTGCGTACCAAAGTGGCGAGTTCCTAAAGGACCCGGCCAGCCGCGGTCAGCCCCCAGCAAATCCGATGACGGACTGCGGGCATGGAAGCTATGATGGGTATGATGAAGGGAAACATGATGATGATGATCCCGCAGACTCTTATTATGAGCTGGATTAATGCCTTCTTTTCTGGCTTCGTTATCCGTATGTTTTCTGACTGTCCCGCAATCTACGTTTCGTACTGACGAAGTGTAAAGTCAAACTGCCGTTCCCCCTCACCATCCGGTTCAAGTCTATGCTTCAGTCTGGTGTTATGACTCGGGACTTGGACGTTAGGTGGGTATCCAGTCTGTCATGGTACTTCCTGAACTTGTTTGGGCTTCAGTCTGTATTTGGATTCATTCTGGGTAGCGACAATGGTTAGTCATTGTATTTTTGTTTCCCGGGGTACACGGTATACATGCTAACATTTATGTAGCTGCGAACCACATGTCACAACAAATGGCTACTATGAACCCTGCGATGGGGGCCAATCCATTCCAGCCTGGTCAAGATCCCGATAAATTGTATCGAAGTGAAGCAGAGAACTTGGAAGTCATGGAGCATTTTTGCATCCTAGATGGCATTGAGGACAGAATACTGCACAACATTGCTTCAAAGGAGGGCCTCATTTGATTTTCCATAATCGTACTGGCCCTCGTGTCTTATTTTCTATAAACTACGGGTGTATTCAGAGAACAGTGATACAGAATTGATGAAACGAGGTAACTTTGACGTATCTTAGGGGCCTGACCGAATATTCGCTGAACACTCTACTGCATAATGTGAGTAGTTATGAAATGATTCTTCAGGTAACAATTACGATGATATATATGTTATTATAAAGACAGGTGTACGCCGTTTCTTGACTCAAATTACAAGAGGTGGTTAGAGCATTTCCGTATGTCTATTCGTCACATCATCACGTACGAGTTGTAAAACTGGTTTCAATGGTAGTTGATCACGCCGTTCAAGATCCATACTTCACCATTGGAAACTTGTTCTGCAATACTGTCAACCTCAACATTTCCCGGTTGGATCTAAAATACGTTAGCCCTTAAAGCCAAATTGTCACGAGGCGGTGGTCGTACAAAGATCTTATCTCCATCTCTTGTCCAGCTCAACCTGCCTCCCCCGAGAGTCTTTACTTCATCCCCTTCATTCCAGGGACTTCTGGGTACTATGTGGGCCTCTACAAAGCGCTTCAGGTTGCTTTTCGCTCTGTCCTGCCCTTCCTGCCCCTCATAGGCCTTCGCCTCTCCAAACTGTGCATAGTCATCCGGATTCTCCCAAGGCTTACGCGGAAGTCCTTGGATTGCACTGTTGCGAGGGGCAAGGACGGTTACATTCTTTGTTGCGTCGTTGAAGCGAGAATCAATAGGCTCAAAATCCCTTGTGAGAGAAGCAAAGATATTGATGCCACGGTTTTTAGGAAGAACATCGGATATCACAAGGCCACCACTGCCGGAATCCTGAGGTTGCCTGCTTCCCCCATTAGCGTCTGTTTCAGGTGGAATAGCGATATTAGGGGTCATGATGGGTTGTTGATTCTGAAGCCACTGCTTCAGTTCGCCGTTCTCTTGGAGGCGCTGCTCGTGCCGTAAGTGAGGTAGATCGACAAACGGACGCGGAAGTCGCTTGCGAAGAGGAAAACTTGAAGCTATGGATATTGTGCAAACGATCAGAAAGATTAAAAAGATTGGTGCAAAGGCTTGATGTCGCATTTTGACCAGCAATGATATTTTCATTCGAATCGTTCATGCCGACCAACTAGCCAGTGACGCATGACGCAACTGTAAGTCCCTTCCTATTCTGTCACTGACCCACACGTGATATTGCGGAGGAAGTTCAATACACGTGACATTTATCGATAAGGGCAATCGACAGCCACAAAAAGCGTCATGTTCCGGTCGCGGAGGAGGGGATCGAGCCATTTACCCCTCATTTGAGACGCTCACGAAGATGTCGGCGTTGCAGACATTCCTGCTGGTCGTGGACCATGACAAGGAGGAGGCTAAGCAGATTGCTGAACGAATTGCTCAAGGTAACGCCACTCGATGGATCGTTGTCAAGATGGATGGGTTCTAACTATTGCTGGAAGATGTGGAGACCAAGAGAACGACCCTTATCGAAGTTGTTCAGTCTTTGGGGGAGTACATCAACGATGAGGATCCGATCTTGCGAGGCAAAGCAGTTTCCTATCTTACTGCTGTGATTAAATCACTCCCACCCAAGTTCCTTTCGAGACAACAAATTCAAGTCCTAACTACCTTCTTCTGCGACCGTATCGAAGATGGAGGAGCTGTCGCCGGGCTGGATACACTTCAGAAGTTGGATCGCTTTAACAAAGCATTGGCAGAGGAGGCAGCACAAGCGTGAGTCATGCTATATATCTGATCTGGTTGGGGATAGTTTCGTGAGCGGGTGGCGGACAACATCGAACCGTCGAAGATGGTGACTAAATTAGTAAAGAAGTAGGCTAACATTGCCTAGCATTTTTGAACGTTTTCAAGACCTTCAGTCTCGATCACAATCCCAGAGGTTTCAGGTCTACCAGTTACTGAATGAATTAATGGTAAAGCATCGTTCAGGTGCGTGTTAAAGCATTGTGATCCTGCTCTATCTTTCAAGCGCTAACAGAGACTAGCTCTCCACGACATGGGAGACCACTCGCTGGTTGGAATAGTGGACCTTATGACAGGCGAAAAAGACCCAAGGAACCTCATGCTTGTGTTTTCCATCCTGAAGGTCGTGATGGTGGAGTGGGATATCTCCAACCACGCCGAGGTATGCGCTGTAACTCCGCTAGGTTGATGCAAATAGCTAACGGTTGAAGTTACTTTTTGACTCAGTGTATAATTACTTTCCGATCACATTCAGACCACCGCCGAATGACCCATACGGCATTACAGCCCAGGATCTGAAAAATCGTCTACAAGAGTGTATCTCATCGACGAGTCTATTTGCTCCACATTCTATTCCATCTTTGTTAGACAAACTTGACTCGACGTCACCGAATGTTAAGGTACGATGATCATCGACTTCTCAAAGCATTGCTGACAAGCCCACAGAAAGATGCACTTAATGCATTGATTGCCTGTATCAACTCTTACGACCCGGATACTGTATCCAGATATTCTATTACGATATGGGATGCTTTGAAGTTCGAAGTGCTCAATGCACAGGAGGAGCTTCTATCTGAGTTGTCTTTGCAGGCTCTGCAAGACATTGCCAAGCGATTATCCGAAGGTGTCACGCAGGTCTCTGATCAGTTGCCTCTTGCACAATACATGCGGCCAATCACTAGGGAATGCAACGACCAATTACGAGAGCCACAGCAGAAACAAGCTAAGCCTGCACAGCAGATTCTAGGCTTCATATCGGCGGCTTCCTTTGCATCGTTTATGTTGGCTGTACAAGCAGTTGTTGCGCCACTTCTGACGGTCTATCAAGAAGCAGATGGCATCGCCAAGCAAAGGGCTCTCCTGGATACGTTGGTGGTTCTTTTTGACTCCGCAATCAAGATTTTCGGTGAATGGACGACCCGTACCCCTGAGACGAATGTAGAAAACCCTCTACTTGAGTTTAAAGATCAGTTTTCGGACATCTTTGGCCAGGCTTTAATGGGCGTGGTTAAGGAAGAGGTGTCTTTCCGTGTCTCTGCTCTGAAGGGCTTCTTACGTCTTTCCACCCTGCGCAATTTTTTCCAAGATAATGAAGTGGGGCTGTTTGTGCAGTACCTTGACGAGATCCTTCTAAAGGAGGAATCCATAGACCGAGATGACCTAAAGAAGGAGGCAATCGCAGCTTTGACTGAAATCTCGAAACACAAACCGAGGCTGATCATGGATATCACTTTCCCTGCCTTTGTGGCCACGCTTCCTGACTTTGATGATGGGACAAACTCCAATTACCTACCAACGCTTGAAAGCCTCGCACAAATAAGTGTCGAGAAGGATATTTTTGAGACATTAGTTCGTCGCTTACTTAGCAAGTTGAATATCTTGCTGCAGAAAGAACAACCAGGCTCTGTAGCCTACCCCAGAGCGATCCTTGTAACGATTCTTTATGTTATGAGCCAAAGAAGTATGGACCAAGACCCAAATCTGGACCTGTACTACGACAAGATAGTTGTTAGCTTGTGCCGCCATGCTGCGGTTTCAGCTTCAGGAAAGGCTAACAATAATGTCTTGAACGATGCTACGGTCTTGGATACGCTTGGAAGACTCTGTAACCTCATTGTCCGGGCGCTTCCGAGAAATAAGCAGGATGAAGTTGCAGAGAGTGTCTATACCCTGTACTCTTCCGCTGACGACTTTTTACCGGTTCCATTTTCGCAATCAGCCAGTGATGATCAGCAGCGCACGATGATTATTTCAACGTATCTCCTTGCAGGGCTCCCGACGGATTGCGCTAGTCTCCCTTATACCAGCCCCAACATGTCTGCTTTGCTCTTTGATGTGGTAAAGCGGTCTACCACCGAATGTGCACCTGCAACTCATCTTGCGCTCTTGCGTCATCTTGCTCTTTTAGTGAACAAGTTCTTACCCAAGTCCGAATTGAGCCTTGCTACAGAATTGTTCGACACTATTCTCCCTGCTAATGTTGAGGGGAAGAAGCTTAGCCCTGAGTCTATCAAAACACTTTTCTGGCTTTCAAAGGCCCTGGTTTTGCGTCTTGCTCCAAAGATAACAGATCTTCTAACCTCCTTGCTGTCGCTTCTCTCATCCCAAGACGAAGTAACCAGCACCACAGCTGCTCGCAGCTTCGCAATTCTCCTTAGAGATGATGACGTGCTCTCCGCCACAAACGGCGCCAACATCCGCCTATTATCGAAACAGCGTGTTTTCACGACTTTGGTGCCTCTCATCTCAAGCAAAATCCGTGAAGTCAATATTGCAGGCAGTGACTCCCCAACCGCCGAGCATATCAAGCCGGCACACTTAACGGCTTTGTCTGGAATTCTATCCACCATCCCCCCATCTCTGGTAATGCCCGAACTCCCTACCCTCCTTCCTCTTCTCCTCCAAAGTTTGGACCTTCAAACATCGGACTGCCAATCCGTCCGAACCGCAACCCTCGAGACCCTTGCCGTCATCATTCGCGATAGTGGTGTCGGAGTCATTGAAGAATGCGGTCACATCCAAAGCCTGGTAACCCGCCTCCTCAATACAGCAGAACATAAATCCGCGAGCGATAAGGAAGCCGCAGTGAACAGTCCCCGACTGCGTGTCGATGCCCTAAGGTGTCTTTTCTTGCTCGCGCAGACACCAGCCTCTGATGCCCCCGCCGTTGTGAAAGCAGGGAAACTGTCCCCACTTCTACCGGTAAAAGCTCAGGTCGTTCGTTCTTTGGGCTTCGTTCTGGATGACCCGAAACGTGATGTGCGTAAAGCTGCTGTTGATGCTCGAGGTGCCTGGCTCAGGGGTGTGGATGATGCTCCTGATGACGATGAGTAAATGATTTTTACCTTTGTGTGATTATATATTGGTGTTTCTATTTATATATAACCTGAAGGGCCTTTCTCTAACTGATTCAGGCTAGAATGGTGAGGAAAATGCATCTGATAAATAGAAATTTTTGGGGTTCACTTGTCAACATTTGGCAAGGGGCACGCATACATGATATGATGCATATATATGCGGCATGGCACAAAAGGGCAAACGTAGAAAATACATTTTGAAGCGTGAGCTACATTCTCCAAGAGTTTTAAAGTGCGGTATAGTTCGGCGAAAGGATATAATTACTGTGATTCCCTGACAAAAATGCCATTTGACGTTCATGACACGTTTAGAACTCTTTGCAAGGATTAAGGCCAGCCAAGTTTTGGTTTGGGGAATTACGAAACGTAATATTCCAACAAGAGGCTCTAAAGCCAAGAAAGGGAAAAGAATTAGCTGATCCACAGGGATCTAAGACTCGAGCTCCAGCGAAATCGTGAAGAGGCTACTCTGTTGTGCCCGCAACAATCTCTCCGAGGGTACGAACGAGCGAATGGGTATTAATATATACATGATAAACGTATAATAACAGTGTATACCATTATAACTGCTTCCAACCTATAAGGGCGGAGAGAAATGAACAAACTGACGAATGTGAACATGAGTCCATAGGGCTGGTTTACGCGAACCGGTTTTGTTTAATAGTTGAGGTACAAGACAGCGACGACGGCCAGGATCAAGTTAGGCGACCAGTTGCGAAGAGACGCATCGTCTGACTGCGTCTTAGCAGACACGGCACCCTTATTGGAAGTGTGGTTATTACCGGTATTTGGTTTATCATCATGCCTAACGTGTGGAACCGTGGAGGTCGCGTTGTTGCCCTTTGCGACACCGGTTGTCGAGTTATGCGGAGCTGTATTGAAATCTGGGGAGTCGGGGTCATCATCGGGACGAGGCCCTTTTGAAGATGGTGCTTGGCCGTTGGGATGCTCAACAGTTATATGCCCCGTATAGTTGATTTCTTCGTTTTGTTGGATTTTCAGAGCGTAATCTGACCCATCCTGCAGATCCTCGCTGGCCTTCCAGGTGTATTCATTTCCACGAGCATCACGCGTAAGGACATCCACGTCGCTAAGGTTGTTGGCCGCACCCCTACGAAGGGTAATAGTTGTGGGCTGCAAGATAGCAATGTCAGAGTAAGGTCAACGGTAGGGAATGGTCAAAGCCTAGGCACAACATACAAGATCAGGGTCACCGATCCACTTTACGGTATTGTCTTCACCAGCATGGATGACACCTGGCCACTGAGTGAATGACAATGCATCTATTATACCAACATGGGCCAAGCAAGCAACAGTTGTGAAGATAGACTCGAATGCGCGCATGGTGGATAGTTTATACCTTGTTGAATGTTAGGCAACGTGTGTGATATAAGAACTTGAAGTATGTAAGCAATAAAGAGAAGGCAGCGACACAATGTAATAAGAGTTGATGACAGTGCAAGAAAGGGGATACAAGAGGAACTTCATTCAAGTGCGACGTCCACACCCAGGCAATCTCATACAGGCCTTCCTTAACCCTGACTTACGTTTAGGCAAGTACGATCAACAAGGTTGACTCTTCAGCAAACAACTAATACTTTTAATAATGCTCGACGTTGAATGTGGCCCAAGGATGCCTCCTTAGTGATGAATGGAATAGAAAGTGGATTATGTCCCAGAGTGCAAGGACAGGGCGCCCCGGGCATGTTTATAAGCGGTGGCTTTTGCTCGAAGATCCCCATTTTTTGGCTTGTTTATTATACTTTACCCAATCCTAGAATGGGGGGATAGTCTCCTAGTCACATTCTTGACCACCAAGATGGTGGGATGGGTTGGTTAATAGCTGATGGGGAGAGCCCAGGGAATGTTGTGTCTTTCTTGTTCTTACATTCCAGCTTTAGCTTCGGGGATTCTCACTCAACTATGGCTGAGGTAGTATCATATACTGAGTGAAGATTATTATGTTACTTTTAGCATACCAGCGTTCGGTCGAAATTTCTACTAGTTCTCCCTTAATCCGCTGTTAACATTTATGGGTTATGGAATTAAACCTCCTGAAGCTCACAACAGTATGGTGCCGGACATGCATGAAGTGGTCAGTTTATAGGGGTTGCACTTCGTAGTAGCGTTGGATGCAATATCCATAACTAAAGATGGCGCATCTTTCAGCAGAAATACGGAGTAGTGTATTTAGAGCTCAGAATCTTTTAGCTGATAAGTCTCCAAGCCATCTGAGCAACATGGTACATTGGTCAGATTTTATTAGCAGAGTACGTAGCCTTCCTTGGACAAATGTAGCCGCCTTGTCTACATGACGGTGGGAAGGAAATCCCTGCTAGGGAATAGGCAGTGCAACAAGAGGGGCTAAACAGTGGTTGTGCAAATTGGTCTTCCTCTTTAATGGTATGGCAATGAAGTATGACATTAAAAACCGTTATTCGGGTGGATAATCTGCATAGATTGAGTTCTGGTGGCTGATATATATAACAAACCCTAATCAGTGGACTTGCAAGATTGAGGGTGTAGTAGTTGTTGTTTTTCAGGGGTCAACAAAATTGTCAGGTGAGAAAAATCTCACCGTGGGTTGTCTTGCATCTCCATACACGTCACATAAATCTGAGGTACATGATACATATGCATGTTCTATGTTGCGATAGGTAGTGTTCGTTGGGTATATATGATTGATCTACCCATCCGCGGCGGCTAATCTTCTCCGTCATATCCACCACTATTGTCATTTATTATCTCTCACTCTTTCCTCTCCTCAGCGCTGTTCATTTTTTCTGCTTATACCTGTCGAGTTTCTTGTATATTATTATTGTTTTTCCCTTGTGCTTATCCCTTACATTTTGTTCGCGGTTTCTCCCACCAAGTATCCTTCACTCCCCTCCGTCAGTGGACAGTTAGTTGTTGGGCAGTGGCTGTAAGTTTATCATCCACAGCTCGCTACCAGTTCCCAGTGCTTTTCTTCGACTCGTGTCTTCCCTTATATCTATTACTGCCTTTTTTTCACGGCATCCTATCCTGATGTCTCAGCGATGAATAAGCACCAACAATAATTTTCGTAATAGCTCTGCTGCAGATCTCCTGCAATCAAAGGTCTCGATCCACTCCTTGGTATGTACGTTTTTTCCCCTACCCTTCCGGAGTCTGTTGTGCATCAATTTATGCATGCCAAATATCCAAGTCCTGGGACCCTTCTGCACAACTGAAGTTTCATGAACCCGACGTTCAGAAACTCGTTGGCTGAGCCGTGAGGTGCAGAAGGCTGGTTTGTTGTGCCTGAGAAGTGAGATTTGCTCCTTGCTTACAGCTCTGACTATACCTGCGTTTCCACTTCTGGTATTTCTACTCTTCTTGTGTGATCACTCTTTCTACTTCATTCATCTTTTTCATGGGTCCCCTTTTACGGCCATTCCCGTAGCTCCCAACATTCCAACAAATACCCACAATGCCGAGCATGGCCCGATTCGGTCGGGCCAAGAAAACGCCAAAAGCAGTAGCCAACAATGCTAACTCGGACATGCTTGTATCGTCTACGTCAGATCCTCCGCGACGGTCCCCTCGTGTTAGTCTACCACATGTGGAAACGCAACTGAATATGCATCAATACAGTGGTCTTTTCGATCTCGACTCCCCGGAACGTCTGAAGGCCGTGGAGTCCTCTGCAGGTGGGTGGTTTTTTTCTCCCCTTATCGGGCTCCGATTAGCCGTCATTCCAATCAGGCGAGTCACCAGTTGCTTATTGTGAGATTATTGGCACATTCCTACAGAGTCGATTAACTCGCATTCCTCGAACACCCGAACAAATGGCTCAACACTTACGAACAGTGACTCAATGACAACGGAATGGTCTTCGGCAGTCGGTCACGCAGCCACGGGCAAGTCCGGTCGTGTCATACATAATCTACAGGAGGATATTGCCCGCTTGACGCGAGAGTGCAGTGTTTATCGTTCCCGGGCAGAAGAAACACAGCGCATGAACGATGCTTTCAAGACTCAGGTACAAAACATGACGGAACGTCTCCGGAACCTGGAGCAGGCACACGAGACGAACCTACATTCGATCTCGCGCAAAGATAAGAAAATCGAGGAGTTACGCGCAGAGGTGCAGAGCGAAAAGGATAGACGACTGCGAGCAGAGACGGAGACGAAAAAGTTCCATCAATTGATGGATGAAAGCCGTGATGATTTCAATCGGAAATGCGCGGAGTTGCAGGAGATCGCCAACCATGCTCGGACCCAGTATGACGTGCTTGCTAAAGCTGGACAACGTGAGCGGGCAGATCAACAAAGGAGGGTGAAGGCGATTCGCGATGAGATCGATGCTCTAAAAACACGACAAGAAGAAAAGAGTCTGCACCTTGAGCGCTTGGATACTGTGATGGCCCAGAAAAATCGTGAGATTGAGATTGGCCGAGAAAATTTTGACAAGCTCTTTGAGGTGTATGAGTCCTATAAAAAAGCCCATGATGAAGAAGTCCACACACTCGTTGAGAGGGGTCGCCAGGGTGATGCCAACTTGAGCGCAGCTTTGGCTTCATTGAAGGAAACTGAAGATCGGATGAAATGGGCAATCCAGGTCAAGAACGAGGTCAAAGGTGCCAATTAAACCTGACCTATAAAGCTCGTGGCGCGTCCACAGTGGCCTTTTCTTCAACAGGCAGCTAGCGCTGGTCGTGAAAGCCTACGTGGATTGGCAGGTTTGTTAACAAACTACTTCGGTAACACTGTTTCCTGCTTGTCTAACACTGAACAGTTTCTATATGCTGAGAACACACCTATTGCAACCTGTCTACCCCCCTAATTGACCGGGCGGTCTCGAACTATGGGTGTATGCCCCAGGTTGCTCTTCTCTTTGACCTGTTTATATCTCGCCTTTCATAATCTGAAAGTATTTCATTCCACTTCCCGGCGAATCTGTCCGGGCTCAATCGCGGTTCTCTGGAGTTTGGGATTGTTTGATACCCTGGGGGAAATCCACTGCCATATCACCTGCTTGTTAGATCGCATTTACAATACAGTGATGGCCACAATGACTAGACTGATAGATATATTTTCAATATGCACATACAGGAAACCAATCAAGGTCTTGAAACCGTGACTTCACGTATTGGACAGACACGTGATGTCTTTCTTTGTATTCAGCTGTCTTTGGTCAAGGTTCATGACCTGCCCCTTCCTTAGGTTGCGCTGTGTCTCACTACTAGTATTCTTCTATTTCTTTCTCCTCAACCGTGAATATTTATCAACTGCCTATGCCCCACAACAATATTCAATTTGCGTTTGTGCATTACCAGAGAATACTTCACCATTGGTTGCATCTACCTGTGCAGTGTTTGTCTTGCTCCTGGGAATAGGGTCTTAAATGCCAGGCCACCGGACATACTGTCAAGATTAATCTCACCTAAGTTTCAAGGCCTCCTTCCGCTGTTGTCTTGGTGATGTGGCGATATTTATATCTGTCTTCCCAGCTCACTTTACTTTCTTTCACACTCTTCCCTTACTTGCTACCGCAACAGCTTTCTTTTCCTTCTAGTTTTCATAATATTCTCTTCTAATTTACTTCATTCCATTCTATAGTACTTCTCACATATTCTTTCAAACTACATCTCTCTTTGTAATCTCAACTGCCTCATTTGATGTGCGGGAGTGGCTTCTAGAATGGTACAAGGATGGCGAATGAACAGCGCATAACTTTCGCGTCCATCTGGGCATTCGAGGACATTGGGGTAAAGACACTCTCCATAGTCTTTAAATACAGGTTATTTGCTAACCAGAATGGCGACAGGTGCAAGATATTGGCATTGAAATGAAGTTCGTTCCTTACGTCCCCAATGACAACTCCGCCAATACTGATGTGCGCTATAGGAAAGCACTACCTCGCCTGGATTACCACTGCGAATACCTGAGGCATGACGATGTAAGTCCTCCTTCGAGAAACAACCCCTTTCATTGCAATGCTAATTCACTTATGCTAGCTCCTTGTGGTCAAAGGACGTATGAACGGCTCTGCAAAGAAGATTGCGGGTCTTGTTTCAACCTTTATTGAAGACCAGAAGAATAAGGATTTTCTTGATGTATGTCTCTCGCCTTTCCTTGTTTAGAGATGGCCAGTTGTTAATATGCCATAACAAATCTAAGATGCCACGTACTCGTCAACTGAATATTCCTATCATGCTTCAAGACGACGGAGCTTCCGTCCCAGTCGCTACTACCGAAGATAGCCTAGGGGGCCTCTTGGCCCTTGACATTGATTCAGACGTGGAGCTGATACATCAATCTCATCTTATGACACACGTCACAAAATTCTGGTTATCGTCGCATGGAGGCGTTGGGTGCTTTGCGACTGGTTTTAATGAAGTCCTCACTGAGATTGCAGCCGCGACGGGGACGAATATTACAATCATCGATGAGGTTAAAGGCATCCAAATATCTGGAAGTAGTGCTGGAGATGTCGACGACGCTGTAGCGAAGCTCACTCGGATTGAGAAACCCTTGGTACGTGACACGCCTCTTCAAGTATATCTAGCCACTAACTATATATGTTTCTCAGTCTTGCCTTGCTAACCACAAGGTGGGCAATATGAGTATAGCCACAGAAGGCAAGGCGACCCAATACACCATTCAGAATTATAGCAGCCTGAACCAAGTGGCTCTTCGCCGTGTTCTAGCTGACCCCGCAACGAGCTCGAATCTCGGTATCAGCCAGATGTTTGTCACTACCTCTCTTTCATTCGATGAGGAGTCTCAGAGTTATATGCTGCCTAAGAACATAGTGTATCCACGGTCAATTAGCGACAGACCGGGGAAGTCCATGATATGGCAAAATTATACTTTCCCTGAGGTTGGCAAAGGGGATGAGTTTGTTCTATTGGAGGCTGTTGAAGATACAAATATCCCGGCTGCAACGTCAGAGACCTCACCCACCCATCCTTTTCTGACTGCCGAAAAGGCTAAACAAGTCAATGAATGGGTCGCTGAGGGTAAGGAAATGGAAGTTACCAGCGAACAGCCTGAGCACCCACCTACACCACCACCCGAGTTTTCAAGCAATACGACAGTGGTCCTAGGTGCTAAGAGATGTCCAGCTATTAAAACACGACGGCCTATTCCATCAGCTATACAATCAGACCAATCGGTTCCGTTGGTGGTACCAGTGACGAAATCTGAACGAGTCAAGGGCCCTGATCTTGCACCCAAGAAAGAAGATGCCTCCGCACCTCGCAGAAAATTCAAAATGACATATAACATTGAATCGGGGAATACAGATATGCGTGTCAGCTGCCCTAGATCCACCAGCCCTTGTGAGCTGAGAGATGCCGCTGATTCCTTTCTTAATGCTTCGACACCTGCTGCACCGAAACCAGGCCTCCCCCTAATCTTCGACGAAACGAAGCATGGGCTCAATAAGCATCCACATCTTCCAGACAGCAAAAGTAGTGGTCGAAATCTCAATACTCAAAGAAAAAATGATTATGTACCCTCTCGGACGAGTAAAAAGCTCGACACGAACAATTTGCTTGTTGATGTGACCGCACCAGCAGCCATAAGTACGAATTCTCTTCCGATGATGCGTGCAGATCAGCCAGCTTTGATACCACTGAATGCAAAATTAGACCCCAAGCATACTGCTTTACAAAGAAATGCGCCCTCACGAATAAATAACATCGCCGACGACTTGAGTGGCTTAGTGATGGAAGCGGATTGTGGATCTCAAGATGACTCTGGTTGCCCTGTACTACATGAGGGTGCAAAACCAGGCAAAAATGACAATATTTCAGAGCAGGTAAAAAGGCTCGTCATATTGGAAGAGGCTTTCCTCGAGCAGACGAGAGAGCCAACCACAATTAGTGAAGCCCCCTCACGCGCTGCCAACCCTCCCAGCCCTCGAAATCAAATAAATTCGGTCCTGGCAAGAAGGCGACTTGAAGAGCTCGAGAGACGACACAAAGCGGAAGGAAAACAACCAAGCGATGAAGTGACTACCAGGGAATTTCATCATACAATGAATCACAAAGCGTCTAAGCCAAGTCACAATGTTTCAAGTAAGTCTCTGAGAATAGCGAAGAGGCAAGCCACTTTGGAGGATGTCTGGGGAATACAAAAAAAGCCGACAAAGAACCAGCTCTCAGACAACCCAACTCCATATGAAAATATGAGGCCCAAGAATACGTCTTCCCGATACATGGCGCAAGAAAATGTGCAACATGCCCGAAAGGTGCAAAAGGAGCCGAGTATGAATGAGAGTATTAAACAGCTTTTTGAGATCCTAAAACCAACATTGAAAGCCGCCGAATATTTTCCTGGTTCTTTGACTTTGGAGGTTCAGATTGGTCTCGCATTGATTCCAGTTCTGCCGAAGACCTACAAGGAGGGTCTGATTTCCTTGAGAGAGTGGACAGAGATAATGCAACCACAGACTGGCGTATCTGCACCAACTACCAAGTTCATCGATAGGCTCACAACATCTGGACTTGACGTTGATCATATTGTGGACCTAAAAACATCAAAAGATGGGAATCGTCGTTTCTTTGAACACGAAGACAACGAGTATAGTGTTTTCTATGAGTTCCATTGTCGCTCTAAAACACATCAATCTATCATTGTCGAAGTTGATGAACGCGGAAAATACTCCATCAAGAAGCCAACCGAAGCACTAGGTACAGTCAATATTCACTTTCCTGGTAGTATCTGGGATGCTTGTATGATTGTCCGTGGTAATATTGCATATCCTATCTATGGATACCAGGAATTTGAAGACGCCGCCCGATATATGGTGGATCATCTCTGGGTCCAGCCCGACAAACACCTCGTCCATCTTTTCACTAAACTCTCCAAAGACAAACATCTGACTGTGGATAAAGTCCTTATGAAGCGCTGGACCCGCTATCGGTATATTCGTTCGAACGATTTTTCCTCTAAAGGCACCAACACCCCCGACACTTCGTCATCGACAGGAGGAAAAGCAGATTCCGCTACTGGTTCTGTGGGATCCAAGAGTGCCGCAAAGGACATGAACAGTGTCGGCAACGGTGGAACTCCCGAAGCACAAGAGCTTCAACTGCAAGTCACGGAAGTACAGGATCTATTAATAGGGTCCAGTTCCTCGAACACTCAAGCAATAAGAGCACGTTGCATGCCACTGGCGGAGATGATACGCAGGGGGAGGCAATGGTATGAAGTTTCGCTTGTTAGCTCTGCCATTGATGCTATATTGAAGACTAATGCGAATATCGAAATTGGAGAGCGCACGCACGATTGGCGTAGCCCTGACCTACTTGGAGACGACGTTATTTTACTGCAAAACAGCATACCGGGCTGTCCAGGTCCAGAATTGCCATCTAGGCCGGTCGCTACTGCTGTGGGGGCCGCAGGTATTGGTGATCTCCTCCGCCTAACGAAAGCGGTAGTTCAGAACATGGATGGCGTTGGATTTTGGAACGGTGGACCTTGTGGTGATGTTGCCCGGATGCCAGTGACCGGCTCTCTGAACACCCTAAGTATCCCCAACAGACCTATCACATCGTCCATGGATGTGATAGCAAAGACAGAAAGGAAGGGCTTGAACTTTGACGAATTGGAGAGCATCAAGGAAGTGGAAAGTAGCATTGGGGGCGCCCCGGCGGCTAATAAACCGAATGCTGCCTCCTCTGACCAGAAGAAGGAACAGATTGAGATTGATTACTGGTGATGGGGCCATATTTAACCCCTTAGTCGTTTCACATATGCCCTGGTCATTCTTTGAGTTAATTCTATGGGGTGTTTTCTCATGGAGCATATGGGCCGACACCACGCAGCCCGCATCCCTTCAATAACCGATGGGGATCTTGATACACGTACGTTGGAGGCATGCCAGCCTGCAGTGTATTCCCACGTTGTGTTCTTTTAATCTCGTAGTCCTGGTGACTATTCGACTTCTGTTAGGTCAATTCCGATCCAAGTATTCCATATCCCAGACCTAGTAAACTTAATGCTGTAAATATACACCTAAACTCAGCGGACAATAGTAGAAGTACCTTGTCCAGGCTGGAGAGATTTTGCAATCTCCAAATTATTTTAGCGTTAGGGGTTCAATTCATTGTTCCTCCAGATTGCTGGCATATCCATGATGGAGAGAGGCTTGATCTAACAAGTAGCCAAGATTGGTCTCCTGGATAAAGGTGGCTGGTTGTAATGTGGCCACAGAGAGGTCAGGAGGATGCAAGCGTATGTCATATTCGTGGTCGACCCGGCGGAAGTGGCGGGGGTGTTTGGAGTTGCTCCAAGCAGCACAAATGCTTGCAGTACCTAGGGGGCCTAAATTCCTGCAGCCCCCAAATCGGACAGCGATTGCTAATTGTACCCCATGACACGTAGTCGCCACTTTTCTTTCTCCTGTTGCCTTTTGTCATGCTGAGAGAAGTCAACGTGGTATACAATTGACCCCAGCCTAGATTATCTCGTTGCGGTTGCCTCTATCAATCGAACGCCCCTACACAACGACACCGCAAATCCGGTGTAAATGCCCGAATACTGAAGAACACAATAACGCCGACCATGACTCAAACTTGGAACTCTATTCTAGTCGCACTGGTTGCTTTATTTGCTGGCTTGTTTGCTTTCTACCGCAACTGGTTTGACAGTTTGCTAGCTCCAAACAATGAAGGCTTCGAATTTACTGTGGGTGGAAGACGATTGATCTCCCCACCGACCGTGACCGACCCTGCCCGAGATATAAAGTATCTGGGCAGCTATTCTCTGGGAGTTGAGCATTATCAAAACATCTTTTATGCAGAGGCACCATGGGGCAAACACCGCTTCGCACCGCCCATTCCGTTCCAGTATGCAAGGGGATCGGTCGTTGATGCCACTCGCCCTGGAGCCTGGTGCCCGCAAGGGATGGGAGATGTACTTCCTTTTACAAGCCGGGTTGTAAACATTAGTGAAAATTGCTTGAGCTTGAGGGTTGCTCGACCGACGGCTACCAGAAGTGATGTGAGGTTACCAGTAATGGTGTGGATACATGGAGGTACAGTGATGTTCACCATTGCAAATAAGCACTCCTGGGGATGCATTGAGTTCCTGATGCATATTAATGCGTTTTAGGCGGCCATGCTCTAGGTTCGGCCTCTGAGGTCTTATACAATCCAGACGGATTGATAAGGCAATCTGTTGCGGACGGCCAGCCATTGATTTACGTCGCCATCAATTATCGTCTTGGCTGTAATGCATTCTACCCTTTGAATGAAGACATATCTAATTGTATATCTAGTTTTTGGCTTTGCAACCAGCAAGACAATGGCTGAACATAAGCAGACAAATGCTGGTCTTCGTGACCAACGGGCAGCTTTGGAGTGTATGTGACTATCTAAAAGTTCTCGCCTCTTAAGTATAAGACATCTCACACCGTAATTATAGGGGTCCGTGATAATATTGAAGTTTTTGGTGGAGATCCACAAAGAGGTGATATGATCTATCAAGTGACTGTTTACCAGTTGTAGCTAACTTTACGCTCTACAAGTGACTGTCGTGGGACAAAGCGTGGGCGCCAGCGATATTGGCCTACATTTGACATCGTTCGAAGGAACAAAAGGAGTTCCGTTTCAACAAGCGATGTAATACACCCGTGAGGGAAAAAAAGTTTTGCACTAACTTGGAGTTGTAGTATGATGTCGGGTGGGCCAGGCTTGAACTTTAACAGCAAGTCAGACTTGGTCGCAAATAACACTGCAGCCATCGCGAAAAGAGTTGGGTGTGCGAAAGAGGGCGAGGATCAATCTCTAGAGACCCTGGAATGCTTACGAGATGTGCCCTTCGATGTTTTGACGAACCTCTCTGTAACGGCATCTCGAGAAGCCCGCCCACCGTTTGGTGAGGGCTTTTTCTTCCCGACAGTTGATAGTGACTTCATCCGTGACCGGCCTTCTCAGCTCATGCGTGCTGGTAAATTCGTGAAAGGGATTCCGGTGATCGCATCCTGGGTGACAAATGATGGCGCCTGGTATGCACCGCCGTCGACTTCCACAGATCACGAAGTATTGGACAGCTTTGGCTTGTGGCTGTTTAGCCTTTCCAATTCTACAAAGGAGAAGCTTCTGCAAATATACCCACTCGAAGACTTCAAATATCTTGTCCGGAAAGAATATGACGGCCCTATCTCTGCACAGTACTACCGCGCAGCACAGATGAACAAAGACATTTGGTTCACCTGCCCGGTGCTTGACTTTGCATGGCAATACTTCAAAAATGGGGGCGTGGAACCATCGCAGGTTCGGTTATACGAACATAACTCCACAAGATTCACACCTGCGTTCGAGATGATGGGCGTCCCAATGTGGCGTGTTGCGCACCTTAGTGATATTCCCTATGTGTTGAACGTTCAGCATCTGGATGGGGGTGTAGACAACTCAGCTGCCGAGCTCGCGCTGGCCAGGACCATGAGTACGTCCATCACAAAGTTTGTAAATAGCGGCAATCCTCAAGGTCATATTAGTGGCGTTGAGACATGGCCTGCTGCCTTCGTTGATGTTGCAAAGGAGGACTTGCAAAATGATTCTCCGGGAAAGCTTTCCTTGCAGATCTTTGGTGGCCCCTATGGGACCATGCCTGTGACTATTGCTGAAGGTCCTCAGCATGATGCTAAAACTGCTGCTGAGGACGCGGTGCACTGGGAGAAGCTGTTCGATCGGTGCCGACTCATCAATAGCGACAAGATGAGAGAAGAAGCGGGAGTCTGAGAAGTGGATTTTGTGTTTATTTTTCTTTAAACACTAAGAGCTTTATAGACTTCCTGAGGTCTGATGCTTAAAGAGCTGACTGTTCGCCGGCCAGCAGCGTGATCAGAACTGAAGCTTAGTTTACGGGCATTAAATTTGCGTAGTTATCCTAAGTTGTACCGGTACATGTTTGCTTTCGAGACAAAGGAGTCGCTGTTGCTTCAAAGCATACATACATATAATGACATGGTAAGTGGAGGAACGAAAGAAGGATCCAGAAAAAGGAATGGACAATCAGAAATTTCATTCCCTCTGTCTTTTATCCTTTTCTTGGTTTTATTTGGGCAGGCCTATCAGAGGACAAATGAAGTTGAGATCCAGAGTAGTTACTCTTCAGTTGATTGGCCGCTAGCAAAGGACTGCACGAAATTTCAAATAGGAAGAATCATGGAAGATCAGATTCTTCTTCTTTTTCCAAAAATACATCCAGCTAATCGATGGGATGGTAACGGTGACAGTCTATCTCAGCCTTATCTCCAGGGCTGACCGTTGCATACCGAAAACGGAAATGCAGCCAACATCAACCATACCGACTGTGGAAAGCCATCACCCTCGCCGACCCGCTTAGATAAACTAAATTCCTCTGCAAAATTCCAGTCCGGAATCATTCGGTTGCATCTGGCCCTGAATGGAGTTACACTTACTTTTATCTCGCGATCGACCCAATCACTCCAGCGTTCCTTCCTTGGTGGTCCATACTCAGGATGTCCACAGAGGTTATGGATTCGAACAAAACCTGTGAACCTTCAAATACCAGCTGTATCTACATTGCCCAACTCAGTCACCATTCACTGAATAATAATAATAATGTCTTTATCTCCACTCATGACATAGTTCGCCAAGTCGCTCTTTAATCCTACACTCGTTTGATTGTCATCTTGTCCTTCGTTTTTGTTCTCCTCAGCCGACATCGCAAACCACTTGATTCCGCTTTACATGAGACTTCAATCTATCTTGTAATCTTATTACGGTTGTCCAGTCAGCTGCTACGAGGATGCTGCAAACACAACTACCAGCGGCGCCGGCACGCGCTGGACCTCCATCGCAGACTGTCGAAACAGATCTGCCTCCAGCCAGACCAACAGCACCGGGTCCATCACATCGATTTTATAGATCGATAGACAGTGTTAGCCGAGCCGACTCACCAAGTCCCGCAGAACCAGTATTGACAAACGAAGACGAATCCCAAGCCTCCATCGAAGACACCAGAAGAGGAGCCCTACACACCCTCGCACTCTGTCAAAGTGTCATCACAACACTTGAAATCACCCGTCTCCGCAAGTCCCGAACAGGTGTCTTCTACTGGCTCGCCTTTTGGGAGCGACTCTATCCACGTGCCTTTGCACGCTCCCTTGGTTCACGAGTCACTGCTGCCCTTACCAAAGTCGACATCCTATTCCGCACCGTCGCAAATGAACTCCACCAGCTCACCCTGCGAATGGAATACGCCATCGCGCACGCCCCAACCGAGAAAGACATTCTGCTTATACTGGAACAAATGGAAGATGAAGTCGGCGTGCGACGCAGACGGCGACGCAAGAAGGCGCAAGCCATCTTGAACAAAATGCGCGTGCATATCGAGGGCATCCCTGTCAAGGTGAGCGATGAGCTCTTCGATGACATGAAGCGGGGGGTGTTTGCTTTAGACGTCTTCTGCGATTATCATCCTGGAGATCCGGTGGCGGAGGAGCACGAGACCATGTGGCCTGAGTATTTTGTTCAGCAGTCGGGCGTGGGCATGGTTGCTGTCTCGCCTTATCTTTATCGCCAGTGGCAGCAAGGGGCGGCATCGGCAGCGTCGGGGTCCTATATGCCTTTGGCGAGTTATACAGGGAATAATGCTGAAGTTGAGTATCTAGAGGAAGAGTATCATGGGACTGACAATTGGAGGCCTGATGATAGTCGGTCGACGAGGCGTTGGTAAGATCTGATTTTTGGGTGGCTTTATTGCTGTTGTTCTGGAGTTGTGGTTATGACGTTTGAATGCTGGGACTTCTTCGAGATGTTTTGTTTAGATAGATCCATTATTCCAGTTAGCTCCTGCTTTTAGGGCAAGGTGGTCTATTAAATAGACTTAAAGATAAAATAAGACTTGATACTTTTGTTCACGGTTCTAATGTGTAAGTTTATATTCGGTATGTTAATCAAACCAATCCAATTATATACGCTAAAGAAGAAAATGAAAGTCTACCTGTGCATCGCGCGTAACCCTTACGCAAAATCCCATAGCCCTCTGACAATGCTCCCCGGTGCGGTATCTACGCCGCCGTCCTCTTCCAACATTCGATCGGTAAATATCCGCTTGGGGATGTGATACTCAATAACAGGGATCCGCTTCATGGGTTTCTCCTCTGTTCCCAGTTCCGCTTGCACCATGCCCTGGTAGGTATAGTCCAGGAAATCTTCAAGGTTATAGAACTGTTTCGTGAATTGCTCAGATAAAATGCGTGCAATCGCTGCAACGTTGGGATGATAGTGTTGTTGGAGGGAGTGGATTTCCCATAGACTGCTCTCTAGGGCGTTTGTGCGAACCGGATCGGTCTCCTCTGGATCGAACGGGTCGTCCATGCCCTCAGCTTCCAATTCGGGTTTGACTTCGTCCTTGATAACGCGGTGGAGCATGAATGTGCAGGTGGGGTGGGATTTAAGGAGATTGTAGATGAAGGGGACGATCACAACGATGGCGGTTGGAGGAGCGTTAAGCGCAAGACGAGAGAGACGCTTCATGAAGCTGGCGATAAGAGTAGCCGGCAAATGGGTGGAGGCGAGGAAAGTGTTCATCAAGCGGAAGAAGCGGGAGCGGTGTTTGGAGTGGAGCAGGTCGGCATCGAGGAGCGAGTAGAGCTTTTGATAGAACTGTGGGTAATCCAGGTTTTTCTCCTGGATGAGGTAGAAGAGACCGGAGAGGGCGAGCAGGGAGGTTGCGCCGCCGACGTTGTAGGAGTCTGTGAGGAAGTCCATGAGCAGTTCAGGACGGCTGAACCAGGGCTCGATGTTGTGGACCATGATGCGGAGGAGGGTCTTCCGCTGGGATTCAGAGATGTTGTTTCGGAGGACGGCAAGCCAGGCGTCTTGGGCGCGCTTCTTGTGGGAATTGATGGAGACGAGCTTCTTGTTCTTTTTGCTGGATTTGACGTAGAAGTTCTTGAATTCGTGCTCGGGGCTCGGGACTGTGTCGCAGGCTGATAGTATGGAAATGAGGATGTCGAGGGTTTCTGTACTTTGTTCCGTATCTGCGATATCGCTTCAGGGCTTGTTAGCACTTGTCTGTGACTTTTAAAGGGGATGTGATGGTGTGGCATACGCAATCTGCACGAATGTATAGAACCGCACGTCTTCGTATTCCTTTGCGAACTTCTCAAGGAACTCGGACCGCAGTGCCTCATTGTCACCGGTTTCGACAATGGCCTCAGTAACATTCTTGAACAGACCAGATAACCAGGCCTGAGTATCTTCGCCAGGGATATGGGTAGCACGTTCGCTGATCATGCGCATGCAGAGTGTGAGGGCTGTGAGCTGCTTGGGGTTAGCATGAGTTGGACTCGGGAGCCATCTGGGAGCGACGGACCTTAGCAGATGCATCGCCCTCACGCAGTATGGCAGAAAGCGCCTTCTGGTATTCGCGACAGCGTTCCTTCAGCCATGCTGCAATAATCTTCTCATTCTCTGCGGCCCTGTTTGTCTCCGCCATATCTCCTCCGGCAATCAATCTGCTGAACACTCGACAGAGGGATACTGCGGCGGCCAAATTTGGATTGGCAGCATTGTCGTCCACATCGAGCATCGAAATCAACTTGGCGATGTTGTTGTAGTATTTTCGCGATTCGGAAATCTGTTCTTCCAATTGAGAGATTTCGACCATCACATCTGCGCTATCGTTCTCTGCCACTGCACGACGTTTCGACGACGGGACACCGCTCTCTTTGAGGCTCTTTCTTTTTTTGGAGCTTGTAGCTCCGACCGTAGGGGCAGGCATTGCGTCCGAAAATTTTTAGAACGTAGTCCAAATGGAAATCGTACGCCTTTTGGTGCATCTACTCTTCTTCAAACCATGAATTTTTGGAAATTCCTCGGTTAACGGTTTTTCCGATTAGCCGCGCTATACTGAAGTAGGCTAGTGTCTTCCCGCACCGCCCAAACCATCCCGACTTCAAGTCTCCTCAGTTCCGTTCATCCATCACATCTTGTCAAGGTCTTCCCATCGTTACAATGGCTTCGCGTCTTGCTAAGAGCGCCATTGGTATGCCTCACGCAACTCTATACGGCCCCGTCGAACACTCGATTTTTGTCGCTAACCCCAGTTAGGTGCTGCCCGGCTCCGGCCGACCGTCACGCGCAACGTCGCTCCTATCGCCAACCTGACCGTGTCTCGTTCGGCCTCCAGCGTCCCTACCGAGGACCCCAAGAAGAAGGCCCAGTCGATTCTCGACGCCCTTCCCGGCAACTCCCTGGTCTCCAAGACCGCCACTCTCTCCGCCGCTGCCGGTCTCTCCATTGCCGCTATCAGCAATGAGCTCTATGTCATGAACGAGGAAACCGTTGCTGCTTTCTGTCTTCTCAGCGTTTTCACCGCCGCTGCTAAGTACGGTGGTCCCATGTACCGTGAGTGGGCTGAGGGCCAGGTCCAGAAGCACAAGGATATCTTGAACGCTGCCCGTGCCGACCACACCAACGCTGTCAAGCAGCGTATGGACAACGTCCAGGAGCTTGCTGGTGTTGTTGATGTCACCAAGCAGCTCTTCGCTGTTTCCAAGGTAAACTAGCCTTGCGTTATTTTGCAATCTATTAGGAATTTATGAAACAAGGGATTGCTGACGATCGAGTAAAGGAAACCGCCCAGCTTGAGGCTCAGGCCTATGAGCTCGAGCAGCGCACTGCTCTTGCCCACGAGGCCAAGCAGGCTCTCGACTCGTGGGTTCGCTACGAAGGTCAGGTTAAGCAGCGCCAGCAGCGTGAGCTTGCCGAATCTGTCATCGGCAAGATCCAGAAGGAGCTTGAGAACCCCAAGGTCCTCCAGCAGATCCTCCAGCAGAGCGTTGCCGATGTTGAGCGTAAGTCCCAAACATAAGCAGTCGTTGCTTGTCTCTTTCAATGCTAATTTGGATCCATAGGCATCATGTCCTCCTCCAAGGCCCAGTAAATGGACGTTGCATGAATAGCCTCGCTATTAGCAATATGTATAAATTAAAGATCTGTTTCCTGTGCTACATTAGACATACCAATACGAGTTCCTAAGCAAAATAGCTAACGACCTAATGTAAATCGGATCTTTTTCGATATCTCTGGAGAAACTTGCGAATGCTGATCTACCAAGGGATGGGGGATCAAGGCGCCCCTGTCGTTTGAATGTTCAAATGCTCATTATTGGCTATGCGCAGGATGTCCTTATTCAAGCCAAACGCTGAATGTCTTCCATGTCTACTGTTAGTCTTACTTTTTTTTCATTTTTCTCATTTTGTTGCAATCTGATTTCCGTCTCTTCCGTTTTCATTGTGCGTCTATCACAATTCAAATGTAAGATGGAAGTAAAAGGGACCGTCCGAAAGTGTAGCAGAGACTAGAAAAAAGAAAACATAAAATAAATAAAAATGCAAGTTTTTTGAGGACTGACAAACTAACCCTATATTTAGTGAGTGCACGAATACCTGATTGTTTGTGGATGGCCTGGGAAGGTGTGGACCATAAGCCTGCATAAACAGCACTTGTTGCATGCCTGCTGACAAACCCACTCAATAATGCATGCATTCTTTTGAGACATTGAGACGTCATCGAATTCAACTATCGCAGACGATAGACCTCTTCTGTTGAATACTCCTCATTGAACCTGGTCCGCTTTTATACTTGACTTTTGGATCGAATCGTCTGCGATAAAGAAGATTGCGGTACACTTCATTGAGGGTACACAAATCCATACAATCAAGGGAGATCTACATGAGTAATCCGCGGGGTAAACGCTTCAACTGTATGGTCCAGGGCAATGGATGCGAAAGGAATGATCAGACGCCTTGTATTCCGGCAACTGGGGGCCAAGACGGCCAAAACAGAGATGAAAGAAAAGCATGACAGGCACTAACTTAAACCACCATCAATTGTCCTTGTACGAGGCTCACCTCCGACACTGCCCCCAACCCCAGCGCTTCTGCCTGCCTGCCATTCGACCATAAGGCTGAGGCTTTTTTTGCCCGTGTTTGCAAGATATTTCAACGTCAACGGTTCCCCGGTTTCCCTTCTGGCCGCCATCTTCTCTCCACACATACCAATTCGTCAAATTAAACGCTGCAAACAATTCGGGTAGTGTTCCCGAGGTCCGCTCCGCAGTTCTCCGAGCGATCAGCACGCGCTACAACGATGCCTTTGCGAGAGATACTTCATAAGAAGGACAGAATCAACGATACCAGTGGCCAATATGCGGCGGGTGTCCCTTCCGCGTTACTGAGCCCGGTTCCTCAAATCATTCGATCCGATACCACCTCCCAAGAAGTCGTCACCCCACCCATCTGCGACGGCGATGATGTCTATCACCATCAGAACACACATCTCGAAGTGTCGCCACCTAGCTCTTCCTCGCGCCGTCGGTCACTGAATCCATTTAGCCGCTCGAGAGCGCCATCTGAATCCCTAGGATCTCCGTCGTCTCAACCGCGAGAAAGAAGGCTGTCGCAATTGCTCCATCGTGATCGGGGCAGCTCGCGGAATTCCACCGCCACCTCGACCAATATCCCGTCAGACCTTCCACAGATAAACAATGAGAAAGGTGATGAGCAGGAGAGAGAGGCTCAGTGGGAGAAAAGAGCAACGGTCTTAGTGCAGCGGAGTCCGAATCTTGGATCGCCGTTATCACCTACTTCGCAGGGCTTGGGAAGACATAGTATAGAATCGCGGTCAAGGAGCTCTAGTCGAAGTGGTCTCAGTGATCCTCAAGGAGATGTAAGAGATACACGGCAGTTACGGTTGTGTTGGTTGCTATATTCGAAGACTAACACCATCCATAGGTTAACATCCAAGAAGCGATTCGGCTCCATGAAGCGGGAGGTAAGGAGCAAGCCATAAATAGGTACTTGTAGACATGTACTAACACCGGTTATCCTTGCAGAACTGGAGAAGTCCACTGAAATGTTTCGCCGGTTGGCAGATCCCAATGGTGCAAATAACGCACTGAGCCAAGTACTTTACGGCCTCGCACTAAGGTAGGAACTGCTACACTGCACTTTAGGTTCTTTTGAACCCCTCCCGTCAACATCCTACCTTCTAGTGTTGCCTTTTGCTCTACTTATGGCCGGAAACGTTCTAACAGGGTTCGTCTCCAGGCATGGTTGGGGGTGTCCCAAATCGGAAGAACAGGCAGTGACCTATCTCTCAGCTGCAGCATCAAACTCGGCATTGATTGAATCCCAGGCTCTCCAAGCAGGCATGAAAAAGGGTGGTGCAGCCAAAGGGGAATTGGTCCTTGCTATCTTCGAGTTGGGTAACTGCTTCCGCAACGGCTGGGGAGTCAAGAAAGACCCTGCGGCAGCGCGCCAGTACTTCGAAACGGCTGCAAATCTAGGTGACACTGACGCTATGAACGAGGTCGCGTGGTGCTACCTAGAGGGCTTTGGTGGGAAAAAAGATAAGGTACGTTTGATTGCGTCGTGCGCATCCTTCTAGCGATGGTACAAGCTCAGAACTTTTGCTTTATCTCCCCTGGCTATCATGGTCTCGTTTCTCGGGCATCAATACTTTGCGATTCGCATCACTTTTGCGCTTGGCCCTCTTAGGAGCTCTTGTTTGTCCAGTTGACTAACCCAGTTGTGTCAATGTTTAGTTCACGGCTGCTAAATATTACCGATTGGCCGAACAGAAAGGAAGCAAATTAGTTGGAAATTCTTGGTACGTTAGGCCAACCCTTAGAATTTTTTTATTTTTTATTTTTGGATCTTGGGCGTTTCCCCTGCAAACCTCGCCAAGATTGTGGTGAATTGCCGCCTGTATGGATTCGCGCTTCGCTATCACCTGCAGCTATCATGCCAGGGATCAGCGGCAGTGGTTCAATCGATAGGCTCTCGTCGCATCTTTACAACTGCGCCATGCAAACCGCTCTCACGCCTGCAACCAACCATAACGCTCACCTATACCGACCTTTGAATTGTTCGAATTTTAGGCTGACATGCTCGTTACTCGAATTACAGGATATGGAAGGAGAAATACGACCCAAAGTGAACCAAATGCTCCGGTACCTTACAGCCTCGTTCCACCGAGAAGCCCCATTTATGGGCCCGCCTCTTTGTTCATCAGATGACTCTCGACTACATCATTGGAGATAGAGTTATTGCTCAGCTACTGAGATCAACCAGCCAAACGTCTTCGCTCATAGGATGAGGAGGAAATATCATCGCCCTAGTGATGGAGGTAGCCCGTAAGGGAGGCACACTACACACCTACCTTTCACTTCATTACTATCTACGATCCATACTGGGTGCCACAAGCGGAACGTGCCAGTATGATCTGAACTTTAGCCAAGTGACTTGCAACGATGTTGATGACCCAATGCCAGCCTCATTTTGATGACAACCCAATCTATGTCATCGGTATTTTTGCTTAGTGTCTATTTTATTATTTGTATTTGACTTTATTTGGTTTGTCATTCCTGATTCCCTGTTCTAATCAATTGATGTAATATTGGCTGCGGGAATTTGTTTTATTTGTCAATTTAATGTTGATTTCATCCTTGCATTTACATACTTTGTACCCTCGTCGCTGACCTGTTGGTGGTGGGCTTATGACTCAATGACATTTTGAGTACGCACTTGAGTTCTTGGTCTGATGGATTAGTACTACCCGCCATTCTATCCGGGATCATGAATAGATTCCAGAAATTTGGACACTGAAACAGTCGATTTATATTACATTCGTGCTGTACATAATTCCTGGTGACAAGAAGGTAGGACGTAGAGGCTGAGATTCGGAATGACTCATCGTGATCAGATTAAAGGTAAGTGGGGTTCATGTATGGCTGCATGTAAAGATGTCATTGTGCAGTGCTTTTACACCTTCTGCAGACGGCAAGGAAGAGTAAGTATCTTTGCGGTGTACTGATATCTAAAGATGCAAGATCTGGGAACCTAGGAGGATGTGAAATTCATATCATCATCAATTGATCCAAGGGATTAGAGATATATGCAATGCAAATCATGATTTCATATTACATAGATTTGATTGACAAAAGAAATGTAATTCAAAGGAATGGCATGGGCAATGCCCAACAGTAAAGCCATGTGCAAAAGCAAAGCCCCGCTGAGAGGAGACCCGTATAGAAGTATTTGACAAAAGAAATGAAAAGACAGAACCAAGGCATGCAAAAAGGGCCACCCTTTGTCGTGGCCCAACTGTCCAGAAAGCATCATCAACATAAAACATTAACAGGCATTTTTCATCATAGAACATATCAGTCATATCATAAGAATAATCGTAACAAGATAACCACCCGTAGCCCAGTTCAGCTCACTCGCAATGCAACCAAACGCAAGAATAACAAGAGTAAAACAATAATTCCTGAACCATAATCAATGCAATGCTCATCAAAAAGGTCGTTCTGTGGGACCGTTTTGCTGTTTTCAGACTGGAAACAGCGTCCAGCGTTAAATAAGATCATGCCTCCCCGGAAACTCGTAAACAAAATCATGAAAGAAGAACACGTAAGAAGTTTGAGTATACATAGATGCAATATGTTTCTGACTTTCCGTGAGATTCATTCCCAAACCCAACCCAAGAAAACGGTAAATCATATATACGCCGAAAATTCCGAAGGAGCGCGAAAAATATAAACACATCGCTAAATTGTGAGACGAGGTCAATGAAGAGCTAGTCGGTTAAATATATCCAGTCGAAGTAAATGGTAAGCTGTCTATGCATGCATATGGCTAATGTCTGGTTTAATCGTCGTATATCCGTAAAAATAAAAAAGCGCTAGAGTAAACTGGTTTGCAAACGAAAGAAGACGAGAGAGGCGAAAAAAGCAGAGGAACGGATGAGGACGTTTTGCTTTGAAGGAAGGCTAGGCAAGGTGGCTTTCTCTGGACATGGTGAGGAGAGTTGAGATGGATGGTGTATGGCGACTCTAGTCCTGTCGGCTATGCTACTTAGGCCTGACTGAAGCCGGCATGCTCTTCCTTGACGGGCGAAACACCGTATTCCTGGACCATCCGTCGGAAGTCCTGGATTACCTTTTCAGGAACCCGATCCCACATGAGCGATCTCGAGTAGACATCAGAGGTGGCTTTGCTCGGCATCTTCTGAGCAACATTGCCCCGCATCGCAGCCAACGCTTGTTGGAGGTGGGAAGCCTGTTGCGGCTTGTATTCAGCACCGTTGTCATCATAAGTGGTTAAGGAGTTGTACTGATCAGCATTGAGCGAGAAGACCTGTTCCTGTTCCTGCGCCTTAGTAGGCATCGCCAGCGAGTTGTGGAGCTCATCTAGGTTGGACGGAGGGGCAGTGCCTGCAGTCATCTGAGCCATCTCCGCCCCACTAATAGTTGTCGGGAGCGGGCCAGCCGACGCAGAGACGGCGGCCTGGTTCGAAGGCTGTGCAAGTTCTGGTGGGGAAGAAGACAAGACGGCCTTGAGGACGTTGGCAGACTCCGCGCGGTATTCCTCCGACAGCTGCGGAATAGCGCGAGCAGAAAGAGAAGTACCGTTGGAGGCGATGAAGGCACCAAAAAGGAGACACATATAGAAAGCGTTCCAGCTGAAGGGGTAGTCGCTGTTCGCAGATTTCTCTGTGCTCCTCTCGGCAGGAGCGCTAGTAACTGGATCGGTCTCCAGGGAGAGGCTGTTGACCATGGTAAGTTCCTCCCAGGGAGTGCTGTCCATGGTGAGGTTCTCGAAGTCAGAGAAGTCAGTTGCCATATTGGAGGCGGAGGGTCTGGCATGTCTCTCAAGCTTTTCCACGGTTTCCTTGAGGATGTTGTTCTTCTTGCGAAGCTCGGCGGTCTCCAAGGTATGCACCCGGATCAGTTCCTCCTTTTCCATGGCCATATTGTTGAGATGGTGGTAGAGCTCCTGCTGCGCACCGAACAATTCGTTCTTCTCGCGCATAAGTTCTGCCTCCCGTAGCCTCATGTTTTGCAAGTCCTCCTCAAGATCGCTGATGATCTGGGTGAATTGCTTCTTCTCTTCCTCCAGCTTCTCAGTATGCAGCTTCTTCCGTTGGCGCGAATCCAAACTAAATGTAATTGTTAGTGAACCGTGAAGCCGAACAGCAAGTGAGGGTTCTACTTACGCAGCTTGACGGTTCCTCAGTAACCGCTTCTGTTGCTTCAGTTCCTTAATCTCCTCCTCGTTGGTTGACTGGGCGATTAGCTGGTCGATGTTGCTTAACGTCCGTTCTGCTGGGATCTCAAAACGAGCATTCTTTTTTCGAATTCCATCCCGTCGGATGCTCAATGGAGAGCTATTCCGATAAGTAGGGCTCTTGGTGGTGCGAGCAACAGCATCCGGCATGTCGGTGGACGCAGGCATCCATCCTTGGCTGGACTGCGGGGACATGGCCACAGCACTGGGATGCGCAAAGGCCATTCCGGGACGGTAGGACATGGACGGGATGTTGATGGTGCTCACCGGACCAACAGCACCCCCCGAGAACGGCGCCGACGAGCCATTGTCGAGGTCCGATGGGAAATGATGGTCGTACATGGCGGCGGGTGTACATGAGCCAGTCTCCTTGGAAAGCGCCCAAGATGCCTGTTGGCCGTACGCGGTGGCTGGGTGGTGAGCACCGTCCAGTCTCATGAAAGGATTCGGAGCGGACTCGAAAAGATGATGACTGACATGGGAGTTATGCCGGGATTGGTTGCTGTGAACGGACTGGGAGAAGTCGGACCAGACTGAATCACGATGTGAGAAAGCATCCGGGGCATGATCATATGAAGAGCGCCGGTGGTCGGCGATGGAAGATGGAAGTTCAGGCGACGTCGAGTCGAGAATCTTATCATCCAATACACTCATCTCGTCTTCCTCGGGAAATGAAGGCTTTGCATCCAAATTTGAGGGAGATTGTTGGTAAAAATCAAATGACGGTTGAGAATACCTTGCCATGACTGTGAATCTGTGTGTATATGATAAAAAATGAAGAATGAAAAAGGTTGTTTGGAGACAAGCGCCGTGATAGTAGTCAAGAGGCGGTGTGTAATCTGATTGTACGGAAAAAACGTGCGGGGTTTTTTTATTTGGGTGGTTGGATGGATGCAATGAGGACAAGTAGAGAAGAGGGAGAGAGACAGGATGATTGGATGGAACGGTATAGAGAAAGAAGGAGTTTATAAAAAAAGAATAAGAGTAGAAAGTAAGGTCGGTAGTGGAGGGAGAAGAGTATGTAGAAGAGGAAGTAAGGTGGTAGTCAAAGTTCGAGGGGAGGAAAGAAGAAGATGGATTCTTGTAAAGGGGAAAGAAGAGGTCTCTTGTGATCAGGAGAAGCCTCTTTGCTAAAAGGAGTTTGAAGCTTAGATCCGTTGGATTCTGGAGGAGGGAAGGACCAGATGAAGAGGGAGGGGGAAGTCCATATATCTTTTCCTTTCGGGATGGTTCAGGGAAATCGTGAGAGTGCCTCAGGTACCAGTGTATGATCTGATAGAAACAATAAAAAAATAAAAATAAAATCGAAATAAGAAAATCGAAAACAAGACGGAAAAATAAAAAAAAGGAAATAAAATAGAAGAAAATAAAATAAATAAATAAAACTAGTAAATAATATTAACCATAAATCTCAATCCTAATTCATCTTGCTCGATTGCTCCATAGGAATCTCTCCCAAAGGGAATTCTCCATCGGCTCCTAAACACAAAGGGCCCATACGCCCACAGAAAGTCACTAAACGCTGCTACCAAAGACATGAGTACCTTCCAGCGGTCAGCGGAAAAGCTAAAAAGGCGAGGCGACGATTTCTGGCTGTTCCCGAGATTAACGAGCACCGGTCATTGGATGCTTCGTTGGGCAGACGTGCAGCGGGCAGGGGAACTTTTTTCCTTTGGCACCGAGAGCCTGGATGAATAAGCACGCGTTACTCATCAGTCCTTTTGTCCTGGATGAATAATGACTCTGACTGATTGATACTTGCGTCTCCCGCGGATTACTGTGCCCGTGGAAGTCACTCCCTTCCTAGATGTACCGACTGAGTGCTCGGTCAGGACCTGGCGGGTAACGAGGAGAGAGCGCGCGGGAATTCGGATTCTCACAGACTAGCAGCCTAACAAACTAGTACCGAGAGGGTATAGCAGTAATACTCAGTGCCTACTACCAGTAACCTCATGTGTAAGCAATACCCCTCCATGCAAGCAATACACCACTCCTACATTGCTCTTTATACCGAGTACAGAGTATGTACATTGTATGTACAGATACCTATACAGAACTCAATCTGATATCATATGTATGTGTGTACTCTGTGCATGATAGTATGGAGATGTATATCCTCAGTTACTTTCCCACTGAGCCCCCTCGTTCCTGTCTCTGGACGCAACTTCTAGCCGGAATAGCCGATATCCTGATACAGGTAGTTCTCAAAACATGCTAACTACGGAGTAGGATGTAGTCTTGGTACTGGTACCTCCAAAGTAGTCGGTATCCGAACCATGGAATGACCGCCGGTGGGGCCGAGAACCATCGTTTATCGATAGCCTATCGAATCTTCTTCACTCTCAGTCCCCTCAACAGTCATCCAGATGGGCTTCTCTTCACCCCCCCCATTCCCCCTTCCCCCCAATCCAGTTGACGGAATGGGGGCCTTCCGTCCAAGTTTCACTTCCTTCAATCTGTAGGTACTGGATGCGGTCGTACCAGCCTGACTCAGGCACCGCAAGTTCCTCAGCACAAACAGAACAGTTTGATTGGTAAGGTATGGAACGAGTCTCCAAACCATCCGAAACCTCCCTCCCTCCATGAAGCAATGAAGTACTATAGGTACCTGAGCCCGTTTGCCTACGCATCTTGGGTTTCTTGGCCCTGGTGATGCCCAAAAGAGGTCTGTCTGTGCGCATCACCACCGTTCCATCATCCCATGATCGACTTTTAGAACAGGATTGGCTTGCGGGTTACATGACAGTACCATGATACATACGTCTACCCGTCCGAGGGTAAGAACCCTGGGAGGGAGGGGCTTTGGCCATGATCAGATGGACAAAGAATGTCATACAATACTGTATCAAGAGTCCCATCATTCGGTCGATCACGGCCAATCATTCCCATACAAAGTGTGACCATTGTGAGGAGCTGGAGGAAATCATTTCCAGCTTCATTAGCCACAGGCCGGTGATACTCAAGTCGGGCCGCTTTAACGAGTTACACCTTGAAAGTAGTAGACTCCTCAGATAGATCAACTTCCCCTATATGACTGCTTTACTAGACATACCCTTGCCTCCCTGCTGCCTTCATCTGTGGTACAGTAGGGCCGGGCCGGGGGGAAGATCCAGTGATCCACCCGATGAGGGCAAGGGCCCTTTGGCTTTTCCGGTTAGTCCGCAGGTCACTGACGCCCGTTCCGTCAAAACACCCGTGCTTCCCGCACGATTTGAACGATGACAGTACTCCGTATGTACCGCAGAAGCAGAGGCATGCAAAAAAGCACAGACAGATCAGATTGGAACGACACCGAAGATAGCCAACACCCGGCCAGAATTATGTAAAAATACACAATAATGATAATAAGAAAATATACATGAAACAAGGAACAAGAAGCAACAATCATGGGAATAGAATCAGCCACGGCAGAAGGGAGTAATAGCGATAGTTCTTGACACTATAGGTGACCCCCTCTCCCCCCCCCCCCTCCTCTCTCAATGATTCAAACGAACCGGGGGGCATCGCGATCGCATCACGGAACAGCATCAGCAGAACCGACTCTTGATTCGAAAAATGGGGCTAACAACCAACTCGTCATCGACTCGCCCTCGATGCTAAGTCAGCAGCTCTAAATCAGGTAAGGCATCACTGCTTTGCGATTCTGCGGGGAACCAGCCCTCCAACCGAAGTACCTATAGTAAAATAACGGCCAAACTCGCGCGATATGGTTCTCATGCAGAGAAACAAGGCGAGCTTGGGTTGAAGCTCACTCTCTCCTCTCCTTGGTCAATGACTAGCTTAGAGCTGTGACCCTAGTTTGAAGCAACGGAGCGGCCCTCATGCAGTTTGAGACAAATCCTTGTAGTACTTCATGATAGACACACAGACCTTGGATTAGGGTTGGAGGGGTTACAGAGTCACGTTCTCCTATGGCGCTTTGGCGTTGCTATCCCTTGCGTCCGTTACCTAATCCCTCTACTACACTAGTAGTTAACTTGAATTAAACAATCTATCTAAACTCAAGCAAACTACTGCTGAAGTACAAAAGTCAATTGACATCATACACCTTCTTGCATTAAAACACAAATTCCCCCATCGGCATCAATTACATCCGTTATTGCAATCGCATATGACTCATAGTGAAAATACCACTTTTCGGCCGAAATCGCAAAAAACAATTGTAGAAGAGAATCGTCCCCAACCGAATAGCAACTTCCGACCACCCTAAAGGGAAAACGTGTTCCCTAAATCCGTCTATCAGGTAGAAAATAGTAAGCAGGGCGGCGATCCATAGATCCTCCCTACCCACTTTCTTTTTTGTTTCCTCTGGACTAGCACACGACCTAACAGGAAAGTCAACGCTACCTATAGCATGAGTGACCTAAGTTACTAGCTAAGGCCGACTAAGGAAGTGCGATCCACAGAGAATACAGAAGGCTCCCTTCAATGAGACGAAACAAAGAGGACGAGCTGACCCACATCCCCCAACGCAGTAGGTATGACTCACTCCAGATTCCCCTTGTGGTCTTCTCGAAGCACCGTCTGCTTCTCTGGACGATTTCCCCTTCCGGTAGTGCACTACATCATGGGTGTTTCAGGTTTGACGGTCCTCTAGACTCGATGGGGTAGTATGTGTACGTGCGTGCATGGGTATGGAGAATGGGGACTACTAGTCTAGATGTAGGTAATGAGGCAAGATGGTGAGGAAGTAGCACGCTGCTGCCACGTTTCTTTGAGAACAATTGTCCGAGCTTTTTGGCCTCGCACGGTTGGGGTGAGATTGCTGAGGGTGTAGGGTTACTCGCGATAATCGCGTGAAATGCGTATCGGGGTGTTCAAAGAAGAAATCAAAAACAAATTAGGTGAGAGGAAGCAATTGAAGCGTCGAGCCCATCCCTACGGCCGTTGCATGCAGCCGGCCATGTTGTTCGAATCCTTCGTGCCAAACTGCCGGAGCCCATCATGAGGATTGATATCCAAATGCAAATCAGGAACCGACAACAAAGGCCAGGTAGGGATGTACAAACGGAACGAACCCAATCGGATCCCAAGCCCTGCTCTTTGAAACATAGCAGGACTCGACATATCCTGAGGCAAATCATAATTTACTATTGTACCAACTCGTTCGGTCGTTCGGCCGTTCTGTTAGTATACTGTACCACTTCTTCGTGCCATTCAGGAACACTGCAGAGTTACATGTGACTTGAGTGCGATGCTATTTTTTCTTCTCTCTCTCTCCATTATTTGCCATCGCTTAATCTCCGTAACTGTTACCTTGTGCCGGAAGAAAAGAAAAAAAAAAAAAAGGAAATAACTTGTCTTAGCCTTCCATGTTAGGTGTGGTATGTTCCATTAGGATGGCGATGCGGAAATGGCCATCATGGCGGTGAACAAGAGTGGTTGACCCAATTGTAGGGCTCGATGCAGCGTTGGTGGAGTTGCCCCCAGTCCCTCTGCTATACTCTTCCCGTGACTTGCTCCATAATAGTAGGTAGTCGCAATTTACTACATGCAAGAATTCATCATTCTGGGAGAAGGTTTCGGATCCCCCCCTTTTTTTTCGCCTCATTGCGACGAGGCCGAATCAAACGGAGACTGTGCCGAGACTCGAGAGTCAACTATACCGCTGATACCGACATTGTCCACACCTCGCGGTTTCTCTACCATTTTCGGGGAGCTTACGGACAGGTCCAGTCAAAGGACACCGGTGCAGTGGGTCCAGAGTGCTTTTGACTCTTTTTATGCTCGGACTCGTGTGCAGGGTGCAGTTTGTTGCCCAACATGGGAATCTGCATACCATGCTTGATCTACAGAATTACTATGCTGTTCGACAGCAAGCCACCGAGACCAGGAGTATGGAACCGTGGAGATAAGATACATTATTCAGATTTTAGTATGTACGAGAGTGAAGAGGGCTTGATATTACCTGTCACATGTATCTTACTTTAGTAACCTCTTGAATAAGAGAGGCCTAAACGGGCAGGAAACCCTAAAAAAAAAACGTTCTGATCTACGGAGTACATCGGTATAGACGGCGGTCAACGTCGACCACCAGAACATGTCTCTCTCTGAAGCTGATATCATCAAGTCAATTATTAACCCAAGCGAAATTAGCCGTGTGGATCCTAGCAATATTCTCGAATGTCTCCCTATCGGATCCAAGCTCCATCTTCCCCAGAAGCTAACCACGAATATCTCATCGGTTCGACGAAATATCGGTGTTGAAGGAATTGTTGCTATTGGCCGGTTGGTGTTTCCTGATCCTCCATGCTCTGATTGGACCAATAATCGTACAGGGGGTCATCAGGCACAGATGGTGATCAGATCACCATGGGATCCTACCTACCTTAGACTTGCATAGGGACGTACGGGTAGACTGACACTCAGACGTTTCCTTGGGCGAGTGTGTACCTTGCCTATGGGGTGCAGCAGAATCTGAATGAGGGTGTGAGTCACATGGTTTGACAAGTTTGACAACTTGTGGCACCACTGGTGATGCCCCAGAACGCGCAAATTCAGGATTACACTCTGTTTCATGTTTTCTCGGAGCATTACTGATGGGCTTGTTGAGTTTCAGGTTGTCGCATTATGTGGCTTCTCTACTGCGAGGCAGAGGACGGGTGAGCATGCGGTAAAGTCTCCTCGACCTCCTTTGTCCTTCACATACGCTCTATGACGGAGAATATTGTAGATCTGCCAACTATCGTATATTTCTACGATTGGTCACTCGTCACGCAAGAACTCCCATCGGGTCCCATCGTGGCAAGACCTCTGGTTCCTGATTTAGAATATCTCGCACCTCTTTGGAAACAAACCGAGAGTCAACCACTACCTGATACGTAAACTCGTCCATCCACTCATCTGCCATGACAAACCAACCCTTGTCTCCCACGGCTTCACCCCAGGAGTTCTGCACCCGCCATCGCACCGGCTGGCCCTTCTCGACATGAACGCCTGTCAGCACCATCGCATGGGTCATGGATGACTCGCCGGTATTCAGTCTTTGTGCCTTATCCATGCGCAGCGTGGTATTGAATCCCAATCTGAGGTCTAGCAGCCACTGATCCATCACCCCAAGCTTGGCGTCGTAGAACTTTCCAACATCGCAACCAAAGAAAACAGGGTGCCCTGCACGAAGCATTGCAATTGCAGCGGCTTTGATCGTCTAGGGATGCGTTGGTCACCGTTGAAACACAAGGTTTTCCGTAGGAACTCACCTTCATGTCCACATTGACGTACGTGATCGGACGTCCTCCCACTACATTACCCAGTTTATCGACTGTCAACAATCGGCCGTACTCATTCCGTGGGTCATTGACCAAGCTCAACATCCTCCGGGGATCAACATCTCCTCGGGCCAGTTGCGTAGAGGCCTGTCTCGCAAATCCCTGCGGGCTATCGTATACTTCCTGAAATTTGCCATCGGCATCATAGTACTCCCAGTGGAAGGCCTCACTTGGACTCGGTGGCGGGCCCAACATGATAGTCACCAGGGAGTGGATCTCTTTCAGAAACTCATCCTTCTGTCTCGCCAGCCTCTCGGGCTGACTTTGCGCCAACCGCCGCAGTGTCAACGCATGCTCTCGTAGCTTCACCGTCACGAGCCAGTTCATCTTCGCACTGTTCTGGGCACTAAAGTTATCCGGGTAGATGTCGTGAGGCACCAAGCCATACTTGCCCACCAGGTTCGCCACCATATCCCATTGGCCCCCGTCCGTGACGGGGTCCTCCAGCAACTTCTGCACCAACCGACTGGACAGGTCCTCATCCGCCGTCTCTATGATTTTCTCCATGAACCAATTGGCCTTCTCGATCTTATCCCAGTAGAAGAGGTATGCCTGACTGAGCTCAAACTCCTTCAGGTTATACTTCTTCATGAGTGGCACCCGGAAGACATTCGTCGCTGCAAACAGCCAGCAGCGGCCTGACGAGCGCTGATTCGTGATCGGGGCGCCTTCCAACGGGATCTTGACATTGAAAACCGGCCTATCTACAGCCTGCATAGCAGACTGATTGGTAAGAATCTGCGAATAGGGATTGGTGGCGAAACTAAGAATGGCCAGACGGTTCTGGGTAAGCAACCGGATTAGATATCTAGCAATCAATGTAGTATTCCCTAATCTGATGTGCAAGATATAGGTTTTACTACCTTGTCGGAACTGAGGAGAAGCTCTTCCCAATCTTTCAGCTGCGGGATCGCGAGACTTCTCGCCCGGTCGTCGTCCGCATTGTACGGAGGTGCTAGTTTGATCAGCGCCCATTGTAAACTATTTTTGTAACTGCTTGGGCATGGATAGACAAGGGGCAGGGTCATGTACGGGCCTCATGTTCATGATGGGTGTCCAAGCTGCCGCTTCCCGATGCTATCTGCTTTAATTTCATAGTCGCCGTGGTTGCACAAGCGGGCTTTTCGTTTATTTTCTTATTGGTAGGGGCCAATTTCGAATTGTTGGAGCCCATCTTGGGTGCAGATCGGGTATACTTGTGGCTAGGAGAGCTATGGGGTATATTTGGGATATCCTTGTACGCTGGGAGAAGCAATTAAGGCCTTACGGAACAAGTCAAGTTGAGGTGGGGAGGAGGCGATATTTATAGAGCCAGTCTTATCTCAGGATGGGGGATAAGATGCAACTTAAGCTCCATGCAATTGAGAACCTTGCGGCATGGTCACGGGGGATTTCTTTAGTGCTTGCGTGATAGGAGACGGTTGCATTTCTGTCACGTTCATGGTCACAGGTTTGTCCACAGGTGCAAGGCAGGAAACCATATTAATAAAAATTGCATTGAAATTAAGGAAGTGCCATTACCATCCTAGTATCTATTCCTGATCTCTAGTCAAGAGCACCGAGTAATACTACAGCGCCTCCTTATCAGCTTGTAGATTGCCGCCCATGAAACAATTCAAACCATCGTCAAGCCTTCTCCGCCCACCAGACAAATAGACAAGTCGTGAAACATGCTGTATGGGTATCGGTAACTTCTTTTGCGAGCAGAAAACTTCACTTCGTAAGGCATAAAGCAACAAAATCCAAAGAAGATAACCTCCCAATTACTGGATTTTGATTCGTCCATCTTCTTCCCCTTTTATTTTCTTTTTTTTCTTCTTCTTTCCTGTTTCGCTCTCTCTTGTTTTTTTATCATCTTCCCTGATAAGGCCAACCAAATCCTCAATTACACTATTCTTGCAGCTATGTGCAGTTAGTGAGCATGTACAATTAGAAGCGGATGAAATCCTGCTGCTGCGAAAGATCGTTACTGCCGTCTGTTTTTATGATGAGTTCCGGCTCATCCTCGTCAAGATCGTCTGAGTCAACATCATCAGAATCGATTTCATCGTACTCTTCATCCTCACTAGAGGCGTCAGAGTCGTCGTCATTCGTGGCATCGACCTTGTTAGCACCAGTATTTTTCCGAATCTGTCCTGCACGATCAACATGGGGCAGGCGACAACGTTTCTTGTTGCATACACCCGTGTTGGCATAATCAGGACACTCATGTACATGTCGTTGGTCGCAATTAGCGCCCTTCTCGCAGTAACCCAGATTTGCAAAATCTCTGCAAACTGGTGCGCCAGGAGTCAACCGGATATGGGCATATCGGCACTCCGGGTTGGAGCAGCGACCTCGGAGGAAATGCATACAAGTAGGGGATCTGTGGGGCGAAGGCTCATGGGAAAGATCGCAACTTATACCTGCAGTGCAATCACCAGTTTGGAGGAAGTCTTTGCACAGCGCAACCTTATCTGGGTCATGAACGTAGAGACAGGATGGTCCTTTGTAGCAGGTACCTAGGAGATCACGTTCCAATTAGCACGGGCTTTGTAGACATAAACGACATTGAGAAATAAATTTCAGGTTTGTCGAAGGGAAATCATCGTTACCGGTCGTAGTGAATCTTCGGCAAAGCTCGTTCTTCTTAGTCGCATTGGGCTTTCTGTACTTGCTGTGAGTGTCCAATCTTAGTATGCGGAGCAGCACAATCACCTTTTCGAAGTAACCGCGCCAAGACGATGGAGATTCCCATTTTTGCTCCGAACAAATGTAACACCAGCAATGGTTACCCTCTTTGGTGTATTGTTGACAGTATTCGGATCATCTATTAACAGTAAGCCAGCCCGCTTGGTCAGTGTGGCAGCAGAGAAAGCCGCACCAGACACCCTAATCAATTTACTACCGCCTCGTGAGACACGGAAAGGTATGTCGTTGAGGTAGACCTGATACTCCGCCGACGGCCCTGGAGCAACCTGGGGAGTGGCGGGGCCGGGATACTGCCTACCGACACCCTGCGCGTATCTGAGTACTTTGGCCCGCTCGATCTCTGATTTTTTCTGCTCCTTAGCCTTGCGACTCTCCTCCATAGCCTTCGCTCTCGCCTGCGCTTCTTGGTCGTATATAGCAGAGTTGATCAACTGCATGTGTCGGTCGCGCTTGGCAACCCATCCATTTGGCGTTGTCGATCGACTCTCACTATCAACATCCATCCCAGAGTTAGTAGAGGGTGTCGCACCACCTGGTGTCCCTGATGTTGCTGTATTGTTGAGAACGAGTGTACGGTGTCGGTGAGGAGCAGCGCCACGGCCTCGTCCATATGGTCGTCCGCGATATGGCGCCCAACCGGGACGCCCTCGAGAAGGTACATGGCGTGCTACATAATGACCTGATTGGTAATCACTACCGTAAGGCGTTGATGTCTGGGGGTTCTGGGTCTTGTGTCTATTGATCTGGCCTATCTGATATGAGTGGGCGGAATTATTATTATTAAGTGCGCGTCATGTATGCTTACCAGCAAGCTGGCTGATCTTGGCCATCAGGTCCTGATCTTCTGTCATGGTCACTAAAGAGGTATGGCTAACATTCACAGTTAGTAGGCCACATGCACTAAATTTGTTCTGTCCTTTACAGAGTGGTTAGGAATGTGATGACAAAAGAATAGCGACTGTTAATGTTGATGCAAGTGGAAAGATGATTGACCTGTGGCGGGTGCGGTCACGTGGGGCCCAGGTAAGCTTCAATTAGGTCACTCTTACAAAGAACTCGTACATTAACCAACTTAACTACTCACTCAAATCTTAAACTAGCTTCACTCATTGTTTGTGAATTGATGCATTTGTTTTTATACTATGGGTTGGCATCTAAGCCCACAATTAATAATACCAGAATGGCCTTTATGAAATCAACCCAAAATAGAACCCAAGACAAACGCCATGGCCTTGCTTATGCTACATCGATCCAATAGTCTCTAGGGAACGTTCTCAAATTGCATATCGTCGTTATCTGTAAACATCCCAGGTGTCGCTTCCTCCTCGGAGGCGTCGTCGAAGTTGTAGTCAGCACCAGGTGCCATCTCTTCCTTTGCATCGCCATATGACAACGCATTCGCATAGCTGCTCTCTTTCGCTTCTGGTTTCAGCTCCCAAGTCATAGCAAAATCGCCGGATTTGACCAGGTGACCAATCATCTCCAATGTTTGCTTAAGATACGCCTCGGGCTGTCGGAGTCTCGCTTTGAGCGCCTTAAATGGCCAGTACCTGTACTCTCGGAAACACTGATAAATGAGATCCAGAAGCTCGTTTTGTGGCATACGCGTTGTCTTGTTTTCTTGAGGTTTGAGCTTTGCCCCCTTTGTTGCTTGCTGTATCGACATTAGATCAACATAAAGAAAAGGCGTATACGAAGGCTGCAGGCTACTTACCACGAAGGCGCCCTTTTCTCCCGGTAAAACATTTCTGGCCTGAAGGAGCTTTCCAGGTACCTTGTCGATGAAGACGGTTTCGCGTTTCGGTTTGAGAGATTGCAAGACCTTCTGTTCTGAGAGTAGCCGGAATTCTTCATTTTCCACAGGAAGGCAGTTGAACTCCTCGGAAACACTGCCTACAAGGGCAGTTTGTTCTGTCACAGTGTAAGCATTATCTCTTCATCCGTTCTAGACCAGCTAAAGAGAACATACTAGGTACCGTCTTCCGGACATAAGGCTCCCACTTCTTCTTTCGCTCCTTCTTCTTGGCTTCTCGCTTCATCGACTCGTACAGGGCTGACCGCGCCTCGCCAAAAGTGATCATCCGATTCTCATGGCCGGGAATGTCCTTTTCTGTGAATAAATACGTATTTTGCGTAGAATGAGTGGATACTTGTTCTGTGTTTATTGTTTGCCGTTGCAGTAGGTAATCTTTGGGGATGTCGTGGTTATCCTCTCGTTCATTGATACGCAAACTGACCTAGAAAGATTCGCCTGTCAGGCAACGTCCTTAAGAAATAACACCACACAAGTAATGACCGCGACGCAAGCACTGCCCATCTATAAACATTACATACCCTTTTGATATCGTTTAGCGGGCCCTCAATCCGAACTGTCCCGACCTGAATTTCTTCATCGTCGTCGAGGTTGGACCAATGCTCCCAGAGCGTTCGAGGAATGCGGGAGAGCCATACGCTCTGTGCAGCGTTTGTAAAGTCTAAATCGCCGGCATCTTCATACAGATCTTCATCGTCAATGTCGTCGAGAATAGCATCTTTGCTGTCCGGGTCGGGTTTGATATATGGTGATGCCGCGTCGGGGTCCTGTTTGATTTGGGGAACCATGGCGCTAACCGCCGACACAAACAAATAAGAATGTGAGATTTCACCAACTGGTGGTATCGGTCAATGCGACCGCGTATTAGAACAATCTGGGCGACAACCGATGTTCTAGACGGTATGTAGTCGGTGGTGTGACGTGATGTTGAAACACTTGCCATGCGTCTGCTCTAACTGCAGAGGGAGCTGCCGAGCGGCGGGTCGGCCAAAGGCGGTGGCGGCATCTTTAACCGCCTTTCAGTTCATTTAAATAGTCTTCAATATAAACAATAATCACACCGTTACTCGACATGAAGCCCCAATATGCGAGACCCGAGTTAAATGGATCTATAAGCCATCCGCTCTAGCCTATGTTCAAATATAATATAGAGAATATACCCAACATATACTTTTTTTCACGAAGGTGAAAACCATCAATGAGTTCTGCGCTGAGTATCCTCTAAGCAAAAGTGTGTATGGAGCATTGTACTACGGTAGGACAATAAAATAGTCAATTAAACAAGGCTGCAAGGCAACATAGACTTGAAGCTCGCCAAAGGAATTCTCAAGGTAGAAACCACCCGCATGGTGGTGATGCTATTGTTGCACCCTTCAGCCCCTCTTATCGATAAGCTACTCTGTAAGCTTGACATCGTTTGTGCCCGCAGTGAGTTTAATGTACATCTTCTCCGTCACACCAATCCCACAAGACAAATAATAGTCAACCTCTTAAGCAAAGCGTGAAACATATAATACCTCCTATTTCATCTCAAAGAATTCGCCATCTTGCCCGAGAACCTCTCCTATGGCTTCTCAGAAGATCACCTCCGCTCTCGCGGAGATTGAATCGTCCGCTAATCCCCAAAACAAGCTACAGCTTTACAACGACCTTCTGTCCGACGTTGCCTCAACATCATCTGGAGACCAGCTGTCTCAAGATCTAACTTTCTATCTCGACTCCATCCTCAGCGAAGACATCAGCATCGTGGCCGCCCGCCCACTCCTTGACGCGTTCATTGACATTCTCCGGAAACTGAACCCCGAGACCCAGATCAAAGTAGGCCAACACGCCATCACACTCCTCCAATCTCGCTCCACATCCGTCGAAGAACAAGATGCCCAGATTCGCGAACTCCTCGCAGACGCATACGAGGTCGAAGAAGAATACGTCGCAGCCGCGCGGACACTACAAGGGATTCACATCGATAGCTCACAACGCCTGGTATCCGACGCAGCAAAAGTGCGACTATGGATCCGAATCGTGCGGCTATACCTAGAGGAAGACGATACAACCAGTGCGGAGGCAGTTCTCAACCGAATCAAGAACCTACCCAGCAAGATCGAAGATCAAGAGTTGAAGCTACATTTCAAACTTTCCCAGGCCCGCATTTTAGACGCTCGGAGGAAGTTCCTCGATGCCAGCCAAGAATACTTCAGTGTGAGTCTAGCGGCCGGCGTCGATGAGAGCGATCGTCTGCAGGCTTTGGCGGCCGCCATCCGCTGTGCGGTCCTGGGCCCGGCTGGTCCGCAGCGCTCCCGGATTCTGGCGACGTTGTACAAGGATGACCGGGCGACGTCTGTGGAGGAATTTGGTATTTTGGAGAAGATGTTCTTGGACCGACTATTGACTCCGGCTGAAGTCGCAGCTTTTTCGCAGAGGTTGGCCCCTCACCAACTTGCGCAGACAGCGGACGGTACTACTGTTCTCGATAAGGCGGTGGTTGAACATAACCTCGTCGCGGCGAGTAAGTTGTATGAGAATATTACTACGGACGCGCTGGGCGCTATCCTGGGACTCCAGGCAAGTGGGGATCTAACGGCAGGTGAGAAGGCTGAGGCCTATGCGGCGCGGATGGTTGAACAAGGCCGGTTGAGCGGCAGCATTGATCAGATCGATGGGATCATCTACTTTGAATCGAGCACAGCCGGTACAGGGAGGCATATTAGGCAATGGGATGCCGGGGTGCAAGGACTCGCGGAAGATGTGGAAAGAGTAGCGACCAGTATCACGGACGCATTCCCGGTATGTACACACATCATCGCTTCTACTACAAACAGTGCAGGACATCTGACCTTGGTTTGTAATTTCAGGGCTTTGCAGTTGGACAGACCGTACACTGAGAGCGGAGGATTTACGAAGAATGAACGATGGATACCACCAGTTATAGCAACACAATACGATTCTGACATGTCGATCCTAGAAAATAAACTCGAACATTAAGGTACTTCTCAGGGTATATTACATCGATATCAGAGTATACAGAACTCCACACAAAGTAGTCTAGACACGATAGGTACGCTAGAAAAAAAAACATGCAAAGAAAAAGTCGGGGCACTGAGCCATAGCGAAAGACAGTAAGACATGATAGGTCGTAAAGATAAGGTCGTAAAAATGAGGCAATAAAGAACGAAATGTCCATAGAATCACGGGACACGGGCTGACACAAGGCACCAGTCATCACAAAATAACCCACAGGATCAAGAATGAGACTTCACAGAAGCCGAGTCCTTGCTAACGGTGAAATCTGTACGAACCGCAATCCCCATAGGACCCAGATAATTCTTATCAATGGGGACATTAGAATCACTCGTAGCACGGGATACTGTACCCTCCTCCATCATCTTAAAGTACGCCGAGGCAGGCGACTTAGGGCTAGACATGGCAAAATTGGAGGTGCTGATATCGGTATTGATATAGTACGGCGCGGTAGCATAGCGACGAGTGCCGGGGATCTTGAATCTCGGGAACAGGCCGCGGATGATGGGGAGACAGGAGCAGATCAGACCGACCGAGGGCTCGATATGGGTCCAGAGAGCCGCCTGGTAGACGGTGTAGGTGGTATCATCTGGTTTGATCCAGAAGAGGACGACAATGCGGTAGATACTGGCAAAGCAGACGAAGCCACCGATGGCGAAGACACCGTTCAGGGCGAGTTTGTCCTGCCATGCGCGCTGCAGGCCCCAGATCATGGGGATTGGCAGGAAGAGGATTACGAAGTCCATAAGGACGTTAAAGCCTTGGTTGACGATGAAGAATTTGTTCCCGTCGAAGCAGTGGCCGTCGATGCTCTTATCCCAGTAGCCCTTCAACGGGCGACATTGGAGGGCGCAGGCTAGGAAGATACCGGCTCCCCAGGCGGCGATTAGGGTGTTGAGTGCGAATGTTACCCATTGGAAGGGCTTCATGGTGAAAATTCGACGGTAGAAACATATGATGGAGATTTTGATGGCGGGGCAGAGTACGAAGTATGTGAACTGGTTTGCGAGGAATATCTATGGTTTGGTAAGTATTGCCCGAGAGACATTGGTCAGGACCAGGTGGTAACTGTTCATACCTTTGAGAAGTTCATCAATGTTGTCGTATCTAGGTCTGCCATGTGGGCTCCATTGCCTCCGATAGTGACCCCTTTGCATGACAGTCAGCAACTAATCCAGGACAGTGGGTTTCACAATGCTTACATAGCACTAATTCAATGAGCATAGCAATTAAAAGAGCCATTGATAGAAAGCAGAGGTAGTCATCCATGCCCAACCCAATGCTTCGTTTCATTCGGGCGAAGACTCGCATGATAACTGATATTAGGGATAGACCAACCAACACCGAGACAATGCATATCATCTCAGCTCCCCTTGAGGTAACTGCCATGGTGAAAGTGTGAAAGGAATGACTGGCTATAAAGCGGGGAAAGAGAAGACTGTAGAGCGCGTAGGTTACTGGTTGAGAGAAATTGGGGTGACTATATTCAAAGGAATGACATGCGTAGAGAGGGGTGATAACGGCAATGCCCCTCTTCTACTAGTAGATAGTTATAAAGAATATCCCCAGTCTCAGAAGAGCAGAATAAACTGCTGCTGTGCGAGACTAGTCGGAGGAAGACACAGGATCCTGAAGAACCAAGGCCAGCAGGCGGGTATGGGGCCCACGGCAGATATACTACATTTTACGCCCATCATCCAAGCACTCTAGGCACAGGAAAATCCGGAAAGGTGGGAATAATACTATGGGTCTGTCCCTAAATCCAGGATTGAAGATGCACAGTTCGTAGGTAGACGAGCTGGTGAGTTAGGGCAACACCGGGATATCATTGGAAGTGATACAGGCCCCATGGAGCCCCTGCGAGACAGTGGGACCTGAAGACCCGCAGGGATGACATAAGAATACCGAAGTATACAATCTGATTTGGGATGGCAACGCGGCCTTTGAAGAAACCGCGGCCTCGTGGCAACAATTTTGTCCCCACCGGCTCCAGCGACGATCATTCTGGTGTTGAACCCTAACGATACACTATTTGGTTTTAGTCGTGGCGAGTTCTATGGAATGCAGCTAAATAGTAGGCTAGTGCCTGTCAATTCAAGACTAATATTATCTCAGACAACGATAGACTAGCTAGACTTTGAACTTTGAAGTATGTATAGAGTTTGATAAACATGCCGATGTAACCTTTGACGGTCAACGGCTGAATGAGAGAGAGGAAAACAGTCTCGAGAAGAATAGGCGAGCTATCCGATCAACTCCCGCAATACAAGCGAACTGGGGAGAAGGAGAACCGAAGTAGAGGGCAGAAATCTCTTCTGATTCAAACCTTGTCTCCTATTCCATTTCCTCAGGGCTCCGGGCGATCCGTCGTTTGATACCAGTACCCCCACATCTCCATCCGCACATCTACTTTTTGAGTACCCTCAGCGACCCAAACCATGTGTTTGACACGACCCTACTCTAAGATCGCTTTCAACTTTCTCCTCGGTCCATTGGCGCTATTCTGATGAATCGAAATGGATGGTTCTGTTCTGATATAAGCACTGTGAGAAGAATCTCCAGGGCTCAGCCGGCATGTAGTGAATCCATAGTTCGGCCACAGTTCCTAATGTGGTCAAGGAAACGAAGGTAGGGCATTATGTGCTCTTAGATTCGGAAGATTGTTGCGCGCTGAGCGCATGTCGATCTCGGATTATCGGGTCATCTTTTAGAGTACAACCCCCGGCTACGGCAGCTTGGCTCTACTACAATATGCCTTGGATATGTTCCC